TTTCTGTCGGCTTCTTCGGTGAAAATATCGCGTAACATAGCTGCCATTGGGCCATATTTGTGGATTCATTGCATTTTGGAAACGGTGTAGGTCAATTGTTACTTTGAAAGCAGAGTAGAACATAGGATATTTGGTTTCCACTTGTTCACATTGGACTTCCGGGAATTCACCTTTCAGTAGTTCGCAAACTTCAGTCGGTTTTGTATTTGGCGCCAGGCGTGATACAAAAATAAATCCTTTTTTGGGGGCAGCCTTAATAGAAGATTTTGTAACATCTTCTTTATTCCCTATTACTACAGACACTACTTTCTTTTTGGTTATCTTTTTACGTGATACGGTTTCCCACTTAACGCTTGTTGTATCATCTGGTGCTGATGATTTAATTGTGGGTGATGTATTCTCCGTTTTCGTGGCTTTCTTCTTTTCGTCTTCAGTTGATTTACTCACAGGATGGGCAGTTTTATTTCCTGTGTGGGACGCCACTGGATTGGGTTTCGTTGCAGTGAGTTTATCACCATTTTTTATTGTGATCTTATCTTTGGGTCGACAGCTGACGGTGGAATGAGTTGGTCTTGGCAGTTCACTCACATGCATTGTTGCTTCAAATTCTCTTGAAGTCTTGATAAATCTTGAAGAATTTTGAGACATACTGAAAAATCTAGAAAAATTTTGAGAAATCTCGAACTCTAGAAACTTCGAAAGCTTGAAAAATCTTGAGAAACCCTGTGAAAATTTAATAAATCTTGATAAATTTTGAGAAATCTTGAAAAATCCTAAGGATTGTTGAGAAATGATGAGAAATCATAATAAATCTTGAACAAACTTGAGAAGGCTCGAAAAACGTCGAGAAATTTCGGGAAAATGTTAAGAAACCTTGAGTAATCTTGAAGTCTTGACAAATCTTGAAAATTTTTGAGACAATGAAAAATCTAGAAAAATTTTGAGAAATCTCGTACTTTAGAAACTTTGAAACGTTGAAAAATCTTGAAAACCCTGAGAAACTTTAATAAATCTTGACAAATTTTGAGAAATCTTGAGAAATCCTGAGAATTGTTGAGAAATTTTGAAAAATCTTGAGAAATTTTAAGAAATTTTGAGAAATCTCGAAATATAGAAACCTGGAGAATTCCCGAGAAATCCTGAGAAATGTTGAGAAATCTTGAGAAATCCTGAAAATCTTGAGAATGATGAGAAATCGTAATAAATCTTGAAAAATCTTGAGAAACCCTGAGAAACTTTAATAAACCTTGATAAACTTTGAGAAATCATGAGAAATACTTAGAATTGTGGAGAAATTATGAAAAATCTTGAGAAATTTTGAGAAATCTCGAAATATAGAAACCTTGAGAAATCTTGAAAAATCCTGAGGATCTTGAGAATGATGAGAAATCGTAATAAATCTTGAAAAATCTTGAGAAGGCTCGAAAAACGTCGAGAATTTTCGGGGAAATCTTGAGAAATCTTGTGAAATATTGAGAAATATCGAGAACTCTTGAGAAATCTTCGACCTTGAAATTTCGAAATCTGGAAATCTTAAAATTTTGAGAAACCTCGAAAATCTTGAAAAACCTCCAAAAATCGTAAAAAAATTTGAAAAATGTAGAAATCTCGAACCACGAAACCCTGGGAAATTCTAAGAAATCCAGAGAAGTCTTGAGAAATCTTGAGACACTCAGAAATTTGAAGAAATCCTGAGCAATCTTCAAGAAATCTAAAGGAATTTTCGGAGAAATCTCGTAACCTGTGAACTTTAAGGAATCCTGTGAAATCTTGAAAAATCTTGAGAAGGGTCGAAAAACGTCTAGAAATTTCGGGGAAATCTTAAGAAACCTTGAGTAATCTTGAAGTCTTGATAAATCTTGAGAAATTTTGAGACATTTTGAAAAATCTAAAAAAATTTTGAGAAATCTCGAATTCTAGAAACTTCGAAACCTTTTTTGTCCTCTTTTTATCTATTTTTTGTCTTTTATTGGCGTGTTTTCTGGGCATTTTTTCATCTTGTTGTCATTTCTCATTGCCTTTTCGTCTTTTTTTTAGTGCTTTTTAGTTGTTTTTTTATCGCATTTTTCTGGTTACCCTTTTTTTTGTCATTTTTTTATCTCTTTTTTTTTAGCTTTTTTGGCGTCTTTCTTTTTGTCTAATTTCTTTTTTGTGGCAAACCGTAGTTTTTGTCGCCTTTTTTTGCTGCTTTTTTATTGCCGTTCTAATAGTTTTTACCTTGTCGTCGTATTTTTGTCATTTTTTTCATCACGTTTTTATTGGATATCATTTTTTCTATGCTTTCCTGTTCCCATTTTTTTAATGCATTCATCTCTTTTTTTGATACGTTGGTTTGCCCCTTTTTTGATCTCCTTATCTAGTGTCTTTCGTCAGCTTTTTGCCGCCTTTTTTGTGTTTTTGTTGTTCCTCTTTTGTGGCGCTTTTGGAGTGTTTTTGTTTTAGTTTCTTGGTGCCTTTTTTTCGCCATTTTGTCTACTTTTTGATCGCTTTTTGTCTGTTTCTTGTAACCTTTTGGTTCTTTCTGCCATCTTTTGTCGTTTTTTGATGGTTTTTGCCGTCTTTTTTTTGTGTTTTTTTGGTGTTTTCATTGCTTTTTTTGTCGACTCCTTTTTGTATCTTCTTTTACTGCGTGTTTTTTTATGCTTCTTGATGCTTTTTCTCCCTCTTTTATTCAATTGTTTCATCGTATTTTTTGTCGCGTTTTCTTTGCCTCTTTTCATCTTCTTGTTTGGCGTTCTTTTCCGTTTTTTATGCGTTTATTCTGTCGCTTTGTTGTTTTTAGCGTTTTTTAGTAGTTTTGTATCGCCTTTCTCTTGTTATCTTTTGTTTCTTCTGCTTTTGCCTTCTTCTTTTGTCTTCTTTTTTATCGCTGTCATCATTTTTTAAAATGTTTTTGCCACCGTTTTGTCGCCTTTTTTTCGTTTTTGTTCTTGTACTCTTTTCATGGCGTTTTTGTTCGATTATATTTTTTCGCGCTTTTTTGTTGCCATTTTTCCTCTTTTTTATTGTATTTTTAATCATCTAGGTTTTTTGTTCTTTTTTGCCCCCTTTCCATCTCTTTATTTGAGCCTTTTTTTGTCACTTTTTTGGTGCCTTTTAAATTTTTTTTCGTACCTTGCTTCTTGGTGTCATTTTTCATCGCCTTTTTTACTGCTTTTTAGTAGTTTTTTAGCTTTTTTGGCGCCTCTGTTTTTGTGTAATTTCTTTTTTGTGCCTGTTTTCTCTGTTTTTTACCGCCATTCTCCAAGGTTTTTTTCAAATGTTAAATGTTTCGTTTTTTTTTTTCTAGAACAAATTTATCAAAAAAATTAAATAATGTTTTATCTTCAATAACTAGTGGAGAATCAACGTGACTAACAGAGCATTCCAAGTTTGAAAAAGATAAATCTAACAATTTGTTATAACAATTTGGCACATCATATTAAATTCTCCTATTAAAATCATATTTTTGACACACTACCTGCTGGATATCAGACACTCCTCGAATTCAACTTAATAAAATTTGCAGTGAAGAGTACCATATAAAAGAGAGACAAGTGAAAGATTTTGGGAACAGAAAGGCTTAAAACAGGGGTTCCCACTAAAACCTCGTTCATTGTCTGTCTTCCTAAGCGATGTCGACGAAATGTTTTATCGTTTGATATAGCTTTTAGATGATCACAGAATCCGTGCTAGACATTGCGATATTTGTCTCTACATCCATTTGTGTCTTTAAAACGTGACAAATGATACCTATTTGTTTTTAATCTACGATCAATATTCTTGCAATAACTCTTTACGTATTCAGCCAAATCCGTCATTGTCAACACAGTAAATAAGTAATACCTCTGTGAAAGTGACATGGGAATGACAGAATAATAATTGATGTATACCATTCAGAAAGCCAGTTGAGTTCACAAGGACAATAATTTATAAGGATTCTCCACAAACTATCATTAACCTTGCTTCTTCTAGTTTCTTGCATCTTTCTCCTCTGTATTTGTTTGACCGACCCGTTAAATCCCATTGTACCTTTCTGTGCACCAAAATAAAAGTTCGATATTAAAATTTCATCCGTAGAAACATCGGCAATTTTCTCGGTTCCACGCAAGCTTATATCTCTTTTGAATTTGCGGCCATATTTAGAAAAAATTCAATTACAGAGAGAGCCTTGTGGAGAATTACGACGTGAATGTTAATATTTTATTCGAACGTAGTGCAGTGTATCCATTTATGTAAATTCATCGTATTCATCAGGTTAACCCTTAGAAAGTTCTCAGGAATCCGACGAACCGAGCTCTTGACAAGGCATCACCTGCAAGCGATTTCGCCGTCAATTATTCAAGACCTTATCCAAATCTGGACTACTTACTAATTAAACGTCCATCATGTGCCGAAGAAATGCGCGAGTTTAAAAATAAGACAGAGCCGCAGGTCGGGTATAAATTAGGTGTTTTGGTCAGCGACTCAGCCGGAAATGGCGTTTTTTTATGCAAGCCCACGTCCCGCCGCTCTGGAATATCGAAAAATCGGATCGGTGTCAGCCAGCGGATAATTTTAATACGATTACCGGCATTTTGCGTCAGGTTTTCTACTTGAATAATAATAAGATCTTTGATCTAAATTATTCATTGCACCGGATTCACTTCATCAAATTAACAAGTTTCTACTTTCTGTAGAATCCGGCCAGAATTCCAACTAAGACATGCACAAAAAGCCACTCTAATTCGACCAATTAGCTCCCCCAGATTACTCTTATCAGCAATTTTCCAGCCAAACAGATCCGTGTTTATTCAAAAAAACAAACATCGAATTTTAATACAATTTCGTCTCGCACGCTTTGCCGAGCGTGAATCGCGACGTCCCGATAAAAATGTGATATCGTTGATTTTTTCGGCGTGTTGGCTTTCCGATAATTATTCCTAATTCTTGGCAAATTGCCACCTTTGTGGAGGAAATTACCTATATCTCGCCACTATCGAAGCGATCGACTCGAGGGGAGGGAATCATTAAAAGCCAGATTTTCCAAGAGGAATTTATTCGAGATAGCTTAGGCACGGAATTATGGTGTCTACGGCTCCCAAGTGTGGCCACAGTAGTAGCGATTGAGATTCAGATTGTCCTCCTGGAAGCAGAAATTTAATAAAGGGAGGTTCGGTAGTGGCGAAATTACATCAGAGGTGTTGTTGTAACATGAATCTCCGTAAAATCTGCGAGTGTAATTGTTGTGAGTGGCGATGTGGCAAGGGAGATCGTCGGGGTAGTCAATTTCAACAGGTGTGGGGGTTTCATTGTGGGACTGAAGCTTGCTGAGGTTGTCCCCTTCGCAGTTGTAGTTGGTAGCCATGAAGAGGAGGTTGCTATGAGGGATGCGTTCCACCACATAGTACCTATCGTTTTAACGTATCACTGTACCCGAACCACAATCCAAACTACCAACTCACCAATTACACCCCTCTTTGGAGCTCGTATTTGCGTACGCAAAAGGCTTAAAATCCTCAGCCAACGTAAACAACCACATCGCTTTATCGCAAGGAGTAGGCACGGTTTTATTAATTTCGAGCTTTTCGTACAATACAGTCTCATTTTTGGCGCTTTGGTACTCCGGACCGGCGGTCACTGAAGACAAGAGCAGCAAAATTGTAGCAAACGCCCAGTCGGTTATGCGTAGCAAATTTTCGAGCAGCTAAAATTACAAAAAATCGGTTATAAGTAATTAACAAGTTCGATAGTACCGTGCGGACGAACGTCACGACTCTCGTTCCAGCGTTCTTTTTCTTGGCTTCAGGGGGTTTCTGACAAATGGCCTGGTAGTCGTACATTTCGATTCGTTTGTAAACGCCGTTTCGAATTAACTGATGCGTGATTATGGGGCTCACATCTCCGATGAAACGGCCTGTGTACTCGATTTGACTACCCAAAATAATGTAAGCGTTGTTGTCTAAAATGAAGCATAGGACGAAGTTGGCGTTGCAAGCGCACATCCGCTGCCCGTTTGGACCCTTGCACTGTTAAAAAAATACAAAATGATTTTTTTGAACAACACAATTACTTACTTAAGAAAATGTTCAACGGTAATTTCTTGGAGAAAAATGAGGATTACAATTAAGCTACACGACGAATAAACAATTCTTTACAATTGAAATGGGGTGGGTGGGCGGGGCTAATATTTTTTTTAATATGACTAGTCGTCTACAACAAACTTAAAACATTTTCAAAAAGGGTAAATTTTTGTAGGGAAATATGGATTTTGCGTTCAAGCGGACCCTCTGTCTGACAACGAATGAAAAATTCAACACAATTGAAATGAGGATTGAAATTAAACTACACTCCTCTGCTTACCACAAATAAAAAAAGTCTTGACAATTGAAATTTTGTTTTCCCTTAATATATAAAATTTTATTTCACCAACACGTTAGTCAAACATGTTTTCAGTTTCTTGTCGGGAAAAGAAGACTTCGCATATTAAGAAAAGACGGACAAAATATAAGCCCCGCCCACCCACCCGGTCTCAGTTGTGATGATTTTTTTATTCATCGTGAGCCGAGGGACAAAATCCTCATTTCTCTGCAAAAAATTACCATGTCAAACATGTTTATAAAATGACAAAACTTAAAAAAAATATGGATTTTATAATTAAACTCCGCCCCTTGGTGTGATTACGAATGAGAAACCCCTCATAATTGATTTGGGGATTTTTTTTTTAATATATGTAGTTTTCTTTCAGCAACAGGATACTTAAAAACATATTTCATATAGTAATTTTATGTAGAGAAAAGAGGATTTTGAAATTGATATCCGCCCTCTGGCTCACGACGAATAAAAAATTCTTTACAATTGAAATGGGGTGGGTGGGCGGGGCTTGTATTTTCTTTAAACACGATTATCTACTTAAGATTATGTTTCACGATATTTTCTTGAAAAAAAATCAAGATTGGAATTAAACTAGGCTCCTCTGCTCACCACGAATAAAAAAGTCTTAAAAATTGTTTTTTTTTCCTTAATATATACAATTTTCTTTCAACAACACGCTAGTCAAACATGTTTTCAATTGCTTGTTCATTAAGAAAATACGGACAAAATATAAGCCCCGCCCACCCACACGTATTTCACATAGTAATTTTATGCAGAGAAACGCGGATTTTGAAATTAATATCCGCCCTCTGACTCACGACGAATAAAACATTCTTTACAAATGAAATGGGGTGGGTGGGCGGGGCTTATATTTTTTTGTTTTTAATATAAGTAGTCTTCTTTTCACAACAACAAACTTAAAACATTTTCAAATAGAGTAAATGTTTGTAGGGAAATATGGATTTTGCGTTCACGCTCCGCCCTTCGGTCTGATAACCAATGAAAAATGCAACACAATTGAAATTAGAGCGGGCATAGGTGAGGTACATTCTTTGGCTTTCTTTTTTACTCAAAACATATAATTTTCTTTGAACACGATTATCCACTTAAGATTATGTTTCACTATATTCTCTTGAAGAAAAATGAGGATTGCAATCAAATTACACTCCTTTGCTCACCACGAATAAAAAAGTCTTTAAAATTGATTTTTTTTCCCTTGATATTTAGAATTTTCTTTCAACAACACGCTAATCAAACAAGTTTTCAGTTTCTTGTCGGAAAAAGAAGACCTTGTTCGTTAAGAAAAGATGGACAAAATATAAGCCCCGCCCACCCACCCCGTCTCAATTGTGATGATTTTTTTATTCATCGTGAGTCGAGGGACAAAATCCTCATTTCTCTGCAAAAAATTACCATCTCAAATATGTTTATAAAATGGCAAAACTTAAACAAAATATGGATTTTATAATTAAACTCCGCCCCTTGGTGTGATTACGATTGAGAAACCCATCATAATTGATTTGGGCGATTTTTTTTAATATATGTAGTTTTCTTTCAGCAACAGGATACTTAAAAACATATTTCACATAATAATTTTATGTAGAGAAACGAGGATTTTGAAATTAATATCCGCCCTCTGGCCCACGCCGAATAAAAAATTCTTTACAATTCAAATGGGGTGGGTGGGCGGGGCTTATATTTTCTTTGAACACGATTATCTACTTCAGATTATGTTTCACGATATTTTCTTGAAAAAAAATCAGGATTGGAATTAAACTACACTCATCTGCTCACCACGAATAAAAAAAGTCTTAAAAATTGTTTTTTTTTCCCTTAATATCTAGAATTTTCTTTCAACAGCACGCTAGTCAAACATGTTTTCAGTTCCTTGTCGGGAAAAGGAGACTTTATTCGTTAAGAAATGATGGACAAAATATAAGCCCCGCCCACCCACCCCCTCTCATTTGTGATAAATTTTTTATTCATCGTGAGCTGAGGGGCGGAGCTGAGTTGCAAAATCCTCATTTCTCGACAAAAAATTACCGAGTGAAATGTGTGTTTAAAATAGTAAAATTTTATAAACAAAAATGGGTTTTTGCAATTAGACTCCGCCCCTAGATGTGATTACGAATGAGAAACTCAACATAATTGAGAAGGAGCGTTTTTTTATATATATATATCTAGTAGTCTTTCAGCAACAGGATACTTAAAAACACATTTCACATAGCAATTTATTTTATGAAGAAAAACGAGGATTTTGAAATTAAGATCCGCCCTCTGGCGCACGACGAATAAAAAAAAATTACCAGGATTGAGATAAGGTGGGTGGGTGGGGATTATATTTCTCTTTTTTTAAATATAAGTAATCTTCTTTTCGCAACAACAAACTTAAAATACTTTCAAAATAGTAAATTTTTGCAGAGAAATATGGATTTTGCAATTGTGTGCCGCCCCTTTGTCTGACAACGAATGAAAAATTCATCACAATTGAGAACGGAGCGGGTATAGGTGGAGCTTAATCCTTGGCTTTCTGTTTTACTCAATACACATGCTTTCAGTTTCTTTTTGGGAAAAGAAGACTTCGTATATTAAGCAAAGATGGACAAAATATGAGCCCCACCCACCCACCCCCTCTCATTTGTGATGAATTTTTTATTCATCGTGAGCCGAGGGGCGGAGCTTAGTTACAAAATCCTCATTCCTCTACAAAAAGTTACCAAGTGAAATATGTTTTTAAAATGGTAAGATTTAAAAAAAATATGGATTTTGTACTTAAACTCCGCCCCTTAGTGTGATTACGAATGAGAAACCCATCATAATTGATTTGTAGTTTTCTTTCAGCAACAGGATACTTAAAAACATATTTCACATAGTAATTTTATGCAGAGAAACGAGGATTTTGAAATTAATATCCGCCCTCTGACTCACGACGAATGAAAAAAAATCATCACAATCGCGATAGGGTGGGTGGGCGGGGCTGATATTTTGGCTTTTTTTTCTTAATATATATGTATGGTCTCCTTCTCAAAACAAGAAGCTTAAAACATGTTTAAAATAGTAAATTTTTGTTAGGAAAAATCGATTTTGCAATTATGCTCCGCCCCTCGGTGTGACAACAAATGAAAAATTCATCACAACTAAGATAGGAGTGAATGGGTGGGGCTTAATTTTAGTTTAGTTTTCTTTCATTCACAGAATACTTAAAATATCACCAAGGCTACTTAGTTTTCATTGAAGCAGTTCTCGAGGTCTCCCCGTCAAGGAAATTACTTTAAAAAAATCAGTTTCTAAAATGCGAGCGAAACGAGCAATATGCACATTTTTAACGAAAATATGCTAACTTGTTGTGAAAATTTCAACGCATTATCAAACCTTTTTTGTAATTTCGTCGTACAAAACCGACATTTTCCGGTGGTTGAACTGCACTCCGACCGCCGCCACCGGCGACTTTTTTCCCTCAGCGGTAACAAAGATCGCGTTCGTGCTGGTTATCATGGTGTTGTACTCGTAGCCGGAGATCTCGAAAGGGACGGAGTAGATGAAGACGTCATCGTTTCGGTCGATGTTTTCTTCGACGACTCTTTGGTACCAGTCTTCGTCTATCGACCTGTTTCCTCTGAAGTACTCCTTCTTGCCTTTGCCTTCGTCGTCGTCCACCACGTCTTCGTACTTTTCCGGGTGGCAAGTCTTCCATCTGACTAGACCCGAGTGGGTGGCCATGAAGACGTTGTCGACTAGGAATTTTCTGACGAAGCTGGAACACGCATGGGTGGATACGGTTTTTAAAAGGGGCGTGACTCACAAGTCTTCGTTTGGTATGTCCTCTTCGAACCACTTGGTTTCTTCTGCGTCGAACAGGAGGGCTTTGAGAAGGGGTTCCTCTGTGGAAATTGAAAATTTGTTATATCGTGTCAAACGATTTGTAAATAGGTTATTACTTGTGTTGTTCTTCTGGTTCTGGCGTAGGCAGCGCTTCACAATCTCTTCTGGTTCAGCTCCGCTGTCATCGGGACAATAAACCCTAGAACATGTATGTAATATGGTATAGTATTGTCTGGAATTTTGCATCATTACCAGTCTGGATGAACTGTCCAATTTTTGGTATTCAAAAGACTCTTCTCAAATCCTGTGACATTCTTTATATCAACGACCATATTCCCATATTTGTCTGGTAACGCAATTCCAACAGTAAACGCCGGTACCAACTTCATATACACATACCTCCTCCTAGTTAAAATTATCCTCTTCTACAACGAAACCCATACACAATTAAACACACACTACTCAATTAAAACCTACATGATCATCCAAGGCCTGTTTGACATTCAACACATCATCAGCCAGGGAGTTCAGCTTCTGCAGAACAATATTTTTCCTCATCTACAAAACCTCGATAAGTCACATCGGCCACCATAAAAAGAGACATGTCACCTCTACAATCCGTTCACCAAACTCCCGCGGTTTACTCGTATCATCTAAAATTTCCACTTCAAGTAAATCCACTCTGTTGAACGTCGGTTTGGGAATGTTATTAAACTAAAAAAGGACGAGTTGAAGCTATCTAGTGTGAAGTCTGCTCACCTCGCGCCGATGACCTGGGTGCATCAAAATATAGCCGTTATTTGTTACAATGAAAGCGTATCCGTTCACTCCGATCTGAAAACCATCGCTATATTCATAAATCGAAAAATACTTAGCGCTAAACCGTGTGATGCGGAATTAAAGACATGAGGAGCTTAAGGGGGATATCCACACCGGCGACACCTATAATATCGACGTCTTCAGGCTTCCGACTGAACACAGGTAGCGAAACGGTAGTCATGTAGTCGTAGTTCATTTCGTTTCCGTATTTTTCGTAATCCTGAAACGAATTTCAGTATGGGGGAAGTACGCACGCAAATGTTTTGAGCCTATGGGCGGATCATTTTTGCCGGTCGTCACCGAAGGAGGCGGTCCAAATCGTCCAAGGGCAGAATTTGTAGGTAGGCTCAAACTACAACGAAATTTACGTGTTGACCAAATTCTTACCCTAAATTAGTTTTAATTTTATAAATACCCCATCCAAAATGTTCAGAATATGATGAGTCTATACTTTTTGATTTACCATTCCATTAATATTTTTTGGATTTGTTTATACATACAGGGTGACTCAAAAAAAAATGATGACTGAGTCAATTTATTTTATTGAAGAAATCAAGAATTGCAAAACTGAATACATAGAAATCTTGTCAGTTAGTTAGAAAAAAAACCTGTCCTGCTCTAATAACATCGAGAATATGCTCAAAATCACACTAATATTAGGTCTAATTGTGCCGACCATAGTTATAAAATTCACATTAAAGTAAGTCACGGACATTTTTTGAAGTGTATTACATTTCAAAAAGCAAAAAAATGTTCAATTTATAAACTTCATAATTTTGTTTTAAAGTTTATCAATCATTTTGACGCTTTATTTTATCCGTTCCATTTGTTATCCTATAATTTATCACTTCCGACATCTTTTCGGTGACAAATTTAATCTTTGTATACTTCAGCGTAGTTAGTGAACTCGTTGTGACCACTGAAATATACAAAGAGTAAATTTTGAAATGGAACGAAAGTCGAAGAATACTTTCAAAGCCACGATCAAAATGTATTTGCTTATCTTCGCCAAAAAATGCATGACGTCATCGTAAAATTTGATATGATGAGTCTATACCTGTGATTTATCATTGCAGTAATATTTTTTAGATTTACTTATACAGCCTGTCTCAAAAAAAGGTCACTTCGATTTTCGATTTTTCGTTTTTTCGACCAACAGTTTCATCGAATTAGATTTTTCAGTTTCCATTTTTCTATCAACTGTTCGATTTTATTACTTTCCAATTTTCTGATTTTTCAAGTTTGCGGTATTTTGAATTTTCGAGTTTTCAGTTTTTTCGTTTTTCGATTTTTTAATTTTTCGTTTTTTTGATTTTTCGATGTTTCGATTTTTTGATTTGCCATTCTTTCAATTTTCGATTTTTCGTCTTTCCATTTTTAGATTTTTGGATTTTTCTGTTCGTCAGCTTTTAGACTTTGCAATTTTTTTGCATTTTTCGATTATATTTTACTTTCCGATTTTTTTGATTTTTGAATTCTCGATTTTTCAATTTTCCGGTTTTTTAATTCTTCTATTCTCCATTTTTCGATTTTCCATTAATCATTAAATTTTCCATTTTTCGGTTGTTTTATTTTTCGACCTTCGATTTTTCAACTTTCGATTATTCGATTTTACATTTTCTGATTTTACGATTTTTCGATTTGCGATTTTTCGATTTTCGTTTTTCCGCTTTGTGGTTTTTAGATTTTTCTGTTTGTTTCAGTTTTTATGGTTCTGCGATTTGTTTTATTTTTCCATTTTTCGATTATTTTACTTTCCGATAGTTTGATTTTTGAATTTTCGGTTTTTCCATTTTTCAATTTGGGATTTTTCAATTTTTCGGTTTTTTAATTTTTCATGTTTCGATTTTCGATTTTTCAGATTTGTGTCCGTTTTTTCGATTTTTAGAATATTGATTAATCGAATTTTCGATTTTTGAGCATTTCGATTTTTCGATTATCATTTTTACGATTTTTCAAAATCTCGATATTCGAGTTTTCGATTTTCCATTTTTCAAATTTTCAATTTTTAATTTGGATTTTTTCGATTGTTGCTTTTTAGAATTTTCCCTTCTTCAGCTTTTAGATTTCAATTTTGTTACTTTCCGATTTTCCACTTTTCAATTTTTTTATTTTTTTTCGATCGTCGTTTTTCCGATTTTCATTTTTCCGATTTTTTGATTTTTCAATTTTTAGGCCTTGCAATTTTTTTTACTTTTCGCTTTTTCGAGTATTTGTTTCATCGAATTTTCGATTTTTCGGTTTTTCCATTTTCTGATTTTCCATTTTTAGATATTTTTCGAATTTTTTTGATTTTTCGATTTTTCTGTTCGTCAGTTTTGAGACTTTGCAATTTTTACTTTTCCACTTTTCTATTATTTTAGTTTTGGATTATTCGTTTTTTGAATTTTGTTTTTTTTTTCATTTTTCGATTTCCGATTTTTTAATTTTTCGATTTTTCGGTTTTTCAATTTGTCGATTCTCGATACTCCGATTTTCGAATTTTCAATTTCCAGTTTTCGATTTTCCACTTTTTGATTTTACGATTTTTCGATTTTTCTGTTCGTCAGTTTTTAGGCTTTGCAATTTGTTTACTTTTCGATTTTTCGATTATTTTACTTTCCAATTTTTTGATTTTTGAATTGTCGACTTTTAGAGTTTTCAATATTATGAATTTTCGAATTTTCGGTTTTCCTATTTTTCGATTTTTGATTTTTCCATTTTTCGGTTTTTTGATTTTTCAATTCTCGGTTTTTCAATCTTGCAAAGTTTCGATTTTTCAGATTTGTGAATTTCCAGTTTTTCGATCGACCTACGTATTAAATTCATTGAATTTTCGATTTTCGGTTTTTCCATTTTTCGATTTTTGATTTTCCAGTTTTGTATTTTCAGATTTTCTGTTTTTCGCATATCTGATTTATCAAATTTTCGATTTTTCGGCTTTTCGATTTTTCGATATTTGATTTTCGAATTTTCGATTGTTCAGTTTTCCATTTTTCAGCTTTTAGACTTCAATTTTTTTACTTTTCGATTTTCCAAATTTTCGAGTTTCAATTTTCAGATTTTTGATTTTTCGATTTTCTTTTTAAATCTTTGAATTTTTCGGTTTTGATTTTTCGAATTTTTGATTTTTAATTTTTCCATTCTTCGGTTTTTAGACTTCAATTTTCTTTCTTTTAAATTTTTCGATATTCTATTTTCCGCTTTTCAGAATTTTCGATTTTCAGTTTTCAGACTTTCGATCATTAAAATTTTGGATTTTTTAGTTTTATGATTTTTCGATTTTTAGAAAATTTGAGTAGTCGAATTTTCGATTTTTCAATTCATCGATTTTTCCATTTTCAATTTTTCAATTCAAATTTTGCGGTTTTCAATTTGCCCATTGTCGATTTTTATAATTTTCGGTTTTTCAATTTTTCTATTCTCAACTGTTAGACTTCAATTTTGTTACTTCCCGATTTTTTGGTTTTCGATTTTCCAATTTTCAGAATTTCCAAGTTTCTTTATTCAGATTTTCGATTTTCCACTTTTTCGCTTTTAGATTTTTCGAATTTTTGTTTTTCCAATTTTTTGCTTTTTCGATTTTTCTGTTCGTTTCAGTTTTTAGGCTTTGCAATTTTTTCTACTTCATATATATATTGATTATTTTAATTTCCGATTTTTTTAATTTTTGTTTTTGATTTTTTGAATTTTCAATATTACTTTTCGATTTTTTGGTTTTCCCGTTTTTCAATTTTCGATTTTTCGATTTTTGAGGTTTGTGAATTTCCACTTTTCGATCAACCTAGGTATTTGATTCATTGAATTTTCGATTTTTTAATTAGCCATTTCATTTTTTCCGATTTTTGATTTTGCGCATATTAATCAAATTTTCGAAAAAGTTACCATGCTTACCAAAACTTCAAAACATCTACAATAGTTCAAAGTATTCAATTTTGCTATTCTTGATTTCTTCAATAAAATAAATTGACTCAGTCATTAACTTTTTTGAGACACCCTGTATAACCAAATCTAAAAAATATTAATGCAGTGATAAATCACAAGTATAAAACTCATCATATTTTATACATTTAAGATAGGATTTATTCTGCAAAATTTTGAGGTGACGTCATAAATTTTTTAGAGGGGATAAGCAAATATATTTTAATTAAATCATGTTTATCATGACTTTAAAACATCTGCAAGATTTCAAATTATTCGATTATTCATTATTTTATGGGAACAACTACCTGCTAAATCTTCTCCGACAAATTCGAGAGAACTGGTGTGAGCCATAAATAAATCTTACCAAATGTAAATTTCGTTGTAGTTTGAGCCTACCTACAAATTCTGCCCTTGAAGGATTTGGACCGCCTTCTTCGGTGAGGGCAGGCAAAAACGATCCGCCCATAGGCTCAAAACATTTGCGTGCGATTGTACAAGCGATTTAGTTTTACGTGGTTTTCTTGTAGAAGGAAGTGCGAATAGTTGGCTAGGACTTTTTTGAGTCGGTGGAACTCGCGCTTCGCGTGGTCTAAGAACACCGATCTTTGTCTATTGCCTTCGACTTTCCTCCACAACCAATTAGTGTATCTCCTGTCAGCTAAATCTATGTAGAGGTAGCTCCATATAAATTCCTCTCTTTTGGGGTTGTCTTTATGTGCTTTGTTTAGAGGTCTGGACATGACATTAAGGTAAGATAACACCTTCTCTCTAGCTTCTTGCGATAGAGATATATTGACGAAATAACCCTTATTGGAGCAAGCCACCCATTCCAACAAGTGTGCATCCCCTTCATTTTTCTCCAAGAGATAAGTGAACACCCTCACAGGTGTACTATCGTTCCAGTTATACTTCATAAAGAACTCCTTTTGGTCTTTACGGAAGAAGGCCTCTTCAGTAATCAACATTATTGCTTGGTTGCACTCAGAACCTACTTTTTTCTGACGCATTTCCTTCAACAAAGTAAAAGCCTTAGCAAGTCCGGTTTCAATTTCAGCCTGAAACGTCGGTTTATAGTTGTCAAGGGTTTCGCGTAACAAGCGCAGATTTTCTTCATTGGCTTGCACCAAAGTGTCTTTAAAACATGGAACTAGAGGTCTTGTACTATTGGCGAAAAGATAAATGTTGACGAAATCATTGTCATTAAGTGTGTCGAGAATGTTATTGACAATGTGAGCAGCAACTTTTCTTTTTAGTTGTAGAACGGAACCAGAACTGTCTAGGAGGATGATTATGTCTTTTGGGGAAGTCATGGCTTCGGTGTACCATGATCTGGTGCGAGGGTCATAAGTTTGGGCGTAGCGTTCGTCAGACCACTTGACCGCTAAAATCGAAAAATCAGAAATGGAAAACAACGTCGACGTGTTAGTATACCTGGAAAGTGTCTCATGTAGCCGAGGGGACTTGCGAAATACTGGTACTTTAGAGTGGGATCTTTGGCTAAATTTTCTTTAAAAACCATATCGAGTGGTGCTGTCCATTTCGCTCCTTGCATAACTTCTTGCTCTAGGAAAAAATCAAAATAAGTTAGTCAAAATAGTTTGAAAGTTCTACCTTTCGCGAAAACGTTAGCCACGATTCTGACAACGCTCAGATTAAAATTGACCGGAGTGTCGAAATTGGGATGGGGTTTCAAAGGCAACAAATTGTAATTTTCGCTCGGTCTTTTACTTATATGTTGTGAGCAGTCGCAAACCGGTCCAAACATGTCTTCGATTTTCTTCTTCGTGAAGCTATTATGCGGTAAAGGATTCTGGTCAGGAAGGTCCTTCTGTTCGCAAAACCAAATGCACTTCATCTGAAACTCCCACTGTATTATTTCGTGAACACAAACCAAAAATTACCTCCCGGATTTCGTCCTCCAGGTCTTTTTCTTTATCACAGTCGCAAGTCGTGTTGGTTATATTATCAGCGTTGTAAAAAAAGAACGCATTAGGGTCCAAATAATCCGACCCGTTAACACCGTTAACAACACTGTAGTTGGTTTTCCTATGAAAAGCCAAGAACTCAGCGTATTCCGCTATATTCTGAAACCCAAAACTAAAATTCGAAAAATCGTGTTACTCTGGATTACCGCCACTGCGTCCACTTTTTTCTTTATCGTGTTCTTCAGCTTTTGGGTTATTGTCCTGAGCAGCGTTCTCTCCACTTCGTAGTGGATTTTGTCTTTTAGTTTGTTGAAGCTCTGGAAGCGCGTGGTGTAAACGCGATTTTAAATCAGTTTCATAGTTACCTTTTGAAGTTTCGCTTTTCGGGTCATGGTCGAGCTTAGTTCGTACAGTTCCTTCCCCAACTGCTTTGACCATTGACGAACACTGCAATAAATTAAGATTTGAATTCTGGCTGGCGCCGTTGGATTCAAAATCAATAACTAGGAGACTGAGAGGCGCCACACAGAATCATCCAGGACCAATTGTATTCGGGAAAACACCATTACGCAATTAAGTAACAGCCCGGGAACAATTTATTAGTTTCAAAAATTGTGCAAAATGATTTTATTAGCGATAGTTACGCGCAAAAATTTTGGAACAAATTTCGCAAAAGTAACGGCAAAATTTTTCTTACTTACCATTCTCGCACTTGATTGACTGACGGAGTGGAGTGCGAAGTCGTCGCAACTCTGACTTGGGCGCTTTTTTTCGCACTGTATAGCACCAGGAAGCACAAAAAGGCGATGTGGAATTTTGGCATTGTGAGGTAAATTGTTGAAGTTTAGTTGGCGGAAAGTACTGAATTGTTAAATGTATGTGTGTCAAGAGTCGGAAGAATTCAGCGCATGTCTTTGCCTCAGTTAGCAACAAGTTGTAAGAAGTCTTTGTCGCGGCGTTTAGAAGCTGTCAACACAGTTGGGACGGACGATTTTGGACGAAATTGAGCTTTCAGCGTTTCACTATTCGCGACTAGTTGTAATCTTGTTTACTTTCATGAGTTATAATGAGGTGAAATGTGGAGTGAGTTCCACCACTTGTAGTTATCAGAAGTGATAAACACGAAAATAAAAATAGGAGAGATAAAAAGAAAATGGGGCGAAATATTCGGGATACATGAATGGTGATAAAGAGTTATATTTGTTTGCAGAGTTGCTAAATAATACACTGTTTTCAAGTACTTTTCCTGATGGCCATTAATACACCGACGAAATTTGTTAAATCACTAGACTACTACTACACTAGACTGAAACTAATATGGGATTGGATATTTGTCCTTTTTGGTGTGTTTTTCTGGAGTTCTTTGTGTCTTTTTTATCACCTTCTTTCTCTTTGTTTTGTCGCTTTTTGCTAGCCTTTTTTTGTCAGCTCATTTGGTCTTTTTTCCTCGCGTCTTTTTGTGTCCTTTTTTCCTTTTTTGTGGCTTTTTTCGGCTATTTTTGTAGTTTTCACCGGCTTTGTTCGCTCTTTTTTTATTCTTTATAAGCTTTCTTTTTTCTTTTATGTTACTTTTTCCGACTCCCTTTTTTGTGACATTTTTCCTGTCCGGCTTTTTTGTAGCCCTTTTTATGTCGTTTTTTTTGTGCTTGCTGCTTTTACTTCTTTTCTTCAGTCGTATTTTGTATGCCATTTTTTGTCTTCTTCTTTTATCGCATTTTTGGTGTCCTTTTCGGGCACTTTTCTTGTTCCTTTTTCCTTACCGTTTTTTATTGTACTCTTTTTTATTGCCCTTTTTTTCGCTGTTTGTATTGTCACTTTTTATCGCCTTTTTCTGGGTCGCTTCTTTCTTGCCTTTTTTGGTTTCTTTTTTACTCGTGTTTTCTGTGTGCGTTATTAGATCTCTGTTTTTCTTCTTTTTTTTTTCCTTTTTCTGTTAACACCTTTTTTCCCCTTTTTGCGGTTTTTTTCGCCCTTTTTTGTAGCCTTTTTTATGTAAGTTCTTTTGGTCTCTCTTTTTTGTTGCCTGTTTTGTATACCCTTCTTTTCGTTGTCTTACTTTTTGTCGTTCATTTTGTCCATTTTTTTGTCTTTTGTTTTGTTTTTTTTTTTCGCTTTCATTATTTTTGTCTGTTTTTTGACGGTTTTTTTTTTCAATTGCTTTGATTTCCTTTTTCTTCATGTCTTTTTTCCTTTTTTTGCGCCTTTTTTGTCGATTTTTTTGGTCCTTTTTTTCTAGTATTTTTTTTACGTTCTTTTTCCATCTTTGTTTTGCCTTCTTTGGGTCGCTTCTTCCTAGCTCCTTTTTGTATCAGTTTTATTGGTCTCTTCTTTACTCGTATTTAGATTCTTCTTTCCTCCTTTTTTGTTATCTTTTTTTTTTTCGCTTTTTATCGTTATTTTGTGCTTTTTCTTCATTTTTTTCTAGTCCCTTTTTTGTGGTCTTTATCATGTCAGTTCTTTTGATCTCTCTTTTGTCGTTACCCTTTTTGTATTGCCTTCTTTTTGTTTTGTCTTTTTTTCGCCTTCATTATTTTTGTCGACGAATCGTGATTAGTGATTTGTAATTCGTGATTAGTGATTCGTGATTCGTGATTCGTGATTAGTGATTAGTGATTAGTGATTTGTGATTAGTGATTAATGATTAGTGATTCGTGATTAGTGATTCGTGATTCGTGATTAGCGATTCGTGATTCGTTATTCGTGATTCGTGATTAGTGATTAGTGATTAGTGATTCGTGATTTGTGATTCGTGATTAATGATTCGTGATTCGTGATTAGTGATTAGTGAGCCGTGATTAGTGATTCGTGATTCGTGATTCGGGATTTGTGAGTGGTGATTCGTGATTCGTGATTAGTGATTAGTGATTCGTCAGTCGTGATTAGTGATTAGTGATTCATGATTCGTGATGCGTGATTAGTGATTCGTGATTAATGATTCGTGATTAGTGATTAGTGGTTAGTGATTAGTAATTAGTGATTAGTGATTCGTGATTAATGATTAGTGATTCGTGATTCGTGATTTGAGATTCGTGATTCGTAATTAGTGATTAGTGATTAGTGATTCTTGATTCGTGATTCTAATCACGAATCACGAATCACGAATCACGAAATCACGAAATCACGATCAGTGATCAGTGGTCAGTGATCAGTGATCAGTGATCAATGATCAGTGATTAGTGATTTTATTTGTTTGGTGGTTTGCAATCTTTTGGTTTTTTCTTTCTGATTTTCCTTTCGGATTTTTTAATTTATTTTTCAATGTTCCTATTTTTTCCGATTTTTGAAGTATTTTTTAATTTTTGTGGTTTGGAATTTTGGAATTTTTCAACTTTTAGTTCTTCGATTTTTAATTTTTTAGTTTCTCGATTTAAATTTTTAGATTTTTAAATAACAACCATTTATTTACGAAAGTGTTCATTACATAAATCAAACTAAACAAAATAAATTAACTTTTATGTTTAGTATTCCGATTTTTAGTAGTTTGATTTTTAAGTTCTGATGTTTCAATTTTTCGTTTCTTCAATGTTACGATTTTTACTTCCCGACCGTAAGCAAGTCCGTCGACCGACTCTCTACTTTTACATTTTCTCGATCTTTCATGACCCCTAGAAGACGAAGAAATAGGTCTCCCATTTCCGTCTGTCTGTCCGTCTGTCCGTCTGTCCGTCCGTTTGTCCGTCTGTCTGCCGTCCCGGATTTTTATTAGACAGATAATCTCCTAAAGTACTGGACCAATTGTTGTGAACTTTTGTAGTTATATTAGGAATATCATGTAGATGGTAACACGCTAACCAAAATTTGTCTAATCATCCCCACCACTAATGTGATGACGTCACTTCAAAATTGTACATAGTAAATGGGTTTTAAATTGTATAAAATAATATAGTCCTAAACATGTAGTTTACGACTCCGAATTGAGTTTTTACCCGAAACGTCCAAATTTTTGGAAAAAAATGAAAATTATAAAACAACATTTTGCAATTTAATTTTGAATCTGCTAATCCGAATGTTTTGAAATGTTGCAGATGTTTTAAGGCTATAAAGAGCATCATAAATCTTCACTCAAAATATATTTGGTTATCCCCTTCAAAAACTTGATGACGTCAGCTCAAAAGTTTACGAAATAAATCCTATATAAAATGTACAAAATATGATGAGTCTGTGCTTGTAATTTATCACGTTTTTTATTTCATATTTTTTGAATTTGCATATACCGGGTGACTCAAAAAAAATAATGAAATCTACTGCGAAAAAAAAAACATAATAGACATGCAGTCGTCACGTTTCCGACAGCGAGGGAAGTACTGTCTAACTCTTTAGACCAATTTTTTTCGGTTGCTTTCGCCTCTTTTTCCTTCATGTCTCTTTGCGTCTCTTTTTTACCACCCTTTTCGCTCTTTGGTTGTCTTTTTTTCCACACATTTTCCTCGTCTTTTTGTCATATTTTTTGTTCCCTTTTTGTCGGTTTTTTTGTCTCTTTTCCTAGCTTCGTTTTGTATAGTTTTTTTCGCCTTTTTTTTAAGTTGCTTCTTTCTTGCCCCTTTTTTGTATTAGTTTTTTGGTCTCTTTTTTACTCGTATTTTCTGTATACGTCTTTAGATTTCTTCTTTCCTTTTTTTGTGTTTTTGTTATCTTTTTTTGGCGCTTTTTTTCTCGTATTTTTTTTAAACCAGTTATTTTGCTCTCTCTTTTGTCGTTGCCTTTTTTGTGTAACCTTCTTTTTGTCACCGGTTTTTTTCGTTTTTTGTTTTGTCGATTTTTTTCTTTTTTTCGCCTTTATTATTCTTGTCGACTTTTTTGGCTATTTTGTGGCTTCTGTCATTTATTTTTTCGCTTGCTTTGGTCTCTTTTTTCTTCATGTCGCTTTGCCTTTGTTTTTTACCACCCTTTTCACCCTTTGTTTGCCTTTTTCCTCGTCTTTTTGTCATATTTTTTGTTGCCTTTTTTTGTCGTCATTTTTTTGTCATCTTTTTTCTTGGTCTGTTTTTTCCTTGCGTTTTTTAATCACTTCTTTTGTCAATTTTTCTAAGTTTTTTTTTGGTCGGCTTTTGTTTGTCGACTTTTTTAATTCTTTTTTTGCTCGCCTTTTTTTTTGCCGCAGTTTTTTCATCTTTCTTTTTTCTGTATCCCTTTTCAAATCGGCTTTTTTAAATTCCTTTTCCCTCTGTTTTGTTTCATTTTCTTTTTCGTCGTTTTTTGTCACTTTTTTTCCGTTCTTTTTTAGTGGCTACCTTTTTTGTTGACTATTTTTTTATCGCCCATATTGTAATTTATTATTTCTCGGCTTTTTTCCTTGCATTTTTTTTTTTGGTGATTTTTTGAAGTGTAAACCGGTTTTTTTGTCTTTTTTCAGTTTTTTAATCGACTTTTTGTAGTTTTTCTGTCGCCTTTTTCATGTCACGTCTTTTGGTCTCTCTTTTTCCTTGGGTTTTTGTGCCTTTTTTTGTCCTCTTTTTTGCCCTTGTTTGTTCCTTTTTTTCAACATTTTGAGTTGATTTATTGCCACCTTTTGTTTATCGACGTTGTATATCGGCTTTTTAGTTTCTTTTTGCTCCACATTTTGTGTCCTCGTTATTCGTCTTTTTGTTTTACACTTCCTTTCACTTCTTTTTTCACCTTTTTTGCCTCTTTTTTTAGTCATCTTTGTTTTTTTCTAATTCTTGTTGATGACGTAAACTGACATGCTAATAATTCAGAATTACCAACCAAAAAAATTACTTCATCATTAATAGTCACTCGGTATCTCAATTGTTTGAAAACTGAATCAGCGCAATGTATGCAACCCTATATACTTAAACTGACCGCTTGCTTACAACTCCATCTTACAAAACTAAACCCAACTAACCCATTTTAAGTTGACCCGACCCGTAAGAACGCAAGGACAAGTTAAAGGTCACCCATGCAACATAAATCAAATAAAATTACTCATTGTCCATCATTTTATTACATTACAGCAATAAGCCGATTTTACTCATTAAAAATCCATCATTCCACCCGCTTATCAGCTTATCTCAATAAGCACAAAACGTGTGGACAGTAACCCACAAACCAATCAAAGATTAAAGTTCCACACGAACGGCAACGTTCTATCTAAATTGTTACTTGAAACAACAATTAAGGAATAAATTTTAAATTGCTTATCGCTTTGACCTTCATCGTATTACGGCAGGCACGCTGTACTACAGTCGTACACAGCAACAGTAATCGAACAAGAACCCTCGTGTCTTCGTTTCAAAGGCAAAATGAGTGCAGAAGTACAAAAAATCCTAAAACAGGCCGACGCCGTGTGCTTCGACGTCGACTCCACAGTGATACAAGAAGAAGGCATCGATGAACTCGCCAAATTTTGCAACAAAGGCGAGGAAGTCGCCGCTTTGTAAGTTTTGTATACGTTATAAATCATCTGATGGTTGTTTATTTCTCAAAGAACAGCCAAAGCCATGTCGGGGTCTATGACATTCCAAGAGTCCCTTAAGGTCCGCCTGGGGATTATACAACCAACGTTGACGCAAATACGGGATTTCGTGAAAATCAAACCTCCAACTCTTACACCAGGGGTCAAGTAAAGTCGCTCTTTTTGGTCAATTTGATTTATTTGTTTAATTGTGATTGATTGCAGAAAACTGATAAACTTGTTGCACAGTCGCAACGTTCCAGTGTTTCTCATTTCAGGGGGGTTTAAGTCGATAATTGCGCCGATTGCCGCACAATTGAATATTCCCGTCGACCATATTTTTGCAAACAGGCTGAAATTTTATTACACAGGTTGTTTTCGTTTGTTTGTAGATGTGTTTAAATTATTTTGGATTTTTGCCAGGGGAGTATGCCGGATTTGACGAAAACGAGCCGACGTCGAGAACTGGTGGAAAGGCAGTCGTTATTGAATTTCTCAAGACGCAATATAATTATCAGAAGGTCGTTCTTATAGGTGATGGAGCCACGGACTTGGAAGCTGCGCCCCCAGCTGACGCATTTATTGGTAATTTGTTGTGACGATTTTTTTGAAATGGTTGATTTGTTTTTGCGCAGGTTATGGCGGGAACGTTATCAGACCGATAGTTCAAGCGAAAGCGAAGTGGTTTGTTACTGATTTCAATGAAATAATCGATGTTTTAAACCATTGATCTGATATTGTTAATTAAAGAAGAGATTATAAATGCGTTATGCAACCAGTTATACATCAGTTACCGAATTTTGCAAAATCCCCATCCTGGTCACATTATTTCCCGGAAAAGTTCGTTTTCAAGCATTTTCTTTCTAGACTTTCGTTTTTTCGGGTGATGTGTGCGTCCAAAACCCCCTTCAAAGGTTTATTAAGTCTACGATTTGAATTTCCCGCGCAGATCACACCACCTGTTAACTACGCAATAGAAATTCCCTACTCACATGTTATGCTATAACCGGTAATAAATGTCAAATTTATCCGTAATGAAAAATTTCCGCAGTAACTCTTAAAATTGATGCAAATTGTGTTAGTGGTTGGCATCTTCTTCCTAACTTCCGCCACGATGGCATGGAGGTCGCACGGAAAAAACAACGCCGAATTAATCCGGAATTTGCGAGGTAAACCCGTCTCAAAAATTTTAAGGTTATGTCATTTTTATTTCCAGCGAACGGAATCATCCGTAGCGATGCCGTGGAAAACGCGATGATGGCAGTCGACCGTGGCAATTACTCCCGCAATAACCCGTACATGGACGCCCCCCAAGGCATCGGCTACGGAGTGACAATCAGTGCTCCTCATATGCACGCCCACGCTCTTGAATTACTCAAAGAGAAACTGATCAACGGAGACAGGGCCCTGGATGTGGGTTCAGGCAGCGGGTATCTGACAGCCTGCATGGCCATTATGCTCGGAAAGAAAGGGTAAAGGAATCCCATTCGACTGACATCAACTATATCCATAATTCTGCAGAATTGCTGTCGGTATTGACCATATCCCTGAACTTGTGGACATGTCGGTCCGCAATATCCAGAAAGATAAACCGGAGTTGCTGGAGTCGGGACAATTGAGATTGATTTTGGGAGACGGGCGGAAAGGACATGCTGAACTGGGGCCTTATGACGCTATACACGTTGGGGCGGCTGCGGCTGTGTTGCCGCAACCTCTGGTGGATCAGCTGAAGGTATTTACAGTGAAAATGTCACCAATTGTAATACACAATATTTACTATGTCAATGTTTTTATTAATTTTATAGGTAGGAGGACGCCTGATTATTCCGGTGGGTCCAGCAGGGGGCGACCAACAACTCGAACAGATCGACAAGCTGCCTGACGGCTCAGTCCAACGCAAGTCTCTCATGGGGGTTGTCTACGTCCCACTAACCGATAAAACACACCAGTGGCCTCATTCCCATTGACAATTATTCGTAGGAGCCGTTTTCGTTCTGTCGTTACTTTTGATTTGTTACAAGTATTTCAAATCGTAATGCTGCTCTAGTCATCCTGTATTCCTCTTGACAAAAATTATTTATTTCGCGCGTCCATTGATATTCTCTGAGGAAAACTGTAATTATCATTAAATAAACTTATTTTCGTTCAATGTGGTTTAAATTTGCCGCCTAAATACTCGTACGTGATTGGCTGTGTTCGGATCACGGGTTCTGGGACAGCTCATGTCATCACAAAGTTACTAAATTAGCGACAAATTCCCTACATAAATGTCAAAAATCGATCGGCACGTGTGTTTTATTTATATTCAGTGTCGTGAACGACAACCATGCCCGAATCCAGCGACGACGAGTCCCCGAAGCCCTCCGGCCCCGTCGAGAACGCCTGGGCCATGAAAATCCCCGAGTTCAAACCCGAAGACAACCCCCACGGTCTTCTCGAGGAAAGTTCCTTCGCTACCCTGTTCCCCCAGTACCGCGAACAATACCTCCGCCAGGTGTGGCCCCTCGTGCAGAAAACCCTCAACGAGCACCACATCAAGGCCGAACTGGACGTAGTGGAAGGCAGTATGTCGGTGCGAACAACCCGAAAAACGTGGGACCCCTACATCATTATTAAAGCCCGGGACATGATTAAACTGATGTCGCGCAGCGTCCCCTACGAACAGGCGCAGCGTGTTTTGGGTGACGACACCGGATGCGATATTATTAAAATAGGAAAAATTACGCGTAACAAAGAGAAGTTTGTTAAAAGGCGGCAGAGATTAATCGGGCCGAATGGGTGCACGTTGAAGTCGATTGAATTATTGACGAGTTGTTATGTGCTGGTTCAAGGACAGACGGTGTCGGCGTTGGGGCCGTATAAGGGGTTGCAGCAAGTGAGGAAGATCGTGGAAGATACAATGAAGAATATTCACCCGATTTATAATATTAAAGCGTTGATGATTAAGAAGGAGTTGGCGAAGGATCCTAGGTTGAAGAATGAGAATTGGGAGAGGTTTTTGCCGAAGTTTGTCAACAAGAATATTAGTAAGAGGAAGCAGCCGAAGAAGAAGAAGGAGAAGAAGGCGTACACGCCGTTCCCGCCGCCGCAGACTGAGAGCAAGGTAGGAGTTACACAGTATGAAATTGTGATCACAATCACTACTAAATTGTTTCAGATTGATAAAGAATTGGCGTCTGGTGAATACTTCTTGAACAAGGAACAGAAACGGCAAAAGAAGCAGAAAGAGAAGAACGAGAAACACGCAGCGGCTGCTAAGAAGAGGGAAGAAAGGAGAAATGAGGCATTCGTTCCTCCTGAAGAACCTTCCACTTCTAAAAAATCGTCCAATGTTGACACTAATGTAGACATTGTTGCTCTTAAAGCGAAAATTGCTAAGGCACGCAAAGGCGCAAAGTTGTTTAATAAACAACAAAAATAATTTTGTTTTTGATTTTTATTATTCTACAACCTACAGTATACTAAATGATGGTGTTTATGTGAGGTTATGTCGTTGCGAACTGTCAAAGTCAAAACATAGATTAATATAGATGCGACATACAGGTTGATTTTGCAAAACCACCCTTATTGACAATGGCGTCCTCAAACGCCAAATTTAAATGGTCTATGACAATAAAAAAAACTTGTTTCAGTACAATTCGTCGCCTGAGAACTTGTTTGATCTACAGACCAGAGCGCGCTCAAGCCAATGTCGACTCTAAGCGTTCAGAAGCGATTTGGTTGGTTTGGACTATAATTTCTAAGAATATTGTTGAAATCGTAATAACCCAATGGATTTTTTTCGGTAAAACGTTTTGGAAACACTGTGTTCTATTTTGTATGAATTTTTTAATCTTTTTGGTGACAATTTTTGTGCTTGTTTTCGATACACTGTATGATATTAACAGTGAGAAAAAAAATCAAAAATTAAAATAATCGAGAAATCTACTACTCGAAAAATCGTAAAATGAAACATCAGAAAATCGAAAAAATGTAAAAGTCAAAAATCTAAAATTTAAAAACCGAATAACGAAAAATCGAGAAATCGAAACTCCCAAATTAAAAAAATCGGATAACTGAAAAATCGAAACATCGAAAAACCGAGAAATCGAAAAATCAAAAGATGAAGGAATCGTGGAGTCGAAAAGTCGAACAATTGAGAAACCGAAAAACTTAAAAATTCGAAAAATTGAAAGATCAAAAGAACGAGAAATCGACAAACAAAAAGTTAAAATTGAAAAATTGGAAAAGGGGAAAAATCAAAAAACGAAAAAATGTAGAACTGGAAAAACTGTGAAACCGAAATAGGCCAAAATAAAAAATTGAAAAACTGATAAATCGAAAACCTGAACAATCAAATCTCGATAAATCGGGAATGAAAAATTAACAAATCGAAAAATTGAAAAACAGAACATTTAAAACCAGGAGGTCGAAAAATCGAAAGATTAAAAAATATTGAAAAATTAAATATCAAAAAACTGAAAGATCTAAAATTTTAAAATCCAAAAATTGAAACATCGAAAAATCCAGAAGTCAAAAATAGAAAAGCAGAAGAAAAATCCTAAACCTGAAATATCTAAAAACTGAAAAATCGGAAAATCAAAAAAGTGAAATCGAAAAATAGCAAATCGCAAATTCGAAGGAACGAAAAATTGAAAACCGACAAACCTGCAATGAAAAACCAAAAATCGGGACATTTAAAAATGCAAAGAAAAATCAAGAATCGAAAAATTGGACAAAAAAAACAAATCGAACGAAAAATTGGAAAAATCAAAAAATTGTACACTTGAAAAATTATGGAACCGTCAAAATCGTGATTTTTCAAGTTTGCAATTGTTGGATTTCCAGATATCCGATTTTCCGATTTCTATAATTTTCAGCATTTTGATTTCGCACTTTTTCGATTTTTAAGTTTCTCAATTTTTAATGTTTCGATGTTTGAAATTTCGTTTCTTCAATTTTTCAAGGTTGATTTCCAATTTTCAGTTTCAAAATCTGAAAAACTAAAAAATGGAAAATCGAAAAATCGAAGAAACGAAAAATTGAAATATTTAAAAACCAAAAATCGCGAAATTTGAAAATCCAAAGAAAAATTGGACAGAAGAAATAAATGGATTCGAAAAATTGGAAAACACAAAAACTGTACAATCGAAAAATTATGGAATCATCAAAATTGTAATTTTTCAAGCTCCAGGAGTCAAAAATAGAAGAGCCGAAGAATTGAAATCTTGAAAAATCCTAAAACTGAAATATCTAAAAACTGAAAAATCGAAAAATCAAAAAAGTGAAGTGGAAAAATAGAAACCTTAAAAAATCGAAAAATTGAAAAATCAAAAACCTGAAAATTAAAGAAATGAAGAACAGGAAAATCGAAACACTCGAAGGTCAAGAAATGGGAAAATCAAAACCAATTGATTGAAAAATCGAAAAATTGAGTTTATAAAAGTCAAATTTGAAAAATTAAAAAATCGAAAATTTGACAAAATGACGATTGAAAAACAGAAAATCTAAAACCGGGTAGTCGAAAAATCAAAAGATTAAGGGATCGAAACATTTGAAAAATTCTAAAACTTGAAAAATTGAAATATCGAAGAACTGAACTGAAAAATCGAGAAATCGTAAAATCTAAAATTTAAAAAATTAAAAAATCTAAAATTGAAAAATCGAAAAAGTAAAATAATCGACACATCTATCGAAAAATCCAGGAGTCAAAAATCGAAAAGTCGAAGAATCGAAATATTGAAAAATCCCAAAACTGAGATATCGAAAAACTGAAAAATGAAAGAAAAACTGAAAAATGGAAAACCTAAAAAATCCGAAAACTGAAATATTCAAAAACTGAGAACCTAAAAAGTCGAAAAATTATGGAACCGTCAAAATCGTGATTTTTCAAGTTTGCAATTGTTGGATTTCCAGATATCCGATTTTCCGATTTCTATAATTTTCATCATTTTGATTTCGCACTTTTTCGATTTTTAAGTTTCTCAATTTTTAATCTTTCGATGTTTGAAATTTCGTTTCTTCAATTTTTCAAGGTTGATTTCCAATTTTCAGTTTTTGCAAGATTTTCATTTTACACTATTTCGTCTCTTCATTTTCGATTTTTCAATTTTACAATTTTTCAATATTTTTAATGAAAAAGTTGAAAAATCTAAAAACTGAAAAATCTGAAAAAACAAAAAATGGAAAATCGAAACATCGAAGAAACGAAAAATTGAAATATTTAAAAACCAAAAATCGCAAAATTTAAAAATCCAAAGAAAACTCAAGAATCGAAAAATTGGACAGAAGAAATAACAAATGGATTCGAAAAATTGGAAAACCCAAAAATTGTAAAATCGAAAAATTATGGAATCATCAAAATTGTAATTTTTCAAGCTTGCAATTGTTGGATTTCCACTTATCTGATTTTCCAACTTCTATAATTTTCTACATTTTGACTTAACAATACATTTTGTTTTTTTATTTCGCACTTTTTCGATTTTTAGGTTTCTCAATTTTTAATTTTTTGATTCTTTAATTTTTCGTTTCATCAATTTTTCAAGATTTTGATTTTCAGTTTTCAGAGCTTTCAAGGTTTTCATTTTACAATGTTACAATATTTCGATTCGATTTGTTTTTTCTTCAGTCTAGTTTTTCGATTCATTGAGTTTTCTTTCGATTTTTAAATTTCTCGATTTTTCGACTTTACGATTTTCCACTTTTTTCGAGTTTTTAGATTTTTAATTTTTCGGTTCTTCAGTTTTCGATTTTTCAACTTTTTGAATAAAAAAATAGAAAAACCGAAGAATTGAAATCTTGAAAAATCCTAGAACTGAAATATCTAGAAAGTGAAAAATCGAAAAATCAAAAAAGTGAAGTCGAAAAATAGAAACCTTAATAAATCGAAAAATTGAAAAATTAAAAACCTGAAAAACAAAAAATTAAAGAAATGAAGAACAGGAAAATCGAAACACTCCAAGGTCAAGAAATGGGAAAATCAAAACATCGATTAATTGAAAAATGGAAAAATTGACAAAATGACAATTGAAAAACAGAAAATCTAAAACCTGGAAGTCAAAAAATCAAAAGATTAAGAAATCGAAACATTTGAAAAATTCGACCACTTGAAAAATTCAAATATCGAAGAACTGAACTGAAAAATCGAGAAATCCAAAAATCTAAAATTTAAAAAATTTAAAAATCGAAAAAGTAAAATAATGGACAAAACTGAAATATCCAAAAACTGAGAGCCTAATAAAAAGTCAAAAAATTGAGCAATCGAAAAAGTGAAGTCGCAAAATCGAAACCTTAAAAAAACTAAAAAATGAAAAATCGAAAAATTAAAGAATTGAAGAACAAGAATATCGAAACCCTCGAAAGTCAAGAAATGGAAAAATCGAAAATCTGAAACAACGACAATTGAAAAACAGAAAATCTAAAACCGGGAAATCGAAAAATCGATAGATTAAAAAATCAAAACATTTGAAAAATTCGAAAACATGAAAAACGGAAATATCGAAGAACTGATGAAAAATCGAGAAATCGAAAAATGTAAAATTTAAAAACCGAAAAATTGAAAAAACGACAATTGAAAGACAGAAAATCTAAAACCGGCAAGTCGAAAAATCGAAAGATTAAGAAATCGAAACATTTGAAAAATTGAAATATGGAAGAGATGAAATGAAAAATCGAGAAATCGAAAAATCTAAAATTTTAAATATTGAAAAATTAAAATACCAAAAAATTGAGAAATCTAAAATTTATAAAATCGAAAAAGTAAAAAGTCGACACATCGAAAAATCTAGAAGTCAAAAATAGAAAAGTTGAACAGAAATATTGAAAAATCCCAAAACTAAAATATCGAAAAACTGAAAAATAAAAGAAAAACTGACGAATCGAAAAACTGAAAAATCCCAAAACTAAAATATCCAAAAACTATCTATCGAATCTAAAGAATCGAAAAATTGAGAAATTGAAAAATCAAAAAAGTGAAGTTGAAATATCGAAACCTGAAAAAAATGGAAAAATTGAAAAATCAAAAACATGCAAAATCCTAGAAAAAAGATCGAAAAATTGAATAACAAGTAAACTGAAAAATCCCAAAACTGAAATGTCCAAAAAGTGAGAAATTAAAAAACTGAAAAATTGAGAAATCGAAAAATCAAAAAAGCGAAGTTGAAAATCGAAAAATTGAAAAACCAAAAAACCTAAAAAATCAATTATATAAAAAATGGACAAATAAAGAGTTTATAAAAGTCAAAAATTGAAAAATCGAAATGTTTAAAAATCGTAAAATTGAAGAGAAAAACTGAAAACCGAGAAATTGAAAAATTGAGAAATTGTAAAATCCAAAAATTGAATAATAAATAGGAGTAAACTGAAAAGTCCCCAAATTAAATCGATAAATCTAGTGCCAATTTGTCTCAGTTTTTGAATATTTCAGTTTTTCCGTTCTTCAGTTTCTTTTCTTTTTTCAATTTTTTCAGATTATTTAATTTTTGGATTTTACAATTGCTCAATTTTTCAATTTCTCGATTTTCATTTTTCCGATGTTTCAGTTTTACGTTTTTCTAATTTTTCTCCTCTTCAATTTTACGATTTTTTAATTTTGACTTTTCTAAATTCTCAATTTTTCGATTTTTCAATTAATCGATGTTTTGATTTTCCCATTTCTTGACTTTCGACTATTTCGATTTTTCAGTTTTTCAATTCAATTTCTCAATTTTTTAAGGTTTCGATTTTTCGACTTCACTTTTTTGATTTTTCGATTTTTCAATTTTTTAATTTTTTAACTTTCTCAGTTTTTGGATATTTAAGTTTTGGAATTTTTCACTTTATCTTTCGTTTTCGAAATTTCAGTTCATTTATTATTCAATTTTACAATTTTTTAATTTTTTTTACGTTTTAAAAATTTTTGTTTTCTTCAATTCTACGATTTGTAAATATTTCTCTTTTTCAATAAGTTTTCAAATTTGACTTTTATAAACTTTTTGTTTTTCGATTTCTCATTTCTTTAATTTTTAAATTTTCAATTTTTTAGGTTTTTGATTTTTGATTTTTCAATATTTTAAGATAAGATAAGACTGATTTTGGCACTTTTTCACATCCTTTTTCAACTCCTACACAACAGAAGAACATAATTAGCCCCGCCCACCCACCCGGCCTCCATTTCGGTGATTGGTTTTATCCGCTCTGAATGCATGGAATGATCTTATACTGAACAGAAATAAAATTAGTCGTTAGAATGAGAAGAGGGGGTGGGTGGGTGGGGCTAATATTTGCTAAGATAAGACAGATTTTTGCAAATGACATATCCTACAAGAAAACAGAGGGTGGGTGGGCGGGGCTTGTATTTGCTAAGATAAGATTGATTTTGGCACTTTTGACATATTCGACCGAAAAAAAGGTTCCAATTGCGCTTTTTTTCCTTTTTTCACATCCTAGATTCTATTAATTTTCACTCCCAGTCAACAGAAGAATATAATTAGCCCCGCCCACCCACCCGGCCTCCATTTCGGTGATTGGTTTTATCCGCTTTGAATGGATGGAATGATCTTATACTGAACAGAAATAAAATTAGTCGTTAGAATGAGAAGAGGGGGTGGGTGGGTGGGGCTAATATTTGCTAGGATAAGACAGATTTTTGCAAATCACATACTCCCCAAGAAAATAGAGGGTGGGTGGGTGGGGTTGGTTTTTGATAAGATAAAACTGATTTTGGCATTTTTAATATTCTTGGACGATTTTCAACCATTTTCTTGTAAATTTCGATATCCATTTTTTGAGTTAATTTTGGGACCCCGATTTTTTTGGAAAAATTTAATACAATCGTGAGGAGATAAGTATTCTTGTTTGGAAAGAATTTGAAACTGCTTTGAAGTCTCAAGTGTCTTTTCTTATAATAATTTAATTAAATTTCTTAAAGGATAAGTCATTTGCCAAAATCACTCTTATCTTAGCAGGTACTAGCTAGAAACAAACACTGTTGCCAACATAAGTCGAGGAGTCCTCAACCGTCATTTAATTTAAACTATGACGCTTCTCGATGTTCTCTCGTCAAAATACACTCATTGAACATCGATTTTATCGATACATCGAACACGGCAAACATCGAAAAAATTAGTCGATGTTCGTCGTCACAAACGTCACTCATGACAACCGCATTGACAGACGTCAAGTGTGACAACTCACTCATGTTTATAAAACAGCTGCTTTTTGAGTAAGAATCAGTTTTATTTTTTAAATGGAGACGTCGGACAGTGAATATTTCGAGAGTGCGGACGAGGATTTTCAGTCCGACGACGAAGACACGAAAACGGTTCGGAGTGTGACGAATGATGAAACTAGCGAAAAATGCGTAAAATCGGCCACAACGCAATTGAAAAATGTGGAAATTGGGGTAGATGATAATAAAAGCAGCGGCAAATCTAGTGTAGATAACGTTCGAAAAGACGACGAAAACAACGTGAGTACGTCCAAAGCTAGAAACGAATCTTCGAAGAAATTAGGGACTAGATTAAGCAAAAAAAGTGACAGTGTAGAGAAGCATGACGATATTAAAGTTGTAGAAGCGGAGAGTCGGAAACCTGATATTAATCCAGCGAGTAAGGACACAATTTCGAACGAAGAAAACCTGTGGGATGAAAGTGAAGACTGGGGGCACGAGAAAGAGGAAGAAAACATGTGGGATAACGACGAGTGGGAAGCCGTTGATGAGCCAAGCTCGCAACCTGAGGAGAAAGTGCCTCAAAGTAACACAGCTTGGGGCTCTTGGGGTAACTGGGGCGTGTCTTCCATCCTCACCACTGCCACTCAAAGCGTGTCAAGCATAACGCAAGGGATCACCACAGTTCTAGAAACGGGAATAGGAGTCCCAGAACCAGAAGAACTCGCTCGAATAAACCAAACCGAAAAGCAAAAGTTGAAAGAACTGTCGCCCGACACCGAAGATAAAAGCACAGGTTTTGGGTTAAACAACCTAGTGATGGGTGTCTCTCACTTGACCAAACTAGTAGAAACCACCAGCACGAAAGTAATTTCTGGCGGCCTCGACACTCTGGAGACCATAGGCAAAAAAACAATGGAAGTTCTGCAAGAGGGGGACCCCGGTTTAAAGAAAAAGCGCGCTTTTTTGAAAATCGACCAAGACAAACCAGTTCTGTCGCAGCTGCTTCGCGAAGCGAAGGAAAAAGCTGAGGAAGAGAACAAGGTTTTGGAGGAGAAACACTTCGCGAAGAAAGCGAAAAATTACGAGACTTTGTTTGATGACCATCAAGGTCTTGTACATTTAGAAGCCTTAGAAATGCTTTCCAAACAATGTGATATTAAATTACAGACGTTATTAGAGTCGTATTCTGGTGAATCTTTGACTGAGATGCAAGAAACCATGGATCAAGTGAAGGAATTGTGCGAGCTTCCGGATGAAGACGAGGACGAGCAAACAAGCTGGAGCGAGATTTTAGAAAAATTGAATTCCGCCGTTTCTGAAATCAATATCCCGATTTCGTACAAGAAACTCGTTGATACTTGGGAAGAAACCGAGGTTTGGTTGAATCATTTGAAATTGGAAGTGTGCGACGAGAGGGAGTTGCATCAACAGGCTGTCGAAACACTGGCGCAATTAACGGCTTTGGCTGTCGAACAGTTCCACAAAGCGGGGGAGTTGTTGTTGGTGAAAGAGCACAGAAGTACGGCTGACGAAGCAGACAGTTTAGTACAGTAAGTAAATTCATGACGTCATCGAAAACTAGGAACTTTAATTTTTTGTTTTTCTTAGGTTGACGACTTCCCTGACTTCCCTAATCGGCATCGTGGCGGCAAAATTTTCCGAAAAATTGAACGCCAAAAGTTCTAACTCGAAAAATAAGGAAGCCATCAATGGTTTAATCACGACCGTGTTTTTTGAGGTAAGTCATCACAATTAAATATTGACCAATGAAATCGTCGTTTGGTTTTAGGCGGCCAATAGCAGTTCATATATTCAAGATGCTTTTCAACTTTTAGTACCGGTACTTCAAGTGGGTGCAGTATAGTTTTAAGGATCTATAACGTATAACGTGGGTGTACATATATATAATTTATAAAAATCTTAAGAATCATTCATTGTTCCTTTTATATTATTGTACTTTTCATCCAAGTAAACACTTTAGACACTAGTGGTTTTTTTATTTATCACACAAAGTAGAGTTTTAGGTTTCGTTTTGTAATACAATGGAAATTTAATATATAACTTTTAAAATATAGTAGCCTTCGACCGATTTTTTAGAACGAATCATATTAAAATCACGGCCAACTGTATTAATACATATGGCCACCCCAATTCGTATAAAAAGTTGATTTTTTGACGTTTCCAAAATCGTTAATCAGGCAACGACATCTGTTGAGTACAATTATGAACTTGGTTGGCAAATAATTGTCAAAATGACGTTTTAAAATATCACGTTTTTCTGAAAGTGTAGATAATGGCACAAGAACATTAATGATATTACTCCTACTTAGTTTTGAAATAAGATAGATATATTTTTACAAAACGAAAATTATTTAACAAAAAGGAAGGTACATATTCATAATTTTAAAACTTTTCTGCTGGTAGGTTTGTTACAGATCGTTATTTTCTTCAACCAGTCTGTTTGTTCCAAACAAATATTATCAATAACTGGTTTCACCGTTGCTCGAATAATTATATCACAAACTCTTGATTTATGTTCCAAGCAACAAAATAATGGATTTTGGTCCAAAGAAGGATGGAGCAGATTACATATTTGTTGACATGTCTTTTTAGAGTTTAAAAACGGTGGTATTAGAAAGTTTTTTAAAAAGGGTAACATTTAGATTCAGTTATTTGAAGACAAATCGTGAAAAATATTTTAGATTCGTAATCTGCGAAAAATTATCTATAAGCCAACTATGTTCCGCTGGATCAGATCGTCTTTTAACTGTTACAGACAAAAAATTTTTGGAAATTACAAAAAAATGTCTTCAACTAATTTTCTGAAATAGTTGAAAAATAGTTGAAAATGTCAAAAGTGCGAAAATCAGTTTTATCTTATCAAATACTAGCCCCGCCCGCCCACCCTCTATTTTCTTGGAAGGTATGTGATTTGCCAAAATCAGTATTATCTTAGCAAGTACTATTTAATTATTGTTTAATCATTTATTTTGCCATTTCAATATACAATATAGTACTTGCTAAGATAATACTGATTTTGGCAAATCACATACCTTCCAAGAAACTAGAGGGCGGGTGGGGGGGGCTAGTACTTGGTAAGATAAGACTGATTTTGGCAAATGACATATCCTACAAGGTAAGAAAGGGCGGGTGGGCGGGGCTAGTGTTTGCTAACAAAAAAACTGATTTTAGTAAATAACATATTCCTAAGAAAATAGAGGGTGGGTGGGTGGGGCTAGTACTTGCTAAGATGAGACAATATTTGGCAAACGACATACTCTTTAAGAAAATGGAGGGTGAGTGGGTGGGCGGGGCTAGTATTTCATAAGGTAAATTTGCGATTAGTATTCTATAAAACTAGAAAGTCAATGTTTTCCTCTCAAATAAAGCCATTTGGAACGGTTTTAGAATTTTTTGGAAATGTTGGGAATTTTTGGACTCCTTTTCTCGCATTTCTCAGTTATTTGAAGAGAAATCGTGAAAAATATTTTAGATTCGTAATCTGCGAAAAATTATCTATAAGCCAACTATTTTCCGCTGGATCAGATCGTCTTTTAACTGTTACAGACAAAAAATTTTTGGAAATTACAAAAAATGTCTTCAACTAATTTTCTGAAATAGTTGAAAATGTCAAAAGTGCGAAAATCAGTTTTATCTTAGCAGATACTAGCCCCGCCCACCCACCCTCTATTTTCTTGGAAGGTATGTGATTTGCCAAAATCAGTATTATCTTAGCAAGTACTATTTAATTATTGTTTAATCATTTATTTTGCCACTTCAATATACAATATAGTACTTGCTAAGATAATACTGATTTTGGCAAATCACATACCTTCCAAGAAACTAGAGGGCGGGTGGGCGGGGCTAGTACTTCCTAAAATAAGACTAATGGTGGCAAATGACATATCCTACAAGGTAAGAAAGGGCGGGTGGGCGGGGCTAGTGTTTGCTAACAAAAAAACTGATTTTAGTAAATAACATATTCCTAAGAAAATAGAGGGTGGGTGGGTGGGGCTAGTACTTGCTAAGATGAGACAATATTTGGCAAACGACATACTCTTTAAGAAAATGGAGGGTGAGTGGGTGGGCGGGGCTAGTATTTCATAAGGTAAATTTGCGATTAGTATTCTATAAAACTAGAAAGTCAATGTTTTCCTCTCAAATAAAGCCATTTGGAACGGTTTTAGAATTTTTTAGAAATGTTGGGAATTTTTGGACTCATTTTCTCGCATTTCTCAGTTATTTGAAGAGAAATCGTGAAAAATATTTTAGATTCGTAATCTGCGAAAAATTATCTATAAGCCAACTATTTTCCGCTGGATCAGATCGTCTTTTAACTGTTACAGACAAAAAATTTTTGGAAATTACAAAAAATGTCTTCAACTAATTTTCTGAAATAGTTGAAAATGTCAAAAGTGCGAAAATCAGTTTTATCTTAGCAGATACTAGCCCCGCCCACCCACCCTCTATTTTCTTGGAAGGTATGTGATTTGCCAAAATCAGTATTATCTTAGCAAGTACTATTTAATTATTGTTTAATCATTTATTTTGCCACTTCAATATACAATATAGTACTTGCTAAGATAATACTGATTTTGGCAAATCACATACCTTCCAAGAAACTAGAGGGCGGGTGGGCGGGGCTAGTACTTGCTAAGGTAAGACTAACGGTGGCAAATGACATATCCTACAAGGTAAGAAAGGGCGGGTGGGCGGGGCTAGTATTTGCTAACAAAAAAACTGATTTTAGTAAATAACATATCCCTAAGAAAATACAGGTTGGCTGGGTGGGGCTAGTACTTGCTTAAATAAGGCAATTTTTGGCAAACGACATACTCTTTAAGAGAATGGAGGGTGAGTGGGTGGGCGGGGCTAGTATTTCATATGGTAAATTTGCGATTAGTATTCTATAAAACTAGAAACTCAATGTTTTTCTCTGAAATAAAGCCATTTGGAACGGTTTGAAATTTTTTGGAAATTTTGGAGATTTTTGGAGTCCTTTCCTCGCATTTCTCAGTTATTTGAAGACAAATCGTCAAAAAATATTTTATCTATAAGTCAACTACATATTTTCCGGTGGGTCAGATCGTCTTTTAACTGTTTCAGACAAAAATTTTCTGGAAATTACGAAAAATTGTTGTCACTTTTTTCGCTAATTTTCGAAAATAAATGAAAAATAGTTGAAAATGTCAAAAGTGCGAAAATCAGTTTTATCTTATCAAATACTGCTAGCACCGGTTTTCGTGGTTTCACTCAAGAGACTGCACATGCTTTAAAATTTATTGCCAGAAGTACATATTTGTGTGTTAAGTTTTTATTAGAACAAGCAGGCTTTTACTATGTTCTTACGCGTTCCTTTAGCTCCGATGCGGTGGAAGCAACGTTCTCACACGTGAGATTAAAAGGAGGCTCCAATGATGCAACGGATGCCAGAGCGGCAGAATATGCAATGCGTCAGATCCTCCGCTGCGGAATTGTTAAGTGATGTCACTCAAAAAATGTTGGCGTTTTTAAACTCCAAAAAGACATGTCAACAAATATGTAATCTGCTCCATCCTTCTTTGGACCAAAATCCATTATTTTGTTGCTTGGAACATAAATCAAGAGTTTGTGATATAATTATTCGAGCAACAGTGAAACCAGTTATTGATAATATTTGTTTGGAACAAACAGACTGGTTGAAGAAAATCTATCTTATTTCAAAACTAAATAATATGAGTAATATCATTAATGTTCTTGTGCCATTATCTACACTTTCAGAAAAACGTGATATTTTAAAACGTCATTTTGACAATTATTTGCCAACCAAGTTCATAATTGTACTCAACAGATGTCGTTGCCTGATTAACGATTTTCGAAACGTCAAAGAATCAACTTTTTATACGAATTGGGATGGCCATATGTATTAATACAGTTGGCCGTGTTAAAATCGACTTTCATCGTCATGTTGATGTATAAATATTTATGATTATTATTCATTGCTTACATATTTAAATTACCGTGATTTTTTGCGTATTGTCGGTGTAATCATTCAAAATATTTGTTTGTTTTTTTAAACTTTATGGTTTATTTTTGTTTATGAAATAACCTTAGTCGAAGAAAAGTCCTCTAGTCGGCCATGAAATTAATTTTTAAAATAATGATGTTGGCACCGCCGCTCCGTTCCTGTCCAGTTGACAGCTACGTCAAAATTTACTACTAATCTAGGGACTTTCGGTTAAACAACTGTCAAACAGGTGTGGCTAATCAGGACCCTACAAATCCAAAAATTTCAATTATTTATTAAGTTAACAAATTTAAGTTTTATAAAAAAAGATGGAACATGAACGCGCAACCATTGAACTATTGTTTACCTCTCTTACTACCAGTGGGGGGTTTTTGTAGCTGGAAATTGGAACTCGTGTTTAGCTGAAAGGGGGTACTCCCGAAACCCGTAGGCTTGAAAATCGAAGTATTACTTGCCGCTGTTCCAAAACCCGGGGCCGCAGTTCCAAGACCAAACCCTAAAACACCAAGGTCAAACACGCGTTCTACCGGCAAACCAACCCCAAGTACCTAAAGTCGGAGCGCTGGTGGTAACAGCAGTCTGAAACGGCGCTGGCTGTGTTTGCTGTGCAGCTATAGTGATGTTATTGCTCCCCAAAGCTATACTGTTAAAGGGGGTAGGTCCAGACGCTAGATTCGGAGGCGTCGCTCTCAGCGCATTTCTCATTATAAGATTCATCGCTTCAGCGTTTTTGTCCATTTTTTCGAACGGGTTGGTGTTGTCTTTGACGACTTGTTTGCGCAAGTTTAAAAACATCTCTTTTTGGGCTTCGACTTGACTGTGGACTGATTGCATGCGACCAGCCAAGGCGACGAAGGTTTCGTGTAGTCGTTTCAAACCTACGGCTAAATCTGAAACTCATCACTTACTACCACAATTACAAAAAAAAATACAAAGTACCCTGTGACGTTAACACACTCGGTTCGTTACATTTCTTGACGAACTTCTCCGTGTTGTCGATTTTTAATTTGAGTAGTTGCATTTCGCGCTCGAAATTATCCGCCAAATCTAGGAAAAACTGCAGGGGGGCGTTATTGTCGTACTGCAGACTCGGAGGGGTGTCCTGAGTGCGCTGAGCCATCTCGATATTCTGCAAACCTTTCGCTGTATCGTACTTCAACTGCTCAGCTAAATTCCGATTGTTCAATAGTTGATTCTCAACTTGATTAAACTGGTGATTTAACGAATCTAATTCAGTCTCGACTTTCCGGAATTCCTTCACCGAACAGCGCGCCACATCCGAGCTACGATTTTTCTCCTCTTGAACGACATTCTTAAACTGTTCAACCAACTGCGAAAACTCATTCGGTAGCAATTGTTCCTTCGGAGGCAATTCTTTCTGAGCACTTGTACTAGTACCAGTTTTCGATTGTGTGAAGGCAACCCCACCCAACCCCACACTCTGCTGTGTGGTGGTGGTCGCCGTCAACCCCAACCCCACCGAACTCGTGGCAACCCCTCCCAACCCTCCGGTGGCCCCCCCGAAACTAAACCCACTCGTCGCAGGCGCCCCAAAATTCAAAGTCGGCGCAGCGGTGCTCGCAGCCCCGAAATTCAACCCCAAACTCGGAGTGGAAGTAGTGATAGCCCCAAAACTCAACCCACTCGTGGCAGGCGCAGATGTGGCTCCTCCAAACGTCAGTCCCGTACTCGGCGCCGAACTAGCGAAAGTGGGGGCTGTGGTCGTGCCCCCAAAACTCAACCCCGTGGACGCAGGGCCACCGAAACTCAAACCCGTAGACACCTGCGGCGCCCCAAAACTCAACCCAGTCGAAGCCGGTGTCCCGAAAGACAGACTCGTAGAGGCCGGAGTACCGAACGCCAAACCTGTGGTTGCCGGGGGCTTGAAACCTAAGCCCGTAGCGGCAGTGGAAGCCGGGGTCCCGAATGATAGACCAGTACTGGCTGCTGGCGTTCCAAACGAGAAACCTGTAGCTGGTGCGGTCGAAACCGGGGCCCCAAAGGCCGGAGTGGTCGTCCCGAAGGAGAACCCACCGGGTTGAGTGGTAGTGGGGGCGCCGAAACCGGCGGGTTTGAAACCTAGCGCTGAGGTGGTGGCGGGGGACTGGGTGCCGAATAAACTGGGGGCGGACGACGAGAGGGTGCCGAAGCCGAACTGCTGGGTTTGCGTAGCTGGGGTCCCGAATGTTATGGAACCTGTACCGAACGAAGGGGCGGCGGTGGTTCTGGAAGGGTTTGTTAATTGGGTTTATTTCAAACGGTGGTACTTACTTGGCACCGAAGGTGAATCCTGTAGTCATTTTGGGCCTTAACTTATTAACATATAACTAGAAAATTTAACTAAATAGCTACAGAACAGATGAGGTTATGTTGATGAAAGTTAAAATTCAAATTAGAAATCTGTATTATCGACGCATTGACAATCAAATTTAAATTATTTTATTAGGTTGTGAAAAAAGTACAATACGCCAATCGTTTTGTTGTAAATAACGGTGCCCGACTTAATTGTCCGAATTTCTCGCTTTTTTTATTAATATTGTTACGTTACACAAGAATTGAGGTTATGTTATTGAGTCGCTAAAGCAACTAGGAATCTACTTTATCGACCCATTTTAAACCTAAAAAATGTTTAAAACTCGCCTATTAACCAAAAACGTGACCCATTTTGTAAAAAACTGGCCTTTAAGTAAATGCTTGTCGTCAGTTTCTCACATTCTGGGGACCCACAAAACCGGAGATGTCGTCACCGTGAAGGTAACATAACCTCGAAATGTCGCGTCAAACTCTAACCAAATAAAACCGTAGGGGTGGATTAAATCGTTACGCAACCAAAAAGAACACATTTTTGTCGACTTGAGCGACGGTTCGACTGACCGCAAGTTGCAAATATGCGTCTCCAAACATTCTGGTCACAATCTAACTACGGGTGCGTCGATTATAGTGTCGGGGCCCCTTTCCCTATCACCCAAAGGACAGCTCGAACTATCCGCCAACAATATTGAAGTCTGCGGCAAATGCGTAGTGACCGAGGGTTACCCGTTCGCACCCAGAAAACACTACACCCCCGAGTACATCCGTCAGTACCTTCATTTCAGACCCAGAACTAACAAATTTAGCGCGTTATTGAGAGTGAGGAATGCCGCAACGCTAGCTATTTACAACCATTTCGACTCGGAGGGTTTTGTAAACGTGCACACCCCGATTTTAACGTCGAACGATTGCGAGGGCGCGGGTGAAGTTTTCCGGGTGTTGCCAGAGAGTGCGAATTTAGTAAAGTCGATGATGAAAGAGGGGCAGAGTGAGGACGAGGTGTACTTTAACAGAAAGGCGTTTTTGACGGTGTCAGGGCAGCTGCATTTGGAGGCGGCAGCTCATGGCTTGAGCAAAGTGTACACGTTCGGGCCCACCTTTAGAGCGGAAAACTCGAGGTCGCGGCTGCATTTGTCCGAATTTTACATGGTAGAAGCGGAGGTTGCTTTTGTGGATAAACTTGAAGATGTTACGGGTTGCGTCGAAACTTTGATCAAAAAGGTCACAACTGAAGTGGTTAATAAGGCGGGGGAAGATGTAGAGAGGTGTCAGGATGTAAAGCAGGGGTGCACGTGGGTTGATAAAAAATTTCCGGTGGTTGCGTATAAAGAGGCTGTGGATATTTTGGATAAGAATAGAGATAAGTTTAAGGAGAAGGTTCATCCCAGGGAGGGATTAGGGAAAGAACATGAGTTGTTTTTGGTTGAGTATTGTGGAAATGTTCCTGTTTTCGTGGTGGAGTGGCCTAAAGAAATGAAACCTTTTTACATGAGGGAGAGTGAAGCTGGACTGGTTTCTGCTTTTGATTTGTTGGGGCCGAACGTGGGAGAAATTGTTGGGGGGAGTTTGCGTGAAAACGACTACGATAAATTACGGAAAAAAATTCCTGAAGAAAATTCGCACCTAGAGTGGTATTTGGAGTTGAGGAAGTTTGGTTCAGTTCCAACTGGAGGTTTTGGGTTGGGTTTTGAACGGTACTTGCAGTCGCTCTTGGGTATTGGGAACATTAAAGACGCAATCCCTTTTCCAAGGTGGCCCCACAATTGCAGTTTGTAAAAAATAATAAAAAAAAACAAGTTTGGAATGAAAGCTAACATTTATTAAGTAACTATATACATCAGAAATTAATACCATGTACTTATATTCAAACCATTTATTAACGTGTATAAGAAAACGTTAGATACAAGGTTGTATACACATGATTTTTTAAAAAATAAATTTATTTTCAACAAATGACAACAACATAATCATAAAACGGCTCAACATTTCTCAAATGTCAAAAAAATACAAATCATTTACTATCAGTAGTAGATACAGCAGGATTTAAAATAAATCGTAAAAAAGTCATAAATTCAGTGCAAATAAACGTAACTTTATACAAAACAGTCCCCTTTAGTCCGACTGATTGACGCAAACGCACACTGGAGCACTAAACTCAATCACATTATACTGCACATTCCAGTCAACTCGCTTCCTTTTTGCACTGGGGGCAATTTCTTCAGTTCGACACCCCGAAGCGCCGGCTTGATGTTCAGCTGAACGGGCTCCTCCCCGGGGGGCAAAGGCTGCGACGGATCGATCACCGGCTCTAAACTAGGTACACTATCACACGGAATTTCCTTCGGTTCTTTAGGAGTGATCACAGGTAAAGGTTTACTAATATTAATTTTAATTTTACTCCCAATACTCGCCGTCGTCGTCGGGACGCTCAAAACGGGCTCGGTATTACCATCGATGGAACTGATTATGGTCGTCGGCTGGCTGGGCTCCGCGAACGACGCCGGTTCCTCCGGGGGCGTCACCAACGCCACATCATCTAAATCAAAAACGAACATTACAAAATACACCCTTACAACCACACTACATAAAGTCGACAGTTGCAAATTTAATCAAAAACACTTACCGGGATCGATGGGTTCACTTTTAATTTTAATGTGCCCCCCACCGTTCTTGATTTTCATCAAGCCCTCCTCCACGTCCATGAAGCCGTCGTCGATCTGCTCGACCTTGATCGGGAGCTCCGAAGGCAAACTATCCGTGTACTCCTTGTCGTCGTCGACTTCGATTTTTTCAGGTACGACTTCGTGGATGATGACGTCGTCGTCGTCGTCATCGTCCTCGTCCTCCTCCGGCTCCTCCTTCGCCTCTTCGTTCGACGGTTTCGACTCGTCGCTTTCGTCGATCACCACTTCCTCCTCCTTCGGCTCTTCGTCGTCGTCGTCGTCGAGAATAATCTCCAAGCCGGGGATGTTCAGTTCCTCAGTCTTTTCTTTCACGTCTTCGTGACTGGCCTCCTCGATGCGGCTGTCCTCCGCGGGCTCCAGCAGCGACGTCTGGTAGTCTTCGTAGCACACCGGGTGGTAAGTCTTGTCGTCGACTCGGATCGCGTTCCGCAGGTGCCACTCCTCCTTGTCTTCGTTGAAGAACTGGTCGAACTTGTCCTGGCACACGTCGCAGTGCGTTTCTTGGACTTCGGGGTCGGCGGGAACGCTAGGCACTTCGACTTCTTCGTCGGCGTCCTCGCCGGCGCCTTCCGCTTGCATCTGCTGCTGGTCGAAGAAGTTCTCCTTTTCTTCGAGGTCTTCGACCTCGATGTAGTTCATCCAGTCGGAGAGCGAGTAGAACCACCTCCGGGTGGCCCCGACGCGGATGTTCTTCTTGCCTTTGCGGTTCTGGCGGAAGTGCCAGTCGAGGTGCTGGCTGTAGCGCATGCTTTGCTCTGGAGGGAAGCGCATGCCGCAGCTGCTGCACTGCATCCCGGAGTATAAAGCTTCGTAGAGAGGGTTCTGGCGCATTTTCAGGGTTTCGGGTCGGTTGAAGTTGATCACTTTGAGGTGTTCGAGGGGGTTGCGCCGGGCGGGCTTGATGGGGTAGATCGGTGGTAGTTCTGGTTCTTTGGTGGCCACGATTCCTGTGGCGACGAGCTTCTGGAAGAGCTCGTTGATGTTGAGGCTCGGGGGTAGGATTGGGGCCGGGTTGACGTAAGGAAGGGCGTCCATGGACTGGCTGTTTTGGGTGTCCGAGGTGGGTAATAGATTCTCGACTTGGTAGCCGCCGCTGGAGGCGGAAGGCGTCATCGATGAGGTCATAACGCTCGATAAGACGTCCAGGTTGTCTGTAATCGAAGATGTAGTAAAAGTTGTACGTGCAACGGGGCGAAAAAACTTACTTTGTTGCATGAAATGCTGGAAGAAGTGCGGTGAGTTGGAGTTTCTGTCTTGCTCATCTTCCACCTTTTTCTTGCGGGAGAAGACGGGCAGAGCAGGTTCGTTAATATCGACACTAGCGAACGCCGAGCCGTCCTGACTGTCGTCAGTCTCGGCGATCTGCGCGCCCTCCATGTCTTTAATACACACTAACCCCGGTTTAATACCCTTCGGCAACACTGAAAATCTGATAAAATGTTTCTTATCATGGACAGTAATAGGTTTAGGGAGGCCACCAAATTCAACTTTAAATGGAACATCATTTATTAAAACAGTTTTCAAAGCATCTACAAATTTTAATGTATGAGTTTCACCATCAATAACAAACTTTTGCACTTTGGCATCCAAGAAAACGGGAACTAGGATTTTCGCATCGATTATCAGATTTACTTTGCCGGCGACCAAGTCGGTTCTTTTCACGGTGCCGATTCGGACATCTGGTGGTGGTTTCTCTAACTTGACCGTAGTCATTTTCCCATCTAAATCTATCGTAATCCCGGGACTCCCGAAGTAGCACTCATACGGCTTCCCATCAATGAAAATCTCCCTGGTCGGCGCCCCCAGTTTCACTTTGTGCATCGCGCCGTTTATACTCAGCTCCTTGTACCCTTCATTGAAGGACAACAAGTAGACCTCCTTATCGTCAAAAATGACGTGTCTGCTTCCATTTTGGAAGGAAATCTCCCTGGGATCGTCCCAGTTCATGAAAACGATCGCCGTCTCCTCGTAATATCGTATATCACGCGGCACCTTATCGATATTAATAGTCTTTATATCGTCCTGATTCACAGAATCTACGGTAACTTCCGGCGGAACCTCCGGCGACTTTTTCCCGTCCACGCCCTGACCACTCCCAAAATCGTTATTAAACTCGTTACGGCTCGACGGCCTGCCGAAGTTCGGCCCGATGGGCCTCCACGCGTTCATCTGGTGCAGCCACGGCCTGATCGGCGGCCTCGGGTGCGCCCCCATGTGCGGGTTCTCCCAGTGCCGCCGCTTGCTGCCCCTCCAGTACGACCCGCCCCGCCTCGACTCCCTCGAAAACTTGTGGTAACTGACCCTGTCGTCCTTGTCCCCGAACTTCGCGTCGGCCTCGTCCCCGAAGTCCAACTCCTCGTCGCTGACCGGCTGCAGGCTCCCCACCGACTCCTCCTTGTCCCGCATTTGCGCCTCCTGCAACTTCTGCTGCTCGATCTGGGCGATTATCTTGTTCATCAGCTGCTTCTCCTGCTCCTTGGTCATCGTCCCGGCCTTAATGCACTGCTCGTCGTCCGACGAGATGATGATCTTCTTCATGCTGTCGTTGGCGGAGCGCGGCGAAATCGGCGGAACGCGCAGGTCCTCGTCCTCCTGGGGCCGCTTCTTCCGGACTGAAACACAACATGAGTGACCGGAATTGACACGCTTTCGACAACTTACAAGATTTCGCCATGATTTTGTCCCTCCCGGTGGCGTTGGCCAGCTTCGCGCGGACGGCGTCGAAGTCGGACGTTTTCTTCGGCGACTCCTTCTCCTTCTCCTTCTCGGAGTAGGAGATTATGGGCGGCGGCGGCGTCGGCGGCCGCTCGGGTTGGGCCACCGGCAGAACGGTCCGAAGATCAGTGTCTTCGTTCCCGAACAATCTAAAAAAATTTCAAATTGCAGTGAACACGCTGAAATTCCCCTACTGCTCATGCGCAAGAACTAAAAAAAAAAACGCATGAAACTGACCCACAGGTGATGGAATAATTCATTTCAAGCATTTACGAGATGTACAGTGGTGTACAGATGAACAATTTCGCATTAAATAAAGAAAATATGCGTTAGTCGCAGCATAGCCAATAAAATAAATTCTGCTTCTTGGATAAATTATACAATTTTTTTGCATTTTTTTTCAAACAACACAAGAGGGACACCCAAGAATTTTTCATACATTGAAAAAAAGACTAAGGGCCTCTACGATGACTTAAAAAACGAACCAACAAAAATAAAACACAAGGGATCCAGGCTCTTTTAAGTCCATTCTTAAAAAACATACAAGAGGTCTCAAAGATTTTTTCCAACTCACAAAAATAACCCTCAAGGGCCCTTCATTCTTAAAAAAAGACACTAGGAATCCGAACAATTCTTTCAAAAACAAAATATCCAGATTTCTTTTCAAATTCTTTCGAAAATAAAACAAGGGATTTTGCACATTCTTAATAGTCTTAAAAAAACATTCTTTTTTTTTAGAGGAAACAAAGAGATAAATTTGGATTCGCGATTTACCTTACTATGATTAGAATAACCTTCAACATCTGCAAGATCATAGAAAATTTAATTTTTAAGTTTCCAAAATATACTCTAAAACGTTTTTGTACCATTTTGATATTTTAACAAAAATTTAATGGACACCTACATTAACCCGGAAAGGCAGATTCATAAACCACTAATGTAAAAGTATGTTGTTTTATAAAATTTATATACGTAAGACCCACGTTTTCATACTCTAGTTATAAACGTCAAAAAAAAAGAAATTACTGACTTTAACTGACGTTAATCCTAAAACCCTTTTCACTATTTTCTCCCAATCAAGACATTTTTTAACTCAAAAAACATTACAACTTTGGCCAATGTCATTTGCTTTATCCATAAAACACTAGAAACCCAGGTTTTTTTTTCAAATTCTTTCGACAATAAAACAAGGGATTTTGCACATTCTTTATAGTCTAAAAAAAAGGATCCTTTAGAACTCTTTCAAAAACAAAACACCAGAAGCCCTCAATGACGTCATCAAGTTTTTAGAGTAAACAGATAAATTTTGATTCACGATTTACCATATCATGATTAGAATAACCTTCAACATCTGCAAGATCATAGAAAATTTAATTTTCAATTTTCCAAATTATATTCTAAAATGTTTTTGTACCATTTTGATACTTTAACAAAAATCTGGACGCCTACAGTAAACCGTAAAGGCAGATTCATAAACCACAAATGTAAAAGTATGTTGTTTTATAAAATTTATATACGTAAGACCCACTTTTTCATACTCTAGTTATAAATGTCAAAAAAAAAAAAAAGAAATTCTAGAACCCTTTTCACTATTTTCTCCCAATCAAGACATTTTTTAACTCAAAAAGCATTACAATTTTGGCCAATGTCATTTACTTTATCCATAAAACACTAGAAACCCAGGTTTTTTTTCAAATTCTTTCGACAATAAAACAAGGGATTTTGCACATTCTTTATAGTCTAAAAAAAAGGATCCATTGGAACTCTTTCAAAAACAAAACACCAGAAGCCCTCAATGACGTCATCAAGTTTTTAGAGTAAACAGATAAATTTTGATTCACGATTTACCATATCATGATTAGAATAACCTTCAACATCTGCAAGATCATAGAAAATTTAATTTTCAATTTTCCAAATTATATTCTAAAATGTTTTTGTACCATTTTGATACTTTAACAAAAATCTGGACGCCTAAAGTAAACCGTAAAGGCAGATTCATAAACCACTAATGTAAAAGTATGTTGTTTTATAAAATTTATATACGTAAGACCCACTTTTTCATACTCTAGTTATAAATGTCAAAAAAAAAGAAATTCTAGAACCCTTTTCACTATTTTCTCCCAATCAAGACATTTTTTAACTCAAAAAGCATTACAACTTTGGCCAATGTCATTTGCTTTATCCATAAAACACTAGAAACCCAGGTTTTTTTTCAAATTCTTTCGACAATAAAACAAGGGATTTTGCACATTCTTTATAGTCTAAAAAAAGGATCCTTTAGAACTCTTTCAAAAACAAAACACCAGAAGCCCTCAATGACGTCATCAAGTTTTTAGAGTAAACAGATAAATTTTGATTCACGATTTACCATATCATGATTAGAATAACCTTCAACATCTGCAAGATCATAGAAAATTTAATTTTCAATTTTCCAAATTATATTCTAAAATGTTTTTGTACCATTTTGATACTTTAACAAAAATCTGGACGCCTAAAGTAAACCGTAAAGGCAGATTCATAAACCACAAATGTAAAAGTATGTTGTTTTATAAAATTTATATACGTAAGACCCACTTTTTCATACTCTAGTTATAAATGTCAAAAAAAAAAAGAAATTCTAGAACCCTTTTCACTATTTTCTCCCAATCAAGACATTTTTTAACTCAAAAAGCATTACAATTTTGGCCAATGTCATTTACTTTATCCATAAAACACTAGAAACCCAGGTTTTTTTTCAAATTCTTTCGACAATAAAACAAGGGATTTTGCACATTCTTTATAGTCTAAAAAAAAAGGATCCTTTAGAACTCTTTCAAAAACAAAACACCAGAAGCCCTCAATGACGTCATCAAGTTTTTAGAGTAAACAGATAAATTTTGATTCACGATTTACCATATCATGATTAGAATAACCTTCAACATCTGCAAGATCATAGAAAATTTAATTTTCAATTTTCCAAATTATATTCTAAAATGTTTTTGTACCATTTTGATACTTTAACAAAAATCTGGACGCCTACAGTAAACCGTAAAGGCAGATTCATAAACCACTAATGTAAAAGTATGTTGTTTTATAAAATTTATATACGTAAGACCCACTTTTTCATACTCTAGTTATAAACGTCAAAAAAAAAGAAATTACTGACTTTAACTGACGTTAATCCTAAAACCCTTTTCACTATTTTCTCCCAATCAAGACATTTTTTAACTCAAAAAACATTACAACTTTGGCCAATGTCATTTGCTTTATCCATAAAACACTAGAAACCCAGGTTTTTTTTCAAATTCTTTCGACAATAAAACAAGGGATTTTGCACATTCTTTATAGTCTAAAAAAAGGATCCTTTAGAACTCTTTCAAAAACAAAACACCAGAAGCCCTCAATGACGTCATCAAGTTTTTAGAGTAAACAGATAAATTTTGATTCACGATTTACCATATCATGATTAGAATAACCTTCAACATCTGCAAGATCATAGAAAATTTAATTTTCAATTTTCCAAATTATATTCTAAAATGTTTTTGTACCATTTTGATACTTTAACAAAAATCTGGACGCCTAAAGTAAACCGTAAAGGCAGATTCATAAACCACAAATGTAAAAGTATGCTGTTTTATAAAATTTATATACGTAAGACCCACTTTTTCATACTCTAGTTATAAATGTCAAAAAAAAAAGAAATTCTAGAACCCTTTTCACTATTTTCTCCCAATCAAGACATTTTTTAACTCAAAAAGCATTACAATTTTGGCCAATGTCATTTACTTTACCCATAAAACACTAGAAACCCAGGTTTTTTTTCAAATTCTTTCGACAATAAAACAAGGGATTTTGCACATTCTTTATAGTCTAAAAAAAAAGGATCCTTTAGAACTCTTTCAAAAACAAAACACCAGAAGCCCTCAATGACGTCATCAAGTTTTTAGAGTAAACAGATAAATTTTGATTCACGATTTACCATATCATGATTAGAATAACCTTCAACATCTGCAAGATCATAGAAAATTTAATTTTCAATTTTCCAAATTATATTCTAAAATGTTTTTGTACCATTTTGATACTTTAACAAAAATCTGGACGCCTAAAGTAAACCGTAAAGGCAGATTCATAAACCACAAATGTAAAAGTATGTTGTTTTATAAAATTTATATACGTAAGACCCACTTTTTCATACTCTAGTTATAAAGGTAAAAAAAAAAAAGAAATTCTAGAACCCTTTTCACTATTTTCTCCCAATCAAGACATTTTTTAACTCAAAAAGCATTACAATTTTGGCCAATGTCATTTACTTTATCCATAAAACACTAGAAACCCAGGTTTTTTTTCAAATTCTTTCGACAATAAAACAAGGGATTTTGCACATTCTTTATAGTCTAAAAAAAAGGATCCATTGGAACTCTTTCAAAAACAAAACACCAGAAGCCCTCAATGATGTCATCAAGTTTTTAGAGTAAACAGATAAATTTTGATTCACGATTTACCATATCATGATTAGAATAACCTTCAACATCTGCAAGTTCATAGAAAATTTAATTTTCAATTTTCCAAATTATATTCTAAAATGTTTTTGTACCATTTTGATACTTAACAAAAATCTGGACGCCTACAGTAAACCGTAAAGGCAGATTCATAAACCACAAATGTAAAAGTATGTTGTTTTATAAAATTTATATACGTAAGACCCACTTTTTCATACTCTAGTTATAAACGTCAAAAAAAAAGAAATTCTAGAACCCTTTTCACTATTTTCTCCCAATCAAGACATTTTTTAACTCGACAAACGTTTCTATTACCTGAGTAGTTACACCTTTGGCCAATGTCATTTGCTTTATCCAATCACTTGTGTTTAAAAAAATCAACACCAATGCAAATCACGATAAAACTCCGCCCAATCATGCCCGAGATTCTTTACATGTTGGCTGTCGCCCTACTTACGCGTCTAGAACTTCGTGCTTGGACTTCTTGGCGCCGCTCTCCAGACTATCCCCCGACACGCGCTTCTTCGACACCTCGTTCAGCTGCCTCAGGTCCACGTCCATCCCCTGCGGACTCACGACCTTGCCCGCTAGAGACACCCCCGCCGTGAAATTGACTTCGGCGCTCTTCGGGGACCTCGGCAACTTACGCTTGTCGTCGCCTTGCTCGGCCTGGAGGCGCGCCTGTTTCTCCGGCGGCGGCCCCGCCAGCCGGAGGTCCGTGTCCTGGTGGTTGGGCTCCGGGCTGTACGACGGCGAGCGGTTCCTGCGGATGTAGTTGCGGTTCTTCGTGGCCCCCTTCACGCCCTTGAAGGCGGGCGGCGACGAGTCGCTCTTGTGGCTTTTGCCGTCCCTGTCGCGCTTCAGCTCCTTAAAGCTTTTTTTGTCACCCGAGCTGTGATCTTTCTTTTTATGTCTGCTAGGAGACTTGGTCGGCGACTTCGATTCGTTTTTGTCACTTTTGCTCTTTGTTGGAGAGTCTGAGAGGTTTGGGGAGCTTTTGACCGAGAACGATTTCGAGTCGGTGTCTGTGTTTTTGTTGCGTGGTGGTTTGAGTGGTTTTTGTTCAGACTGTCTGGACTTGGGGAAAGTTTTGGATTTGTCTAGTTTGACTTGGGATGGAAGGGCATTGTCTTTATTATTAACTAAACGAGGTTCGATACGGCTGTCTCGAACGCTCTTTGTAATTGTAACAACTTTATTATTAGAATCTAATATTGTAGGCTTAGATCCTAATGAAACACTAGTACTACTACTGTTGGTGAGGGCCGTGCCGTTGCTAGATTTTTCGGCGTGCTGCCGCAGCAAACGTGGATCTCGGGTCGGTTTCGTCGCGGTGGCCACAAGAGCGCTATTCACTGGAGTTATTCGAGTTGTGGCTTGCACTCTCGAACCGACACCCTATAAACACCTAATTAAACTCCAAACTCAAAATAAACACCCAAACTTACCACGTTTGGTTTGGTTTTTGCCTCTCTGGACGCAGCCGGCAATAACTGCTTTGCCACTTCAGGCATTAACTGTTTCGCGACCTCTGGTTTAAGAAGGATATTCTGAAAAGAAACCCACAATGAAACAAAATCGTATAATCAAAAACGATAAAATTACAAATCAAACTAAATTAATCATCAAACAACACAGACTTCGATAAACTAGTTTCCAGAGTCTGTGGAAACACGTAGTTCGGTCTGCCCGGAGTGTCACCTCCGTGAATCACAAGTCGAACATTGTCATCAATTTCGCGCTTAACTTTCTCCAGTGTTCGATCAGAGAAAGCTCTGATGGAGTTAACAAACTTAGTCTGGTTGTTTTCGGCAGCTATAAGCCCACCGACTATACTACTAATCTTATTTTCTGATTCTGTAGTAAACTGACACTTAATTGTTTCTATTTCTTGCGAATATCGCTTTTTCAACTCTTTAGATTTATCCACTTGAGACGCAAACTTCTGGTTGATTTTCGCCACCAAGCTTCTGATAAATTGACCAGTCGCAACTTTGTAATTATCAAAAACTTGAGTCGAAGTCGCTTCATCGTTGGCTATCCCGTTCTTCAATTTTTCGATCAACGACGACTGACAATTCATTACGTCCTTAACACACAACATGTAGTCGTTCAAAATTTGCTTAATCGCATTGACACACCGTGTCGTCATCAATTCCACATCTTCAATCTTCGCTTCGTTGTACTTTTCCAAATCTTCAACCATTCGTTTCTGATTTTCAAACGAAACACAAACCGGTAACAAATTTTCCAAATCCTGAACCAACACGTTATCGTCAATACAAACATTTTCTTTATCGCAGTCTTCCATTTCCTTGGAATACTCACTCAAGCGCTTACACATTTTCCACGCATTTTCCTTCAAACAAGCCACACTGGCGTGAACTTCACCCAAAGAATCGTTCTGGCGCTCCGTATGATCCCTAGTAACACTTTCAAACATTTTCAACGAATCCCCAAAAACGCTAAACACGTTCTTCGCAGCTTCAGCATTCTTCAAACTAATCTGACACTGGTTTTCGTACTTCTTCGAAAACAAAATCTCGTGCTTGATGGACACTTCGCACATTTTTCGTAACTCGTTTGCGGCTAAACTCAGCTGTTTTTCTCTTTTTTCGAGTTGCTCCAACACGGATTCGTCTCGTTTGCGACGGTCATTCTTTTCGTCCAAGTCTCGTTTGACGTCGTCGTAACACCTGACGAGTTTTTGCAGCTCTTGGTCTTTAACACTGTTCTCTAGTTGCAGCTGTGTATTTTTTTTCTCTAGTTGCGTCAACTGGGTCTTGTGGTCGCTGATTTCGCGTCGTAACGCGTCTAAATTGTCGCACAACCTGTCGTAGTGCTCGCGACTCATATAGAACCCTTCTCCTGCTCGCGCGATTGCTAGTTCTTTTCGTAATCGGGCGATCTCGTCTTTCAAATTTTTCAAAAGGGTTGTTTGTTTGCGGTTTTCGTTCACCTGGGGACAATTCGAGACGTTTCGGGCCACTTGGGCGTAGTCCAGGGTGCTCAAAGTTTCGTCCCAGACGTTAGCGGCGGCGGAAATTGTGGCGATCATGCAAGTTTTGGTTTTGCCACCTAGACTGTCTTGGAGGATTCGGGTCAGTTTGGAATCTCTGTAGGGTACATGTTGGGCTTTCAGTGCCAAAGCTTTGATAACTTTTCCTAGGGTTAGTAGCGACTTGTTGATATTAGCGGCCTCTCTAGCCCTCAATTCGGTGCTTCCAGAGCGCCCTAAATTCTCACTACCGGCTAAATCCACAAGGTACAGTTTCCCGATTTTGATTAACTCGTCACCATCTACTGTCACCTGTCGCGTGACTACAGATAAGGTAAAAATCGAGTGTGACCTCGAGCTGTTTCGGTTCATGTTAGTCGAAGCCGTTTGACGCTCCGTCATTCCAAGAGTCACCCAATCGTAGACTTCTTGCGGATTTAAAACAGTCACTTCTTTCACCCCTTTCATCAACACCGAACCTTTATTCTCAGGGTCGTCAAAAATTTTCACCGGTACCACGGTACTTGCGAGCAAATCGCGTACTTCTTCGTTGTAGATTTCGATAAATGAAATGCGTACCGTGTATTCGATTTTGGACCCAATTGTGTCCAATTCCTGAAAAACGTGAGTTGCTGCTCTTGGAATTAAACCGATGGTTGATTCTTCCAGCGTTTCGATATGATTCCCCACCATAGTGTAAGTTTTTCCGGTTCCAGTTTGTCCGTAAGCAAAAACCGTGCAGTTGTACCCTGATACAATACCACTGATCAAGGGAGACACCACAACATCATAAATTTCTTTCTGTGACGTCTCGGGACCAAAAACTTGATCAAACAAGTACCTTTTCTCGCAAAGTCCTGATTTTAGTGCGAGTTCGTTGTGGGTTACATATTGTGTGACGTTCGCATAACCCATTGAAACCTCATGGTCATTGAATGGTCTCTGCCTTATGTAGACTTTCACCGGTTGGTTTTTTCTTTTCGCGCTCTCGACGTGACTCATTTCGTGATTTTTTGACAAGTGACACATGCGCACTACGTTTATGACTTAAAACTACTACTACTAACCTGTGTTCTCGGGGGGGCGTTGTTGGGGACGACGGCATTCGGATTGTTCTCCAGCTGCTTCTGGAGCTTGACTTGCGTTTGTAACAACTCCAGTTTCAGCTTTTTCTGCTGGAGCTCGATGAGCTCTTTTTGCTTCTGGATTAGTTTTTGCTGCATGGTGAATGTTTCCATGTCCAAGGTGGCCGCTGACGGTTCGGGGACAATGGGTGGTGTTATTTCTGGTTTGGGTTTGGTGGTTTTTAGAAATTTGGGATTGAAATGAATGCTGTTGGAAGGCGGTTGGGCTGTCACGGGCCATGCTGGATCTAACATGCTGATTTGGACGTCTATAGCATATAATTTCATTTGGGGGAAGATGTTGTTCCAGGTTTGACGAAGTTTGAACATTTCTGCTCTCGTTTCTTCATCCACCTGTAAAGTGGTGCGGTTAATGGTGAAGGTCCGAAAGTACTGCGAAGTTTAACGAAAAAATGACTGCCGAGTTCAAAACTTCTGATTACACAGCATTTAAGATTATTTTAAATTGTCGGTTCACGTGATGATAAAAATTTTTAAAATCAAATATGCTTTTAAATTTTTATCATTTATTAAAAAGTAATGTACCGTCAACACATACAATGTTATCAGTTTCACGATTTTTTCTGACACACCACTAGCTACATGTTATTTTAATTTCACCTTGTAATAAGCAACGATAAAAAAACATATTTTTTATGCGCAAGCTATAATAAATTCTATGAAATAACAATATGCAATCAAAGTCCAATTTTCCAGGAAATTGTGTTGTAAGTACGTTTATAAAAGGTTCAACAACGCCGCAATTTACTTTGATAATAAAGGTCGCAACTTCTATGCAGCAATGATTTCGCAGGTTTTAAAATTCTGGAACAATTTTTTTCAATCGCGTTCGAGGAAAAGCGCAGTCTAAAAATACTTCCGAATTAGAAAATTATGTCAAAACATAACCCGGGATAAATATAACCATGTCGTGCCTATAAATACAACATTGTTCTAGAATTTTGTCACCTGAGTGTCGTTAACTGTTGCGAATTATAGAAAGTATTTCACTTAAACAAACGCCTGACCTTAAAACATTATCCGTGTCATCAATTTAAACCTAAACATTTTCTGAGAAGAACCTGTTTGCTTATGACAATAAATTACGAACAAACATGAACTCTACAAAAAAACGATAAACACGTTTTTCTTTTTTTGGTAAAAATTGCGATGCCTTAGAAATTTTGTCGAAACCGCAACCAACACTGCTGCTAATCAAAAGCGTAGTTGTTTCGTGTTGCAGCAAATCGAAAAAATCGCGTCTTAAAAAAACAATAAAATGAAGTGCACTTACTTTACAGAAACTTAAAATGAAAAGTTTTCGCAAATTTAAATACTTACCAAGCCTAACTTTATATTGTAATCACTTTAATAATAACCGATCACTTAAAATTGTCTACAGAATAAGGATAAGATCGTCCTTTTTCAATGTTTAAAGCTGTCTTTGAAAAATATTTCAAACTGAAGGTAAGACATACGATGGAAACAAAATATCGATGAGGAAACGACAGTTGAACGGTCTAGACTACACTTTTTTTAGACGCTCTGTTATGAAAAAATACAGGGTGTTTCATTTCAACTAATCTAGAGATATTACTTCAAAACTTCCACCTGTGTAGGAAATACGACGGAAAAATCACAAAAAAATATATAAGAGAATTATCAACTAGATTGTATAGATTTGTCTTTTTTTATGAAACTACCCTGTTTTCCATTACATAAAATTTTGAATCAAATATTATATTATTATAAACTCAAAAATGTTGCTGGGCGCTGTAAATTTCGTATAACTGTCAACCATTAACTTTCTAAAAAAAATTAAAAAAGGGATAATCAATATTCACTTACGGCAACGCCTGAAATTCTCTGTTCAAGTTTATGATGCTCCTGAACAGACTTCTTCTGTATATTCTTTATATGTGAGTTGTTTTCTACACAGGTAGTTTTGAAAAAACTTTCACCGATCACTTGAGATAAAACACCCTGTATAAAAGAAAACATGAGGGATTAACTACATACGATAGACTGAGACATGAAAACAGAGCCTTTGGATAAATCCTACGTAAAAATAAGACGAAATTACTATACGTCCGGACATTAAATTTCAATACTAAAAAACAAACGAAAAAGGAAAGGTCAATTCACAGTACGGAAATCAAAAAGTGAAACAAAGTCGGATACTTTCGAGAGAAAAACTGGACAAATGTGGGACTATGAAAAATCCTGGTGGATTTCGCAAGAAAAAATCTATTTTTTTTTTTAATTAGAGCCCCAATTGAAAAATATACTACCCAACAAATGGTAATTGTAAAATTAACATAACGTGTCATAAAAAACACAATTAAGTACGGTTTTCGAATTTTTTTCGAATACACATCACTTCTGCCGATTTTCGAAAAAAAATCCGCATTAAATTACTTCGCAATAAAATCAGTAACGCATCCACTCTTGGTGCGTCAAAAACGCGCTACTTTTACGTATATATGGCGTAAGAAAAAAAAATCAATGCAACACTATCGCGTCATTAAAACTTACCACTTTAAAAACGCTGCAGAAAGTCTTGACGATATTTTGGCTGAAGAGTGTCGTGTAAGTTTGTCCAATATTCTTGGCGATACAGTCGATGAGATACAGAATAGGAAGTTTGACATTGGTCTGAACCTGTATGAAAATAAACTCACACCATTGTAACACTTGCAATTTTGAAGTAACCAATAAACCTATATCTAATATCACACACTTACAAATAATTACCTAAATACCACCCGTAAGCCTCGTATCGTTTACACTTTATTTTAGACCACTTTGACGGAGAAATGTTGAAAAATATCTTCAACTGAACCCCGAAGGACGTCATATTAAAAAAAAATGAAATTACTGAAAAGGGTTCGACAACCCGCGGCGGCTCAGACGCAGAGTATCTTGCAGTGCAAAAATAAATTATCGTACTTTCAAACTGTTTATTAAAATATATCACAAAGAGACTAGATTGAGTCAGGTACGTTACAATGTGTGACTGGGGAATGTTTGGGTACATTTTGTCCCAATTTTAGCTTAAATAACAATCAAAAAATAACCTTATCGAGGTGCTCTTCGATCGCCTCTACGATGTAGGGGGCGTGCGCCAGATTCTCTTCCGCTAGCATTGTCAGCATGTTTATTAGCGGCTTGCTGTTAAAAGTGAGATCCTGGAGGCTGGAGGTGTACTCCGCCTTGATCTCGTCACTGTTCATCGTGGCGTCGGTCAAAATCATGTGACTACCCTGCAAAGAAAGAATTCAATCAGTCATCAGTCAGATTAAGCAAAACAAAAAAAACCGAAAAATTGCGTTGTTACATGATCGCAACACAAACACTGCATACCCGATTATATATACTTGCAACCAATCAAACGTCGTAAAAACAATTTTATAATTTAAATATTGATGTCTACAATCAACAATGGGGGCCCAAAAATTTTATTATTCTTGCTGCAGTCTTACCATTTTTTGTATGTACAAAAACGGCAACAACTACACTGAACAAAAACACAAAATATGCACCACAGAAAGTTCAACCGTCTTCTTCAACAAAAGATTCACAACTAAAATACAAAATACTATTTCTCCGATATCTCAAAAAGTGGGGGGAGATTCAAAGTACGCCCATTTGGCTTTCTAGGCTGCGCGCGCAGCTGCAGTGGGCCGTTTGTAACCAATTATTTAATCACCAATTTTTGAAATTCACGAGAAAACAATTTGTTTTAAGAAAATTTACCACGAAAACGTGCACTAATTTTCACGAGTGGTTAAAACTAAAATTATTCACGTGTGTCATAAAAATTTCTTTCTAATAAATTACAGTTGAAACAACACATGGTTGGCCGCGTATCTGTCATTTAAATTTTCCGCCAACACGATATTTTTTTTACAATACACACGTAAACTTTTTTGATTAAGCACATGATGCGAGGATTCTAAGTGGTCATAAAAATACACAATGGAATCGCTGTATATTGAAGCCATCTTTCCAATTAATAACACACAAAAATTGGTTTCAATTGTTCCAAAAAATGGTGGGTGTTGATTATTTCCACCGAAATCTACTTTTAAAAAACCCTTTTTTTGTTACTCTCCAACAGATCTGGAGAGACGTACGAACAAAGAAAACTAGTTGCCCTTGGGTTAATTAAAATTAAAAATTAATTCGTTTCCTTTAAAAACACAGGCCTGCAAAATTTCGATTTTTGGTTGGGGTTTGAAAAATTTTGGGTAGACATGCTTAGTATAGACCTACACATTCCAAAAGTATCATCAGTTTTTTTCTATCACGTAAGATTTTTAAACCACAGGGCAAAACTAAAAATACTTAGAATGAATACTATTTTAATGTTAACTCATTTAATTGACATATTTATAATATTATATTTTAGTGATATTTAAAGTTACAACTTCTTTCTCATTGTACGTTTTCGTTTTTTACCACTTTAGTATATGTGAATATTTGTCAAAATGCGGTTTAAAAACTGAACAATTTTCGGTGAAATTTAGAAAATTTAGAAAAGAGAATCTCAGAAGTGGTTCCAAATTAAAATCTAGTAAATCAAAATTTATACTAAAAGAAACCCAAAATTTTGAAAAACCTTAAAATCAAGTATCAAGAACTTAAAAATTTCAAAACGACACTTTTTGAAAATTTTTAAAAATGAAAAAACTATGAACACAAAAAAAATGGCTTCATAAAAATCCACTTTTTAAATTTCGAAATTTATTCGAAATGTATTTATCCTTTGTGACTACTCTTAATATTGTTCAGTCATTCACGACAATTAGTTTTATCTCAACGAATACTAGCCCCTCCCACCCGAATTCTGTTTTCTTAGAGGGTATGTCATTTGCCAAAATCAGTCTTATCTCAGCAAGTACTAGTCCCGCCCACCCACCCTCTGTTTTCTTAGAAGATATGTTATCTGCAACAATCAGTTTTAACTTAGCAAGGACTAGCTCCGCCCCCCACCCTGTTCTCATTCTAACGATCTTATTTCTATTCAGTATAAGATCCAGTTTTGATTCAGACTAGATAAAATGAATCAGTGAAATAGAGGCGGGGTGGGTGGGCGGGGTTAGTTATTATCTCTACTTTTGTAGAGTGGGAATGGGAACTAATAGAAGCCATTTTACGTCTTCATTGAATGATTTGATTTAAATGTCCAAAATTGAGGCAAAATAGAGACCATTTCCAGGGGAATTTATGGTTTTAGTTTCGCAACTCACTAGGATGCTTTTATACGTTAACATTATTCCAATAAATAAAAGTTAAGTAATAGTAAAATAAAATGTTGTGCGGTACTGCTAATTTTTCTTAAAATGTAAGCATATTTTTTTGTAATTGAACTATACGTGATGGAAAAAAAATAAGTACAGATATATTAATTGTATGTGATCCTTATCACAAAATACTAACAAGAATTCAAACCCCAAATTCATGCCGGCCTGTGAAATTAATCAAGTACCAAAATTAAGGGTTGAATACGTGATTTAAACACCCGTAATTTGTACAGACTTACAAGTTTAAACTTTATGCATGGGTGAACTCGGCTTAAATTTTAACAACAATAACATCCACATTTCCAAGAAGGGTTAAGTTTGTTCTCCGCCTCGTCTTGCCTCCTCAACGATTATTTTGAAACACAACAAGCGACTCTCTTAAATTCTCCATTTATATTTAAATTTTCAACACTACTAAAATCTAGTTAGTTTAAAGTAGACACAGACGCAATTCGAAATGTTTCCAGTTTATAAATTGGTTACTTTTGGTTATTCAATTTCAGCTCGTTAAATTTATTATAAATATAATGTCAGGAGTTATTAAAGAGTCGACTTCAATAAAATTGTAGCAATGTATAATTAATTCCACCAAAACGGTGAACGAAATCAATAACTTCCTTTGATAAATAAACACCGTGGTTGCCAACCCATTTCCATTGTAGTTGATAATTTCGGTTTCCGTTTTCCATTTTCCCCTAATGAAAACACAGCAATTAACTCAATGGCACTTTTTAATAGCATTATTAACGTTTTACGGCATTCGCAAATTGATAAAACTTGCCGGTGGAAAAATCGTTTTTTAAACACTCGTGCTTAAATAAACAGAGTGACAATTTTCTAGCAATTAACGTTACAATTCAAGATTCAACTCGGGATTAAATAGACAAACTGATAACGAAGACTTTGCAAAACAAGAAAAATTAAATGTGTCTGGTACGCGAAACAAGCAAAACATTTACGTCACCTAAATAATAAATGAAAAATTTAAATTTTAAATTCAGCCGACACACTTACGAAGTTTCCAACGAATTGGTTTTCAACGGTTGAAAAGTGAAAAGTTCTGTACAGATGGACAATAATTAGTACTTCAAGCAGCTTAAAATTTCAGCTAAATTATCCGGAGAAACGATTCGACTTCCGTTATGGTCAATTAGACTTCTTAAATCCTTCATATTTAATACAATAGGACAGGTATACGCTCCTCCTCAAGGGTTGTGGACAGGTAATGACTTACAACCCTTTGCGGTCAAGGAATTCTTAAAAATTCGTGAAAGTTGATAACAAGTATGATTTACAACTACTGGGACAAAAGATTGACGGTTTTACGACTCTGGCTCCTTAATTACACCGAAGCCCCCAATAAACGGATTGGGATTATAATGCTAATGATTTACTTTTAGCCTGAGTCATAATATTTACTTCTTTTTGGGACACAAAAAAAATTTGCATAAGGACGTCAAAAAAAATTAAGTAAAATGGGAAATAACACTAAAGATAACATCATCAAATACAAAAAAAACTAGTGATCGTTATTTTATTAAAGAACCATTCACTATTGACACACATGTACAAATGAGCAAAAAAATAAGACATAAACGCAGAATTTAATTTAATTTAACAAAATAACAGAAGCAGACCAAGTGCGATATTTTCTTAATTAAAACAATAAAGGGGGATGTTGTTGTAAACAGTGTTTTTCATCATTTGTTTATAAGTTTGGCAGACGTGTCTCAAATTGTCGTCTGTTTCTGTTATTTTGTTAACTTAAATTTAATTCTGCGTTTGTTTGTCTTCTTTTTTTGCAAATGTATACATCATGTGTCAGTAGTGAATAGTTCTTTACACTAGTTGAATTAATAATTTTTAAAGTTTGGTTTTGCGAAATTTTTCAACAATAATCCGAATTATTGAACCTTTGTTCCTTTCAGGCAAACCTTCGGCTGTAAATTATGATTACCAGTTTATTGACCCCTTTCAATGGTCATTATTTGGCGGTTTCTACTATAGTTTAAGATTGTCCACAGACGAGCGAGTTGGAAAAGTCAAAGTAAAAACCTTGGTCGACACAGTAATTAAATAAATATTACTAGTTGGTAACGTATGTGTGTGCACTTTATACAACAATTACAAACATATTGGACCTTGTAGCACAATTATCTTTGGCATTATTAAACCAGTGACTTTTTTTATAAAGAAAAAATTAAGTTGGAACGAGAAAGTGAAAATTCGGCTCTAAATTTTGTCCATGAAACCGCCTCAGCAACAACTCTCTTCGTTTTTGTTTATAATCAATGATAATAAAACTATAAAAACTTCATTATCAATGCAAATGACAAAATTACAGCTTTAAAGGAATCGTGGCTTTTCCACAGAAATAAAAACTAGTAGGGTGCCGAGGACAACAGTGATACAGTATAATACATAATCGATCTTTTCTTACTTTAGTTCCAAGAATAACGATTGGAAAATTATAACCCACCGACTCCTGTATTTCCGTCTGGAATACCCATGTGCCCCAGCACTCAATGACGTAACATTTTCGAAAATTTACCATGAGTCATTATTAGTTGCCAAAAAACGACCTTTCGCAAGCTCCGGTGCGGGTACCAGCCATATTTACCTCAATCTGGTTCTCGGAAACCCCATGACGTACCCACCAACGGTGCCCCATTTCCATATTTACTCTCTCAACCGATTCGCGTCTATGTTAACATTGCGAACAACCTCTACTGATTACACAAAATCCGACTCCTTATCTAGAACTTTCCGACCATCTACGCCCGCTGAAAAACCCATTTTACATAACACCCGTTCGGCTCGTGATGCAAACGGTTTGCAACATATTGACTTTTTCGCGAATATCCGATTTCAGGAAGAATTTAGCGGATTTCGAAAAACACATCTGGCCACCCTACGTGTGCAACGTTTTCGTCAAGGTTGTCGTTCGATGTTGTCAGAAAATCTAGCCGGACTCACCTTAAAGAGAAAAACGGGGGTCCTCCTGAAGTACACATCTAAAAATGGTTCGTAAAAGGCGAATTTGAGGAATCTGCGTGGAGTCAAAGTCCAACCAACACACAACACACACTCTCAAACAAATATGGCGGACGTGAAACGTTGCCTTTTCACTTACTCGAGCGAGGCACAGCCAACTGTGGCGTAGCTTTTGCTCGAATGACGCAGGAACATGCGCTGTAGGGAGGTGCGTCATTCGATCTAGCGGACGGAAGTGGCTAGAGGCACGACGGTGGTGGCGAGGGAAAATCCGCGGTTTTAAACATTGTAAATCCAAAAAATACTAGTGTTTTTTTTTTCGAATTTTTCATCGCCTTGTTTATGTCGCATTATTTTTTGTTTTCGGTCCCCATTTGTTTAACAAACATTTGTGTTAGTCTTTTTTTTGTATTGAGGCCTTTCTTGTGACCTTTTTGTAGCATTTTTAATTTCTTTTTCGTCTTTTTTCTTGGCTCTTTCTTTTGTCGCGTTATTTGTTTCTTCTCTTTATTGTCTTTCCTTCTCTCTTTTTTTGTTGTTATCATTGGCTTTTTTGCCGTCCAACTTCTTCCTTTTTTCACTGTCTTTCGCTCTATCCTTTTGTTGCCCCCTTTTTTTTTGTTTTTTTTTTGTCACAATTTTTTGTCGATCTGGTTGTTTTCTTGTTGCCCGTTTTTTCGTCTTTTTTTTAAACTTCTTTATGTTGCTTTTTTTGTAATTCTTTTTATGCTGTATATTTATTAAAAAATGTTTGACATTTTTGGCGTTCTTTTTTTTGTTGCGCTATTTGTTCTCTTTTTATATCGTCTCAATATTTCGATATTTCAGTTTTTTTAACTTTTCGATTTTTCGACGTTTGGACTTTCGATTTTTCGACTTTTTAATTTTTCGAGTTTTAATTTTTTCAATTTCTCAATTGTTCGATTTTTCAATTTTTTGATTCTTCAATTTTTTTCCAATTTTCAATTTTTCCACATTTTCAATTTTGGGTGTTTTCAATGTTTCAATTCTCCAATTATTCTATTTTTCGTTTTTTTGATTTTTCGATTTTTCTTTTGATGTTAGGTTTCTCGATGTTTCAGTTTTTCGATTTTTCGATGTTCCGATTTGAGTTCTCGGTTTTTAGATTTTTCGATTTCCCAATTTTTCGTCATTTCACTTTTGGAATTTTTCAATGATTGATTTTTCAGTTTTCAATTCTTCAATTTTTCGGTAATTCAAGTTTTCAATTTTTTAAATTTTAGATTCGTCGCATTCTTGTTTCTCGATTTCCCGATTTTTCGATTTTGCAATTTTTGACGTTTCTAAATTGTCGATTTCTCAATTTCTAGATTAATCAACTTTTTGGTTTTTCGACTTTTCGATTTCACGACTCGATTTCACGGTTTTTCGATTTTTCGGGTTTCTGATTTTTCGCCTTTTCGATTTCTTGGTTTTTCAATTTTTCAGTTTCTCAATTTTTCGATGTTTCAGTTTTGAGATTTTTAGATTCTTCGATTTTTTTCGATATTTCAGTTTTTCGGCGTTTCGATTTCTCGATTTTTTATTTTTCAACTCTTGAATTTTTCATTTTTCGACTTTTTAATTTTTCGAGTTTTAATTTTTTCAATTTCTCAATTGTTCGATGTTTCAGTTTTGGGATTTTTCAATTTTTTGATTCTTCAATTTTTTTCCAATTTTCAATTTTTCCACATTTTCAATTTTGGGTGTTTTCAATGTTTCAATTCTCCAATTATTCTATTTTTCGTTTTTTTGATTTTTCGATTTTTCTTTTGATGTTACGTTTCTCGATGTTTCAGTTTTTCGATTTTTCGATGTTCCGATTTGAGTTATCGGTTTTTAGATTTTTCGATTTCCCAATTTTTCGTCATTTCACTTTTGGAATTTTTCAATGATTGATTTTTCAGTTTTCAATTCTTCAATTTTTCGGTAATTCAAGTTTTCAATTTTTTAAATTTTAGATTCGTCGCATTCTTGTTTCTCGATTTCCCGATTTTTCGATTTTGCAATTTTTGACGTTTCTAAATTGTCGATTTCTCAATTTCTAGATTAATCAACTTTTTGGTTTTTCGACTTTTCGATTTCACGACTCGATTTCACGGTTTTTCGATTTTTCGGGTTTCTGATTTTTCGCCTTTTCGATTTCTTGGTTTTTCAATTTTTCAGTTTCTCAATTTTTCGATGTTTCAGTTTTGAGATTTTTAGATTCTTCGATTTTTTTCGATATTTCAGTTTTTCGGCGTTTCGATTTCTCGATTTTTTATTTTTCAACTCTTGAATTTTCATTTTTCGACTTTTTAATTTTTCGAGTTTTAATTTTTTCAATTTCTCAATTGTTCGATGTTTCAGTTTTGGGATTTTTCAATTTTTTGATTCTTCAATTTTTTTCCAATTTTCAATTTTTCCACATTTTCAATTTTGGGTGTTTTCAATGTTTCAATTCTCCAATTATTCTATTTTTCGTTTTTTTGATTTTTCGATTTTTCTTTTGATGTTACGTTTCTCGATGTTTCAGTTTTTCGATTTTTCGATGTTCCGATTTGAGTTCTCGGTTTTTAGATTTTTCGATTTCCCAATTTTTCGTCATTTCACTTTTGGAATTTTTCAATGATTGATTTTTCAGTTTTCAATTCTTCAATTTTTCGGTAATTCAAGTTTTCAATTTTTTAAATTTTAGATTCGTCGCATTCTTGTTTCTCGATTTCCCGATTTTTCGATTTTGCAATTTTTGACGTTTCTAAATTGTCAATTTCTCAATTTCTAGATTAATCAACTTTTTGGTTTTTCGACTTTTCGATTTCACGACTCGATTTCACGGTTTTTCGATTTTTCGGGTTTCTGATTTTTCGCCTTTTCGATTTCTTGGTTTTTCAATTTTTCAGTTTCTCAATTTTTCGATGTTTCAGTTTTGAGATTTTTAGATTCTTCGATTTTTTTCGATATTTCAGTTTTTCGGCGTTTCGATTTCTCGATTTTTTATTTTTCAACTCTTGAATTTTTCATTTTTCGATTTTTAATTTTTCGAGTTTTAATTTTTTCAATTTCTCAATTGTTCGATGTTTCAGTTTTGGGATTTTTCAATTTTTTGATTCTTCAATTTTTTTCCAATTTTCAATTTTTCCACATTTTCAATTTTGGGTGTTTTCAATGTTTCAATTCTCCAATTATTCTATTTTTCGTTTTTTTGATTTTTCGATTTTTCTTTTGATGTTACGTTTCTCGATGTTTCAGTTTTTCGATTTTTCGATGTTCCGATTTGAGTTCTCGGTTTTTAGATTTTTCGATTTCCCAATTTTTCGTCATTTCACTTTTGGAATTTTTCAATGATTGATTTTTCAGTTTTCAATTCTTCAATTTTTCGGTAATTTAAGTTTTCAATTTTTTAAATTTTAGATTCGTCGCATTCTTGTTTCTCGATTTCCCGATTTTTCGATTTTGCAATTTTTGACGTTTCTAAATTGTCGATTTCTCAATTTCTAGATTAATCAACTTTTTGGTTTTTCGACTTTTCGATTTCACGACTCGATTTCACGGTTTTTCGATTTTTCGGGTTTCTGATTTTTCGCCTTTTCGATTTCTTGGTTTTTCAATTTTTCAGTTTCTCAATTTTTCGATGTTTCAGTTTTGAGATTTTTAGATTCTTCGATTTTTTTCGATATTTCAGTTTTTCGGCGTTTCGATTTCTCGATTTTTTATTTTTCAACTCTTGAATTTTTCATTTTTCGACTTTTTAATTTTTCGAGTTTTAATTTTTTCAATTTCTCAATTGTTCGATGTTTCAGTTTTGGGATTTTTCAATTTTTTGATTCTTCAATTTTTTTCCAATTTTCAATTTTTCCACATTTTCAATTTTGGGTGTTTTCAATGTTTCAATTCTCCAATTATTCTATTTTTCGTTTTTTTGATTTTTCGATTTTTCTTTTGATGTTACGTTTCTCGATGTTTCAGTTTTTCGATTTTTCGATGTTCCGATTTGAGTTCTCGGTTTTTAGATTTTTCGATTTCCCAATTTTTCGTCATTTCACTTTTGGAATTTTTCAATGATTGATTTTTCAGTTTTCAATTCTTCAATTTTTCGGTAATTCAAATTTTCAATTTTTTTTATGTTTAATTTCATCGCATTCTTGTTTCTCGATTTCCCGATTTTTCGATTTTGCAGTTTTTGACGTTTCTAAATTGTCGATTTCTCAATTTCTAGATTAATCAACTTTTTGGTTTTTCGACTTTTCGATTTCACGGTTTTTCGATTTTTCGGGTTTCTGATTTTTCGCCTTTTCGATTTCTTGGTTTTTCAATTTTTCAGTTTCTCAATTTTTCGATGTTTCAGTTTTGAGATTTTTAGATTCTTCGATTTTTTTCGATATTTCAGTTTTTCGGCGTTTCCATTTCTCGATTTTTTATTTTTCAACTCTTGAATTTTTCACTTTTCGGGTTTTTGATTTTTAGAATTTTCGAGCTCTCGATTTTTCATTTTTTTCGATTTCTCAATTTTTTGTCTTTCGATTTTTTTTTCAATTCTTCAATTTTTTTTTCCATTTTTCAATTTTTCGACTTTTCGAGTTCTCGAGTCTTCGATTTTTTACTTTTTAAATTTTTCAATTTTTCGGTCTTTAAATTTTAAAATTATCAATTTTTAAATTTCGAATTTCTTGATACATATTTTGGTTTCTCGATTTTTCAAATTTCGATTCATTAATTTTTCTTCGATTCTCCAATTTTCTAATGTATCAGTTTCGAAATTTTTCAATATTTTAGTTCTTTCAATTTTCTTCGATTTATCGATATTTTGATTTCTCGATTTTTTACTTTTTCGATTTTTCGACTTTTCGATTTCAGAATTTTCCGATATAGTTGTTCAGTTTTTTAATGCTTCGATTTTTCGACTTCTCAGTTTTAGATTTTTCGGTTTCTCAAATTTTCGATGTACCGATTTTTTCATTTTTCGATTGCTTAATTTTCCGATATTTCAATTTTACGATAGTTTTTCGGTGTTTCGATTTCTCGACGTCTCGATATCTCGATGAATTTTTGTTTTTCGTTTTCCAACTCTTGAATTTTTCCATTTTTTATTTTAGATTTTTTAGGTTTTTGATTTTTCGTATTTTCCGGTTCTCGATTTTTCATTTTTTCTATTTCTCAATTTTTCGGTGTTTCAGTTTTGGGATTTTTCATTGCTTCAATTTTTCGTCGATTTTCAATTTTTCGATATTTAAGTTTTTGGAATTTTCAATATTTCGATTCTCTAATTATTTGAATTTTTCGTCTTTTAGACTTTCCGAATTGTCGACCTTTTGATGTTTCGTTTCTCAATGTTTAAATTTTTTAATTTTTCGATGTTTCGATCTGAGTTCTCGGTTTTTCGATTTTTCAATTTCCCAATTTTTTGTCATTTCAGTTTTGGAATTTTTCAATAATTTATTTTCAATTTTCGATTCAAGATATAAACATTTTCAGTTTTAATGCTTTGGTTTCTGAATCTTTTGGTTTTTCGACTTCTCTGTTTTAGATTTTTCAATTTTTCGATTTTTCAATTTTTGACGTTTCTAAATTTACGATTTTTCAGTTTCTCGTTTAACAATAAGTTTAAATTTTTTAGTTTTTCAACTTTTCAATTCCTCAGCATTTCCATTTTAATTCTTCTTTTTAATTTTTAGATTTTTCGACTTCAATTTTTCAATTTTTAATTTAAAATTTTTCTATTCTGGATTTTTCGATGTGCCGATTTTTTTCAATTTTCGATTACTTGATTATCTGTTGTTTCAATTTTAAGATTTTCCAAATTCTCGATTCGTGAATTTTTTGATTTTATGAACTTTTCGATTTTTCAATTTTTGACATGTCTAAATTCTAGACTTTCTCTCCCTTATTGTCGTTCTTATCTCCTTTTTTGTTCTCGCCCTTTTTTTTGGTTGATTTTTTTAGAATTTGATCCTTTTTTCTCCTTTTTGTCGTTTTTGTCGTCTTTTTTGTCGTTTTTCTATATACCCTCTTTTTTTTGTATTTTTTTGAGGTCTGTGCCTTTTTGGGTTGTTTTTTCGCCTTCTTTTTCACCACTTTTTTGTATTGAGGCCTTTTTTGTGACGTTTTTGTAGCCTTTTTTGTAGTTTTTGTAGGATTTTCATTTCTTTTTAGTCTTTTTTTCTCGGCTCTTTCTTTTGTCGCGTTATTTGTTTCTTCTTTTTATTGTCTTTCCTTTTCTCTTTTTTTGTTGTTCTCATTGATTTTTTGCCGTCCAACTTCTTCCTTTTTTCATTGTCTTTCGCTCTATCCTTTTGTTGCCTATTTTTTTGTCTTTTTTGTCACAATTTTTTGTCGATCTGTTTGTTGGTTTCTTGTTGCCCTTTTTTTCGCCTTTTTTTTTAAAGTTCTTAATGTTGCCTTTTTTGTAATTCTTTTTTGTTGTATTTTTATTAAAGAATGTTTGACATTCTTGGCGTTCTTTTTTTGTAGCGCTAATTGTTCTATTTTTATATCGTCTCTCTTTCTTTCCCTTATTGTCGTTCTTATGTCTTTTTGTGTTCTCGTATTTTTTTTTGGTTAATTTTTTTAGAAATTCTACCCTTTTTCTCTTTTTTTTTTGTCGTTTTTATCGTCATTTTTATCGCTTTTCTATATACCCTCTTTTTTTGTTTTTTTTTTAGGTTTTTCGTCTTTTTTTTTGGTCGTTTTTTCACCTTCTTTTTCACCACTTTTTGGTATTGAGGTCTTTTTTGCGACCTTTTTGTACCCTTTTTTATAGTTTTTGTACGGTTTTTCATTTCTTTTTCGTCTTTTTTTTTGTCTTTTTTTGTCATAATTTTTTGTCGATCTGTTTGTTGGGTTCTTGTTGCCCTTGTTTTCGCCTTGTTTTCGCATTTTTCTTAAGTTTTTATGTTGCTTTTTTTGTAATTCTTTTTTTTTTGTTGCATTTTAATTAAAAAATGTTTGACATTTTTGGCGTTTTTTTTTGTAGCGCTATTTGTTCTCTTTTTATATCATCTCTTTTTCTTTCCCTTATTGTCGTTCTTATGCCTTTTTTTGTTCTCGCCTTTTTTTTTTTGGTTGATTTTTTTTTTAGAATTTTATCACTTTCTCTCCTTTTCGTCGTTTTTATCGCCCTTTTTTTTTCGTTTTTCTATGTACAAACCCTCTTTTTTGTATTTTTTTTTAGGTTTTTTTGACTTTTTTTAGTTACTTTTTCGCCTTCTTTGTCACCACTTTTTTGTATTAAGGCCTTTTTGTAACCTTTTTGTAGCCTTTTTTGTAGTTTTTGCAGGATTTTCATTTCTGTTTCGTCTTTTTTTCTCCGCTCTTTCTTTTGTCGCGTTATTTGTTTCTTATTTTTATTCTATTTCCTTCTCTCTTTTTTTGTTGTTCTCATTGAATTTTTTGCCGTCCAACTTCTTTCTTTTTTCATTGTCTTTCGCTCTATTCTTGTGTTGCCTGTTTTTTTTTTGTCTTTTTTTTTTTGGTCACAATTTTTTGTCGATCTGTTTGTTGGTCTCTTGTTGCCCTTTTTTCGCATTTTTTTGTAATTCTTTTTTTTGGTTGATTTTTTTTTTAATTTGATCTCTTTTTCTCCTTTTTGTCGTTTTTATCGTCTTTTTTGTCGTTTTTCTATATACCCTCTTTTTTTGTATTTTTTTGAGGTTTTTTTTTGTCTTTTTTTTGGTTGTTTTTTCGCTTTCTTTTTCACCACTTTTTTATATTGAGGCCTTTTTGTGGCCTTTTTGTAGCTTTTTTTGCAGTTTTTGTAGGATTTTCATTTCTTTTTCGTCTTTTTTTCTCCACTCTTTCTTTTGTTGAGTTGTTTCTTCTTTTTATTGCCTTTCCTTCTCTCTTTTTTTGTTGTTCTCATTGACTTTTTTGCCGTCCAACTTCTTTCTTTTTTCATTGTCTTTCGCTCTATCCTTTTGTTTCCTCTCTTTTTCTGTCTTTTTTTTGTCACAATTTTTTGTCGATCTGTTTGTTGGTCTCTTGTTGCCCTTTTTTTTCGCCTTTTTTTGTAATTCTTTTTTTTTTGTTGCATTTTTATTAAAAAATGTTTTTGGCGTTTTTTTGTTGCGCTATTTGTTCTCTTTTTATATCGTCTCTCTTTCTTTCCGTTATAGTCTTTCTTATCTTTTTTTGTTCTCGCCCTTTTCTTTGGTTGATTTTGTTAGAATTCGGTACCTTTTTCTCTTTTTTGTCGTTTTTATCGTCTTTTTTGTCGTTTCTCTATACACCCTCTTTTTTTGTTTTTTTTTTTTTAGTTTTTTGTCTTATTTGGTTGTTGTTACTTGTTTTTTGGTGTCGCTTTTTATTATTTTTTTGGCTTTTCGCCTTTTTTTTTATCGTTTTTTGTTCCTTTTTTTTTGGTCTTTTGATTCCGTTTTTTATGTCGCTTTTTTACCGCTTTTTCGCTTTTTTCATTTCTTCTTTTTTTGTCTCTTAATTTTAGCAGCGTTTTTTGTCGTTTTTCTAGTCGTTTTTCCCCCACCATTTTTTTGGCACTATTTTTTTGTCGTCTTTGTTGCTTTTTTGTGTGTTGTATGTCTAATTAACCTTGAACCAATAAAGATGGAGACTGTAAAACAAAGATTTAAAGGCACAGTTGATTGTAATATCAACCTTGCAGCTTAGTCAGTAATGAGTGGAGATCCAAATGATTTTTACTTTTCTGATAACTTTTTAAACTGTTTAAATTTTTGATTTTCCCATATTTTAAATTCAGCGCCACAAAATCCACCAATCGAATGTGGTGTCTAATTTCTAAGATTCATTGTCGCCAACTCAAATTTTGATGCGGACAAATCTTACCATGTTTTTCATTTTATTTGAAACTCCAAAACGACTTACTTACTTTTTTTTCCAAAATTTAATTTCCAAAATAATATTTATTCGTCAACGAATTAATCCGCCTTGTGCGGAGCCTTAGCCACCAGCGCTTTGTCCTTGTCATTCTCGGACCAGCGGCGTGCGGAGAGGAAAAAGGACGACCGGGATTCCATATTCCATTGGGAATGGTGGGATCATGTGTGGTGGGATATGTCAAATCAGTCAAACTCAAAATAAATGGTTGTCATCCCTGAAGCGATGATCGCCCACAAAAAAACCCGAAACATATCCTAAATCGTACCTACGCCTCTGCTTATTACAGAAAACAGGTAACATGAAATAACCCTCCATTGTTCTACAAAAAACGCTCAATTTCTGACGTGACATCCACAAAACCCATATGCACACACCTGTATGACGTAATTTTTTTCAGATGCAACCAGAATGTCGAATTATTTTTTCAACAGTAAGAAACAAACGGGTGTCAATTAAAAATTATGGACGACTACAAGTTCTTGTTCAAAGTGGTGCTCGTAGGAAACGCTGGAGTCGGTAAAACTTGTCTGGTAAGGAGGTTCACGCAGGGCCTGTTCCCCCGGGCCAGGGCGCCACCATTGGGGTGGATTTCATGATCAAAACCGTCGATGTTGACAACGAGAAGGTTAAGGTAAGGTTGTGTCTAGAGTTACGAGGGTGGCGCTAATGGGGCTTCACGCAGCTGCAAATTTGGGACACCGCGGGACAGGAACGCTTCAGGTCCATCACACAGAGCTACTACAGGTCGGCACATGCCCTCATTTTGGTTTATGACATTTCATGCCAGCCCACGTTCGATTGTTTGCCAGACTGGCTCCGGGAGATCGAGGAGTACGCCAGCAGCAAGGTTTTGAGGGTTTTAGTGGGTAAGAACGCGTTTTTGGGGTGCGGGGACTTTCATTGACGGGCTATTTCAGGTAACAAAATCGACAGAGAGGACAGGGAAATACCCACTCACGTCGGTGAAGAATTTGCAGAAAGGCACAACATGTACTTTTTAGAAACGTCTGCTAAAGAGGCAGAGAACGTCGAGAAGCTTTTCATGCAAATTGCAGAGGATTTGATGAAAGTAAGTCGGTTTTTGTGTGATAATTGACGGATTTTTGTGTCCAGTCATTTTGGAACTAAAATAACAAATAATTTCAATTTTCATCCATTTATAAAAAAATAAGGGTTTAGATTAGTCCAGATGTGGGGAACTGGTGTTGGCAACTTGGGTTTAAAATTTTGTGACAGGTGGGTGTGACATTGACATTTGGCGAACAGGCTTGCCAACCGCATTTTTTAAAGTGCGTAATTAAAGTTAAAAAAACAGTTTTAATAATAAAGGTAGCCGTTGAGGATGATTCAATTGATTTTTTTTAAATGGTGTGTTAATTAAAAAAGCTAGACAATGGGAATTGTGTATTTAATGAGTTGAACTCAGCCCCGTAGCTACGGGGGGGCAAGAGGGGGCTGAGCCCCCCCTAGCAGTTGTGGTTGCCCCTCCTGGAAGACTTATACATTATAAATTTCAAACTAGTAATAAAATTTCAATATAATGCTGATTGCCGAAGCATATTAACTGGCCCCACCTTTATTTTCTTACAGGGTATATTATTTGGCAATATCACACTACCGTTGATGTTGACCGTATAAAAAAATGAACATGTCACATTTTATTCCATAGCCTACTATGTACTTGAGAAAAGTCAAAAATATTATATGGATTTTCTAAAAATTGAGCTTTTATTGAAATGGACAAAAAATAGACAAAAAGTTCTGAGATGTAGATCTCGATGAGCTTAATCAAAAAACATAAGGTCTTGATGGTCCCAGACCAAGATTTTTCAAAAATTCGGTTCCAAAGTCGACATTTCAAAATTTCTGAAAAATTACATTTCTTTTGGCGGCTCTGGAAAAATTGTACGAATTTTCGAAAAAATAAAACCAAAAAAAAAACATTTGGAGATCGAAATCAATAAAAAGATCCCTTCTGCTAGTTTTCGAAAATGCGTGGGAAAAGTCAAATTTTTTTTATAGATTTTCAAAAATTGAGCTTTTGTTGAAATTGGCTGAAAATCTACAAAAAATTCTGAGATGTAGATCTCGACGAGTTTAGTCAAAAAACATAAGGTCTTGCTGCTATTCGGTTTCCAAGTCGAATTTTTAAAATTTCTCAAAAATTATACTCCTATTTCTTTTGACGATTCTAGAAAAATTTTACAAATTTTCGAACAAATAAAACCAAAAACAACATCTGAAGATTGAAATAAATAAAAGAATGACTTTTGGTAATTTTTGGAAATGCTAAGAAAAGTCAAAAGTTATTTAGTTTTCAAAAATTGAGCTTTTGTTAGAGTTGACAAAAAATTCTGAAATATAGATCTCGATGAGCTTAATCGAAAAACATGTTCATGCTCCCGGAGCAAAATTTACGAAATATTGGGTTCTACCTAAAATTTCTAAAAAATCTCAAAAGTGACTTAAAAAAAAGTTATTTCTTTATGTGATTGTGGAAAAATTCGACGAAATATCAAAAAAATAAAACAAAAATAACATCTGTAGATCGAAATCAATAAAGAGATCCCTTTTGCTAATTTTCGAAGATGCTTGGGAAAAGTCAAAGAATGTATATGGTTTTTCAAAAATTGAGCTTTTGTTGAAATTAACAAAAAATCAACAAAAAATTCCGAGATGTAGATCTCGATGAGCTTAATCCAAAAACATAAGGTCTTGATGGTCCCAGACCAAGATTTTCGAAAAATTCGGTTTCAAAGTCGACATTTCAAAATTTCTCAAAAATTACATTTCTTTTGGCGGCTTTGGAAAAATTGTACAAATTTTCGAGAAAATAAAACCAAAAACAACATTTGGAGATCGAAATCGATAGAGATCCCTTTTGCTAATTTTCGAAAACGGTTGGGAAAAGTCAAAAACATTTTATAGATTTTCAAAAATTTAGCTTTTGTTGAAGTTGACTAAAAATCCACAAAAAAATCTGAAATGTTGATCTCGACGAGCTCAATCAAAAAACACAAGGTCTATATGGTCCCAGATCAAGATTTTCGAAACATTCGGTTTCAAAGTTCAAAAATTACATTTCATTTAGCGATTGCTGAAAAATTTTACGACTTTTCAACCAAATAAAACCAAAAACAACATCTGGAGATCGAAATCAATAAAGGAATCCCTTTTGGTAATCTCGAACGTGCTTGAAAAAAGTCAAAAATTTGATACAGGTTTTCAAAAATTGCCATATTTCTTCCGTCGATTCTGGAAAAATTGTAAGAATTTTCAAAAAAATTGAGTCCAAAACGATTTTTGGAAATCGAGATGAACAAAGCAGTCTCTTTTGATGATTTTTAAAAATGCTTGGGAAAAGTCAAAAATTTTATATGGGTTTTCAAAAATTGAACTTTCGTAAAAGTTGACAAAAAATTCTGAAATATAGATTTGGACGAGCTTAAAAAAACATGACAGGTTCATGGTTCCGGATCAAAATTTTCGCAATACTCGGTTTCGAGCTCGAATTTTCAAAATTTCTCAAAAATTACCATATTTCTTTTGGCGATTGTGGAAAAATTGTACGTATTTTCGAAAAAACAACCAAAAACAACATCTGGAGATCGAAATCAATAAAGGAATCCCTTTTGGTAATCTCGAACGTGCTTAAAAAAAAGTCAAAAATTTGACACAGGTTCTCAAAAATTGCCATATTTCTCCCGTCGATTCTGGAAAAAAAGTTAGAATTTTCAAAAAAATTGAATCCAAAACGATTTCTGGAAATCGAGATGAACAAAGGAATCTCTTTTGGTAATTTTCGAAAATGCTTGGGAAAAGCCAAAAATTTTATATGGGTTTTCAAAAATTGAACTTTCGTAAAAGTTGACAAAAAATTCTGAAATATTGATTTCGACGAGCTTAAAAAACATGACAGGTTCAAGGTTCCGGATCAAAATTTTCGAAATACTCGGTTTCGAGCTGGAATTTTCAAAATTTCTCAAAAATTACCATATTTCTTTTGGCGATTATGGAAAAATTGTACGAATTTTCGAAAAAACAACCAAAAACAACCTCTGGAGATCGAAATCAATAAAGGAATCCCTTTTGGTAATTTCGAATGTGCTTGAAAAAAGTCAAAAATTTGATACAGGTTCTCAAAAATTGCCATTTTTCTTCCGTCGATTCTGCAAAAAATGTAAGAATTTTCAAAAAAATTGAATCCAAAACGATTTTTGGAAGAAATCGAGATGAACAAAGGAATTCTTTTGGTAATTTTCGAAAATGCTTGGGAAAAGTCAAAAATTTTATATGGGTTTCCAAAAATTGAGCTTTTGTTAAAGTTGACAAAAAATTCTGAAATATACATCTCGACGAGTTTAAAAAAACATGACGAGTTCATGGTTCCGTACCAAAATTTTCGAAATATTTGGTTTCGAAGTCGGATTTTTAAAATATGTACTAAACATGCAAAAAAATAAACTCAAACAAATTGGATGTTACCTATATGGTCACTACACAAATTTTTGGATGCAGTACGGCTGTTTGTGAATCTACATTCTCTGTTTAACCAGCATTTTAACCAAGTACCTTACTAATTTTTTGGACTTCGACAGGTTTTTACGAAAATTTAGCGTAAAAAATCGACGTTTCCAATTATTTTAATGTTCTTTCAAATATAAAAACTCAGAAAAAATAAAGTAGTTATCTGAGTGTATTATTAAAATATAAATATTTACATGAAGCCCCCTCTGTCGACAAACTTGCCCCCCCTGAATAAGTTTTCTAGCTACGGGGCTGGTTGAACTTGACACACAAATCTGTCGATTTTGTGCGACTCTAACGAATTTGAATTTAAATAGCAGGCACGAAGCAGGGATTTGCCGAGGTATGATGCCAGCGCGACGAGTATAAATGGGCGTACGTCGACCGTAAGCGATTCAAATTGTTGCAGTAAGTTTCAATAGACCAAGTTCGTTTGACTAAGTTGACTCAGGTTTCGTACTTATTTATTTCTGTTCAATACGTAATTTCAAACAAATTATAAGTAATTGGTTGTGAATGTTTATTACTGAATTGACTTTATACTGTTAATTGACGTTGATAGATTATGTTGGGGTTAGCAGGGGACTTGATTGAGGCGTAATTATTGTTAGTATGTGCCAATGTGCTTCCTAACATGACAAGTTTATCGTTTGTAACAATTATGCTAGTAACTGGTGCAATTATACACTCATTGGAGCATTTTCATCAACATTGTTGTATGTGAAATAACAAAACGTGGTGTAGGAAATAGTTTCGCACACTCATTTCTACGTATTATCACGTAATCAGTATTGTAGATATATTGTAAGCTTTAATGTGACGTAACGTAAGGTAGTGACTAGGTAGAAGTTCAAATACAACGATTTTCAGAAAAACACTTGAAACAGTAAAACGTTTTCCAGTCATTAAATAATCACTTAGTAAATTCGGAACCAATTTTTATATGAGAATTTGTGTCTATAATCAAAACCTAGTTACGACGTATAACGTAATTTTTGATGAAGGTGCTCTACTTATCTTAGCGGACTAGTGCAATACTGTAAGTTCAAATGTTTTGAGAGATGTTTACTTTTGTTATAAAGCTTGTTGCACTTTTTTTTTTGTTGAACATCACAAAGGCGCTGCAAGCAACTTGATGCATTTAATAACCGTACTGATTTCACACGATGTAGCACTGAGTTTTTACGTTTTGTATCATTGGTGTAGGTAATAATATATAATGTTAAGAGTTTAAGTTAATATTTATTTACATGTTCATATTAATAAGCCAAAGAATAATCATGTAAAAGCAACAAAATTATTAACACAATAAAACCGTACACTTTTGTTGTATCTAATTATTGTTGTCACGGGGTCGCCCAAAATCATCGATCTTAAGCAAGTCTTTGGTGAAATTGAACAGTTTCTCTTGCAGATCCTCGCTTTTGGCAGTTTCACTTGTCGCAAATATTCGGCAGTTGTGGATGTATGTACCTCCTCTCCCCTCGAGTCGTGGCGAAACGCAAGAGTGAATAATGGGAACGGCGCCCTGTTCGGGCGTCTAAAAAACAGTACAAAACTACTATGTATATTTTTAAGTAATAAAACTCGTGCGCAGGCGCACCACAAACACTCAGTAAAATTTGATGACACAGCAATTGCGTACCCAACCATTATATTTACATGCATACATTACACAAACATTACATTAACAGTGGTACACGCACGCAAATGTTTTGAGCCTATGGGCGGATCATTTTTGCCTGCCCTCACCGAAGAAGGCGGTCCAAATCCTTCAAGGGCAGAATTTGTAGGTAGGCTCAAACTACAACGAAATTTACATTTGGTAAGAAGTATTTATGGCTCACACCAGTTCTCTCAAATTTGTCGGAGAAGATTTAACAGGTAGTTGTTCCCATAAAATAATGGTCACTTTCGTTCGTGAGTAACGATGGTCCGGACTTTCTAACATCTTTCGACCAATTGTTCCGTATACAAAATTTCATCACTTTTTCCAATAAAATACTCTTAAATGTTCATAATAAATAAATAAATAAATAAAAAAAAACGATATTGTCGAGTGTCCGCTCTAAAAAATGTATGACGTCACCTCAAAATTTTGCAGAATAAATCCTATCTTAAATGTATAAAATATGATGAGTTTTTATACTTGTGATTTATCACTGCATTAATATTTTTTAGATTTGGTTATACAGGGTGTCTCAAAAAAGTTAATGACTGAGTCAATTTATTTTATTGAAGAAATCAAGAATAGCAAAATTGAATACTTTGAAATATTGTAGATGTTTTGAAGTTTTTGTAAGCATGGTAACTTTTTCGAAAATTTGATTAATATGCGCAAAATCAAAAATCGGAAAAAATGAAATTCACAAATGCAAAAAACAGAAAATCGAAAAATACGAATCGTAAAAATCAAAAAAATAAAATGGCCAATTAAAAAATCGAAAATTCAATGAATCAAATACTTAGGTCGATCGAAAAGTGGAAATTCACAAACCTCAAAAATCGAAAAATCGAAAATTGAAAAACGGGAAAACCAAAAAATCGAAAAGTAATATTGAAAATTAAAAAAATCAAAAACAAAAATAAAAAAAATCGGAAATTAAAATAATCAGTATATATGAAGTAGAAAAAATTGCAAAGCCTAAAAACTGAAACGAACAGAAAAATCGAAAAAGCAAAAAATTGGAAAAACAAAAATTCGAAAAATCTAAAATCGAAAAAGTGGAAAATCGAAAATCTGAATAAAGAAACTTGGAAATTCTAAAAATTGGAAAATCGAAAACCAAAAAATCGGGAAGTAACAAAATTGAAGTCTAACAGTTGAGAATAGAAAAATTGAAAAACCGAAAATTATAAAAATCGACAATGGACAAATTGAAAATCGCAAAATTTAAATTGAAAAATTGAACATGGAAAAATCGATGAATTGAAAAAATCGAAAATTCGACTAGTCAAATTTTCTAAAAATCGAAAAATCATAAAACTGAAAAATCCAAAATTCTAATGATCGAAAGTCTGAAAACTGAAAATCGAAAATTCTGAAAAGCGGAAAATAGAATATCGAAAAATTTAAAAGAAAGAAAATTGAAGTCTAAAAACCGAAGAATGGAAAAATTAAAAATCAAAAATTCGAAAAATCAAAACCGAAAAATTCAAAGATTTAAAAAGAAAATCGAAAAATCAAAAATCTGAAAATTGAAACTCGAAAATTTGGAAAATCGAAAAGTAAAAAAACTGAAGTCTAAAAGCTGAAAAATGGAAAACTGAACAATCGAAAATTCGAAAATCAAATATCGAAAAATCGAAAAGCCGAAAAATCGAAAATTTGATAAATCAGATATGCGAAAAACAGAAAATCTGAAAATACAAAACTGGAAAATCAAAAATCTAAAAATGGAAAAACCGAAAATCGAAAATTCAATGAATCAAATACCTAGGTCGATCGAAAAACTGGAAATTCACAAATCTGAAAAATCGAAACTTTGCAAGATTGAAAAACCGAGAATTGAAAAATCAAAAAACCGAAAAATGGAAAAATCAAAAATCGAAAAATAGGAAAACCGAAAATTCGAAAATTCATAATATTGAAAACTCTAAAAGTCGACAATTCAAAAATCAAAAAATTGGAAAGTAAAATAATCGAAAAATCGAAAGTAAACAAATTGCAAAGCCTAAAAACTGACGAACAGAAAAATCGAAAAATCGTAAAATCAAAAAGTCGAAAATCGAAAACTGGAAATTGAAAAATCGAAGATTGGAAAATCGAAAAATCGAAAATCGGAATATCGAGAATCGACAAATTGAAAAATCGAAAAATTAAAAAATCGGAAATCGAAAAATGAAAAAAAAAAACAAAATTCAAAAATCGAATAATCCAACACTAAAATAATAGAAAAGTGGAAAAGTAAAAATTGCAAAGTCTCAAAACTGACGAACAGAAAAATCGAAAAATCAAAAAAAAATCGAAAAATATCTAAAAATGGAAAATCAGAAAATGGAAAAACCGAAAAATCGAAAATCGAAAACTCGAAAATTCGATGAAACAAATACTCGAAAAAGCGAAAAGTAAAAAAAATTGCAAGGCCTAAAAATTGAAAAATCAAAAAATCGGAAAAATGAAAATCGAAAAAACGACGATCGAAAAAAAATAAAAAATCGAAAAGTGGAAAATCGGAAAGTAACAAAATTGAAATCTAAAAGCTGAAGAAGGGAAAATTCTAAAAAGCAACAATCGAAAAAAGCAAAATTAAAAATTGAAAATTTGAAAAATGGAAAAGCGAAAACTCGAATATCGAGATTTTGAAAAATCGTAAAAATGATAATCGAAAAATCGAAATGCTCAAAAATCGAAAATTCGATTAATCAATATTCTAAAAATCGAAAAAACGGACACAAATCCACAAATCTGAAAAATCGAAAATCGAAATATGAAAAATTAAAAAACCGAAAAATTGAAAAATCCCAAATCGAAAAATGGAAAAACCGAAAATTCAAAAATCAAACTATCGGAAAGTAAAATAATCGAAAAATGGAAAAATAAAACAAATCGCAGAACCATAAAAACTGAAACAAACAGAAAAATCTAAAAACCACAAAGCGGAAAAACGAAAATCGAAAAATCGCAAATCGAAAAATCGTAAAATCAGAAAATGTAAAATCGAATAATCGAAAGTTGAAAAATCGAAGGTCGAAAAATAAACAACCGAAAAATGGAAAATTTAATGATTAATGGAAAATCGAAAAATCGAGAATAGAAGAATTAAAAAACCGGAAAATTGAAAAATCGAGAATTCAAAAATCAAAAAAATCGGAAAGTAAAATATAATCGAAAAATGCAAAAAAATTGCAAAGTCTAAAAGCTGACGAACAGAAAAATCCAAAAATCTAAAAATGGAAAGACGAAAAATCGAAAATTGAAAGAATGGCAAATCAAAAAATCGAAACATCGAAAAATCAAAAAAACGAAAAATTAAAAAATCGAAAAACGAAAAAACTGAAAACTCGAAAATTCAAAATACCGCAAACTTGAAAAATCAGAAAATTGGAAAGTAATAAAATCGAAAAGTTGATAGAAAAATGGAAACTGAAAAATCTAATTCGATGAAACTGTTGGTCGAAAAAACGAAAAATCGAAAATCGAAGTGACCTTTTTTTGAGACAGGCTGTATAAGTAAATCTAAAAAATATTACTGCAATGATAAATCACAGGTATAGACTCATCATATCAAATTTTACGATGACGTCATGCATTTTTTGGCGAAGATAAGCAAATGCATTTTGATCGTGACTTTGAAAGTATTCTTAGACTTTCGTCCCATTTCAAAATTTACTCTTTGTATATTTCAGTGGTCACAACGAGTTCACTAACTACGCTGAAGTATACAAAGATTAAATTTGTCACCGAAAAGATGTCGGAAGTGATAAATTATAGGATAACAAATGGAACGGATAAAATAAAGCGTCAAATATGATTGATAAACTTTAAACCAAAATTATGAAGTTTATAAACTGAACATTTTTTTTGCTTTTTGAAATGTAATACACTTCAAAAAATGTCCGTGACTTACTTTAATGTGAATTTTATAACTATGGTCGGCACAATTAGACCTAATATTAGTGTGATTTTGAGCATATTCTCGATTTTATTAGAGCAGAATAGGTTTTTTTTTCTAATATTATAACTTACGAAAACTAATAGCACATCACAGATATTGCAAAAAATATTGGGCTCAGGTTACAACTAATCGACAAGATTTCAAAGTATTCAGTTTTGCAATTCTTGATTTCTTCAATAAAATAAATTGACTCAGTCATTATTTTTTTTGAGTCACCCTGTATGTATAAACAAATCCAAAAAATATAAATGGAATGGTAAATCACAAGTATAGACTCATCATATTCTGAACATTTTAGATAGGGTATTTATAAAATTCAAACTAATTCAGAGTAAGAATTTGGTCAACACGTAAATTTCGTTGTAGTTTGAGCCTACCTACAAATTCTGCCCTTGGACAATTTGGACCGCCTCCTTCGGTGACGACAGGCAAAAATGATCCGCCCATGGGCTCAAAACATTTGCGTGCGATTGTACCATACTACTACCTTAAACACGAGTGACGGCACCCAAGGGACCAGGTTTTTCAAATACGTCCCATCAAAAAGCTCCGTGTTGACTATACCAGGGTGGACGGAGTGAGTCTGCACCAGGAACTTCTCCTTCCGACAAATCCTCTCGACGTAATTCGTGAAAAGTATCTGTGCCAATTTTGACTGGGCGTAAGCTTCCGCCGCAATATAGCGCTCCCGATTATTGATATCTTCAAAGTTAATTTTTCCGGCTTGGTAAGCACAAGAAGACACGTTCACGATTCGCGAGTTCGCCGATTCGGTGCCCCCGGCACAGATTTGTGGAAACAGGAGATGTGTGAGGAGGAAATGCCCTAAGTAGTTGGTGGAAAATTGCGATTCGAAACCATCGCGGCTTTCAATGTAGGGGCCAAACATAATCCCGGCTGAAGAGTCAAAATTAGCGTGTACACACAAGTTAGAAAACATTACCATTGTTGATTAAGTAATTTATTTTGGGGTGCTTCTCTGCGACGACTTTAGCGAAGCTCTTGACTGACTCAATGTGACTTATGTCTAGCTTGTACACACTTATGTCCCCCGTGGCCACTCCCTTGTCCCTGCAGCGCTGCAGCACCTGATCGCCGGCCTGGACGTTCCTGCAACCTATTCCCGTTTTTACAAATTATAAAATCGCGTGCTTCCACAAATGTACCTATAATGACGTGCACGTCACACTGCAGCAACATTTGCACCACCTCGGCCCCAATACCTCTAGCTCCTCCCGTAATTAGGGCCACTTTCCCGGTCAGAACCGGGAGATCTGGAAATGAATTTACCGCGCTAGTGCGTCTTTCAAGGTCGTACAAGTGCTCACCTGTTTTGTTTTTGCTTTTCATTACCATGTCTTCCAAAACGGCTCTCGAACCCAGTGCATTGTACACCAACTCGTACTTAGCCTCAGCCAAGATCTGGTTTAGGGGCTTTTTGGACCTCCATATCGCTACTGCCGTAACGACGATGATGATTCCGCAACCAATTAGGAGAAACATCGATTAAAAACATAAAATTTGTCGGAACCCGGGCAAAGTACGTCTATAAACTAAACGCGGAACTTTCTCGGGTGACTTTCTCTCGTTCGGAGTACACTGGCAGCCGGAGGTAGGTGGAAGTGGAAGTCGGTTGGTTAAATAGAAAAAGAAAAAAGTCGGAGGGCTAAGTCCCGAATTGGTTGTTCGTGTTAGGTTGCGAACTTTGATCAGACTGACGCAGAGAATGCTAAGACCGCTATTTTTTGCTCTACCTACAGACCATGGACAATTATTCGGAACACCCACTGATGAAATTCGGGCGGTAACTGAAGCATCACCTGCACAAGTGCAAGGTTCAGGTGTATATCCTAGGTGTATATCTATTATCTCAAATTACGCCAGCGTACTACGTATTGATAATATACTGTTTAATTGTTTAGAAGAAATAGGACGAAAGGTCACGTTTTACAAATTGGCTATCTAATCGTGTTTCGTTTATTAAAAAAGAATGCCGTAAAAACATGTAATAACAATATAACAGTGTCAGTTTTGTGGTTATCGTCTATCAATTAGGTTGACACTTGACGTCACGTTGACGTGTAGGTGAAAACTGCGCCCTCTGTTATAACCAAAAAAACTTTTCTCTTCTTAAAAATTGTAAACATTACAATAACCATCACCCATTTGTTTGTCTTTATGTACGAAATAAAACTGCCGGGGAACGGTTTTATTGTGTGTTTTATTCCATTTTGTGTAACTTGTACACAGTGGCGTCCCGTGACCAGGTCTGTGGGACGTCAAACTAAAACTGATTAAATTTGAAACTTATTTTTTACAAAGTGGTCAGTTTCTTATTTGGTAAAAGTGGTGTTAGCTGCTGTGTTTTTTTTTTATTTATGCCAGAATGCGGTTATGCAAAGTATTGAACCCCGATGTTGGAAAAGCGCCCCTAAATCAAACACAAATGGAGGTTGTTGTTACTTCTTAGGCTCAAATTCTATCTCTATCGAATTGATAGCGATGACTGAATGTGTATTAAAATTACTTACACTAATTACGTCATACTCAAGAATTTGCAATCTCCTTTCTATATTTCACTTTTTTCTCTATTTACTGTGAAATGGGAATTGTACTATATTTTGACAAGCGGAAGGATCTAAGATATAAAACAAGGTCAACAGTTCTAGCTCCACCCACATGCCCCCCTCTGCTTTCTTGGAAGTTGTCATTTGCCAAATTCAGTCTTACCGTAGCAGATAGTAGCCCCACCCACCCACCCTCTATTTTCTTGGAAGGTATGTCATATGCCAAAATCAATCTTATCATAGCAAGTACTAATTCCCCCACTCGGATTCTTCTCATTGTAACTACTAATTTTATTTCAGTTTAGTAAAGTTCCACCTTTCGATCAGAGTAGATAAATGAATCACTGAAACGAAGGTGGGTGGGTGGGCGGGGCTACTCCTTGCCCATAAATCTGTTGAAAAAGCTGAATATAGCTCCGCCCACCTCCTTGCTTATTTGAATAACTATTTTTGTATTATTACTGTGAAATGGGAATGGAATCTATTTCGACAAGCGACAGAGTCTAAAATTTAAAACAAAGTCAAAAGTCCTAGCTCCACCCACACGCCCGCCCTCTGCTTTCTTAGAAGATATGTCATTTGCCAAATTCAATCTTACCGTAGCAAGTACTAGCCCCACCCACCCGCCCTCTATTTTCTTGGAAGGTATGTCATGTGCCAAAATCAGTTTTATCATAGTAAGTACTAGCTCCGCCCACCCGAATTCTTCTAATTCTAACTACTAATTTTATTTCAGTTTAGTATAAGTTCCACCTTTCGATTAGAGTAGGTAAATGAATCACTGAAATGAAGGTGGGTGGGTGGGCGGGGCTACCCCTTGTACATAAGTCTATTGAAAAAGCTGAATATAGCTCCGCCCACTTCCTTTCTAATTTGAATAACTATTTTTTTTTATTATTGCGAAATGGGAATGGAATCTATTTTGACAAGCGGAAGAATCTAAGATTTGAAACAAAGTCAAAAGTGCTAGCTCCACCCACATGCCCGCCCTCTGCTTTCTTAGAAGGTACGTCATTTGCCAAATTCAGTGTTACCGTAGCAGGTACTAGCCCCACCCACCCGCCCTCTATTTTCTTGGAAGGTATGTCATGTGCCAAAATTAGTTTTATCATAGTAAGTACTAACTCCGCCCACCCGGATTCTTCTAATTCTAACCACTTTTTTATTTCAGTTTAGTGTAAGTTCCACCTTTCGATCAGAGTAGATAAATGAATTACTGAAACGACGGTGGGTGGGTGGGCGGGGCTACCCCTTGTACATAAGTCTATTGAAAAAGCTGAATATAGCTCCGCCCACTTCCTTTCTAATTTGAATAACTTTTTTTTTTTATTATTGCGAAATGGGAATGGAATCTATTTTGACAAGCGGAAGAATCTAAGATTTGAAACAAAGTCAAAAGTGCTAGCTCCACCCACATGCCCGCCCTCTGCTTTCTTAGAAGGTACGTCATTTGCCAAATTCAGTGTTACCGTAGCAGGTACTAGCCCCACCCACCCGCCCTCTATTTTCTTGGAAGGTATGTCATGTGCCAAAATTAGTTTTATCATAGTAAGTACTAACTCCGCCCACCCGGATTCTTCTAATTCTAACCACTTTTTTATTTCAGTTTAGTGTAAGTTCCACCTTTCGATCAGAGTAGATAAATGAATTACTGAAACGACGGTGGGTGGGTGGGCGGGGCTACCCCTTGTACATAAGTCTATTGAAAAAGCTGAATATAGCTCCGCCCACTTCCTTTCTAATTTGAATAACTTTTTTTTTTATTATTGCGAAATGGGAATGGAATCTATTTTGACAAGCGGAAGAATCTAAGATTTGAAACAAAGTCAAAAGTGCTAGCTCCACCCACATGCCCGCCCTCTGCTTTCTTAGAAGGTACGTCATTTGCCAAATTCAGTGTTACCGTAGCAGGTACTAGCCCCACCCACCCGCCCTCTATTTTCTTGGAAGGTATGTAATGTGCCAAAATCAGTCTTATCATAGCAAGTACTAACTCCGCCCACCCGAATTCTTCTAATTCTAACTACTTATTTTATTTCAGTTTAGTATAAGATCCACCTTTCGATCAGAGTAGATAAATGAATCACTGAAACAAAGGTGGGTGGGTGGGCGGGGCTACTCCTTTTCCATAAGTCTTTTGAAAAAGCTGATTATAGCTCCGCCCACCTCCTTCCTAATTTGAATATTTTTTTTTATTATTGTGAAATGGCAATGAAATTTATTTTGACAAGCGCCAGAGTCTAAGATTTAAAACAAAGTCAAAAGTTCTAGCTCCACCCACACGCCCGCCCTCTGCTTTCTTAAAAGTTGTCATTTGCCAGATTCAGTCTTATCGTAGCAAGTACTAGCCCCACCCACCCTCTATTTTCTTGGAAGGTATGTCATATGCCAAAATCAGTTTTATCATAGTAAGTACTAACTCCGCCCACCCGAATTCTTCTAATTCTAACTACAGTAGCGGTCATTTCTACGGAACCACTCGATAAAAAGTCAAGTTGGTAGCCCTGTCATCTAGTACTTTACGCCGAACGCGGTTGGTAGCGGAAGTTGATATGACAATCGAAATTAGCACAACACGAATGTTTCGGTTGCCCTCAGCTATGCCGCACTGTATCCCGTACAGACTGTATGTTCTGTTCATCTATTTATTAAAATAAAATATCTACATTGACAATGGGGCCATCTAACCTGTCAAATTTTTGACACATATATTTCCCCCAGAAACCCGTCAAGGTCACTTACACCAAACAAATTTTGAAAATTTACACTAGGGAGTGGTTCTATAGAAAAGATCGCGACTTTACTAATTTTATTTCAGTTTAGTATAAGTTCCACCTTTCGATCAGAGTAGGTAAATGAATCACTGAAATGAAGGAGGGTGGGTGGGCGGGGCTACCCCTTCTACATAAGTCTATTGAAAAAGCTGAATATAGCTCCGCCCACTTCCTTTCTAATTTGAATAACTATTTTTTTTTATTATTGCGAAATGGGAATGGAATCTATTTTGACAAGCGGAAGAATCTAAGATTTGAAACAAAGTCAAAAGTGCTAGCTCCACCCACATGCCCGCCCTCTGCTTTCTTAGAAGGTACGTCATTTGCCAAATTCAGTGTTACCGTAGCAGGTACTAGCCCCACCCACCCGCCCTCTATTTTCTTGGAAGGTATGTAATGTGCCAAAATCAGTCTTATCATAGCAAGTACTAACTCCGCCCACCCGAATTCTTCTAATTCTAACTACTTATTTTATTTCAGTTTAGTATAAGATCCACCTTTCGATCAGAGTAGACAAATGAATCACTGAAACAAAGGTGGATGGGTGGGCGGGGCTACTCCTTTTCCATAAGTCTGTTGAAAAAGCTGATTATAGCTCCGCCCCCCTCCTTCCTAATTTGAATATTTTTTTTTTATTATTGTGAAATGGCAATGAAATTTATTTTGACAAGCGCCAGAGTCTAAGATTTAAAACAAAGTCAAAAGTTCTAGCTTCACCCACACTCCCGCCCTCTACTTTCTTAAAAGTTGTCATTTGCCAAATTCAGTCTTATCGTAGCAGGTACTAGCCCCACCCACCCGCCCTCTATTTTCTTGGAAGGTATGTCATATGCCAAAATCAATCTTATCATAGCAAGTACTAACTCCGCCCACTCGGATTCTTCTCATTGTAACTACTAATTTTATTTCTGTTTAGTGTAAGATCCACCTTTCGATCAGAGCAGATAAATGAATCACTGAAACGAAGATGGGTGGGTGGGCGGGGCTACTCCTTGTACATAAGTCTAATGAAAATACTGAATATAGCTCCGCCCACCTCCTTCCTATTTTGAATATTGTTTTTTATTATTGTGAAATGGCAATGGAATTTATTTTGACAAGCGGCAGAGTCTAAGATTTAAAACAAAGTCAAAAGTTCTAGCTCCACCCACACGCCCGCCCTCTGCTTTCTTAAAAGTTGTCATTTGCCAGATTCAGTCTTATCGTAACAGGTACTAGCCCCACCCACCCACCCTCTATTTTCTTGGAAAGTATGTCATATGCCAAAATCAATCTTATCATAGCAAGTACTAACTCCGCCCACTCGGATTCTTCTCATTGTAACCACTAATTTTATTTCTGTTTAGTGTAAGATCCACCTTTCGATCAGAGCAGATAAATGAATCACTGAAACGAAGATGGGTGGGTGGGCGGGGCTACTCCTTGTACATAAGTCTATTGAAAAAACTGAATATAGCTCCGCCCACCTCCTTCCTATTTTGAATATTTTTTTTTATTATTGTGAAATGGCAATGAAATTTATTTTGACAAGCGCCAGAGTCTAAGATTTAAAACAAAGTCAAAAGTTCTAGCTCCACCCACACGCCCGCCCTCTGCTTTCTTAAAAGTTGTCATTTGCCAGATTCAGTCTTATCGTAACAGGTACTAGCCCCACCCACCCACCCTCTATTTTCTTGGAAGGTATGTCATGTGCCAAAATCAGTCTTATCATAGCAAGTACTAACTCCACCCACCCGGATTCTTCTGATTCTGACCACTAATTTTATTTCAGTTTAGTATAAGTTCCACCTTTCGATCAGAGTAGATAAATGAATCACTGAAACGAAGGTGGGTGGGTGGGCGGGGCTACTCCTTGACCATAAATCTGTTGAAAAAGCTGAATATAGCTCCGCCCACCTCCTTGCTTATTTGAATAACTATTTTTGTATTATTACTGTGAAATGCGAATGGAATCTATTTGGACAAGCGGAAGAATCTAAGATTTAAAACAAAGTCAAAAGTGCTAGCTCCACCCACACGCCCGCCCTCTGCTTTCTTAGAAGGTACGTCATTTGCCAAATTCAGTGTTACCGTAGCAGGTACTAGCCCCACCCACCCGCCCTCTATTTTCTTGGAAGGTATGTAATGTGCCAAAATCAGTCTTATCATAGCAAGTACTAACTCCGCCCACCCGAATTCTTCTAATTCTAACTACTTATTTTATTTCAGTTTAGTATAAGATCCACCTTTCGATCAGAGTAGATAAATGAATCACTGAAACAAAGGTGGGTGGGTGGGCAGGGCTACTCCTTTTCCATAAGTCTTTTGAAAAAGCTGATTATAGCTCCGCCCACCTCCTTCCTAATTTGAATATATTTTTTTATTATTGTGAAATGGCAATGAAATTTATTTTGACAAGCGCCAGAGTCTAAGATTTAAAACAAAGTCAAAAGTTCTAGCTCCACCCACACGCCCGCCCTCTGCTTTCTTAAAAGTTGTTATTTGCCAAATTCAGTCTTATCGTAGCAGGTACTAGCCCCACCCACCCGCCCTCTATTTTCTTGGAAGGTATGTCATATGCCAAAATCAATCTTATCATAGCAAGTACTAACTCCGCCCACTCGGATTCTTCTCATTGTAACTACTAATTTTATTTCTGTTTAGTGTAAGATCCACCTTTCGATCAGAGCAGATAAATGAATCACTGAAACGAAGATGGGTGGGTGGGCGGGGCCACTGCTTGCTTATAAGTCTTGAAAAAACTGAACATCGCTCTGTCCCTGGTACAACTAATCATTCGATGTCTTCTTGTACCATGGCTCCGCCCATCTCCTTTAGTATAAGATCCACCTTTCGATCAGAATAAATAAATGAATCACTGAAACAAAGGTGGGTGGGTGGGCGGGGCTACTGCTTGCTCATAAGTCTATTGAAAAAGCTGAATATAGCTCCGCCCACCTCCTTGCTTATTTGAATAACTATTTTTTTTTATTATTGTGAAATGGGAATGGAATCTATTTCGACAAGCGAAAGAATTTAAGATTTAAAACAAAGTCAAAAGTGCTAGCTCCACCCACACGCCCGCCCTCTGCTTTCTTAGAAGGCATGTCATTTGCCAGATTCAGTCTTATCGTAGCAGGTACTAGCCCCACCCACCCGCCCTCTATTTTCTTGGAAGGTATGTCATGTGCCAAAATCAGTTTTATCATAGCAAATACTAACTCTGCCCACTCGGATTCTTCTCATTCTAACTAGTAATTTTATTTCTCTTTAGTATAAGATCCACCTTTCGATCAGAGCAGATAAATGAATGACTTAAATAAAGGTGGGTGGGTGGGCGGGGCTACTACTTGCTCATAAGTCTATTGAAAAAACTGAACATCGCTCTGTCCATAGTGTTAAACACTCTCTCTGGTAATTTAAAAAAAAAACACCCCAGCAAAACACAAAAAAAACAAACTTTATTCCTCCGAAACTCACGCTCACCTCCCAGCGCTCCCGCTCTCTCTCCCTCTCTCTCTCTCTCTCTCTCTCTCTCTCTCTCCACTTCTGCCAACCTTTTCCCACAAAAATCGCCAAACACTTTTTATAAGCTAACAATGGTATAACTAATCATACGATGTCTTCTTGTAGATGACTCCGCCCACCTCCTTCCTCATTTGACTAACTTCTTTTATTTATTGTGAAATAGGAATTGAATTCTATTTTGACAAGTGGAATAATCTAAGATTTAAAACAAAGTCAAAAATGTTAGCCCCGCCCACACGCCCATCCTCTGCTTTCTTAGAAAGTATGTCATTTGCCAGATTCAGTTTTCCCGTAACAGGTACTAGCCCCACCCACCCGTCCTCTATTTTTTTGGAAGGTATGTCATGTGCCAAAATCAGTCTTATCATAGCAAGTACTAACTCCGCCCGCCCGGATTCTTCTCATTGTAACTACTAATTTTATTTCAGTTTAGTATAAGTTCCACCTTTCGATCAGAGTAGATAAATGAATCACTGAAACAGAGGTGGGTGGGTGGGCGGGGCTACTGCTTGATCATAAGTCTATTGAAAAAGCTGAATATAGCCCCGCCCACCTCCTTGCTTATTTGAATAACTATTTTTTTTTATTATTGTGAAATGGGAGTGGAATCTATTGCGACAAGCGGAAGAATCTAAGATTTAAAACAAAGTCAAAAGTGCTAACTCCACCCACACGTCCGCCCTCTGCTTTCTTGAAAGTTGTCATTTGCCAAATTCGGTCTTACCGTAGCAGGTAGTAGCCCCATCCACTCGCCCTCTATTTTCTTAGAAGATATGTCATTTGCCAAAATCACTTTTATCATAGCAAGTACTTACCCCGCCCACCCGGATTCTTCTCATTCTAACTACTAATTTTATTTCAGTTTAGTATAAGTTCCACCTTTCGATCAGAGTAGATAAATGAATCACTGAAACGAAGGTGGGTGGGTGGGCGGGGCTACTCCTTGTACATAAGTCTATTGAAAAAGCTGAATATAGCTCCACCCACCTCTCTATTCATTTGAATAACTATTTTTTATATTATTGTGAAATGGGAGTGGAATCTATTTCGACAAGCGAAAGAATCTAAGATTTAAAACAAAGTCAAAAGTGCTAGCTCTACCCACACGCCCGCCCTCTGCTTTCTTGAAAGTTGTCATTTGCCAAATTCAGTCTTACTGTAGCGGGTACTAGACCCACCCACCCGCCGTCTATTTTCTTGAAAGGTATGTCATGTGCCAAAATCAGTTCTATCATAGCAAGTACTTACCCCGCCCACCCGAATTCTTCTAATTCTAACTACTAATTTTATTTCTGTTTAGTGTAAGTTCCACCTTTCGATCAGAGTAGATAATGAATCACTGAAACGAAGGTGGGTGGGTAGGTGGGGCTGCTGCTTTCTCATAAGTCTATTGAAAAAAGTGAACATCGCTCCGTCCATGGTACAACTAATCATACGATGTCTTCTTGTACCATGGCTCCTCCCACCTCCTTCCTCATTTAACTAACTTGTTTTATTTATTGTGAAATGGGAATTGAATTCTATTTTGACAAGCGGAATAATCTAAGATTTAAAACAAAGTCAAAAATGTTAGCCTCGCCCACACGCCCGCCCTCTGCTTTCCTAGAAAGTATCTCATTTGCCAAATTCAGTTTTATCGTAGGAGGTACAACAAAGAATGTACATAATGTTAAATTACGCCACACTTTACCAACAATTTTAAACAACAAAGAATTTACACGATGTTTAAATATGTGTTATTGCAATTTTATATTATATCAAGTCGTATCCACAGATTACCTCGTGGACCGAAACCCCTACATCACAGACAAAAAAAACTCATATTCAATACTACCTATCAAAATCAGCTGGTCTCGGAAACGCTCCGCTTGGAGCGGCGCCGTCGAGAATAAATGTTTGCATTCAAGCAAGAAAATAATTAACCTGAAACAAACTATTAAATCCATAAGAAAATATTAAACCCATCCCGTTTTTCGAGTCACCTCATGCTACTCATACTAGCACCGATACACCAGAAGAAGTTACGTGATTGCCTATGTGTAACAACTGTTCTTAATTTATTTTTCAAATTCGTGGCGTTTTCAAACTGGAACACCACACTGCAAATCTAAATTACTATTTAGTAAATTTAAACAGTGTAATTAATGCGTCGCAGGTGCGTATCTTATTCCACTTAATTCACTGCAATTACATGAGAATCATGTTTTATGTAAAAGCAACTGTTATTTTATTTAACGAGGCTTTTAAGCATGGCGTGACTTACAATGAGTAAAACACGCGCAGAATGCATTATTACGTAGCAGGATTCAGTTATCTATGTACTTTACTTGTAAACCCTTTTTGAAATGTCAAAATATTTACCCCAGATTTATTTTACAACGCCAAAAATTAACAGTAATAATAATAATGTTCATTGTCACTTTCTCGATTTTTCGCTTCAGTTCCCAATCTGGGTGAGCGACGAGCCGCCACTGATTACAGGTTTCTTCTCTCACACGTCAAAGTGCCTCTCATGGCAACGCAAATGTCACAAACCCACAATGTCATTGCGTGTTTATTGGCAAGTGTGATGAACACGTACAGTTGATTAAAGACCGTTCAAGTATCAAAACTGTCGTGTTAAGTGGATAATTATCGTTTTTCGTTCGAAGTAATTAAGTGTCGGTGCGTATTTAGGGTACATCGTGAAAATGAGCGACGGTGCGGGACCATCGACCAGCTCGGAGCAGAGACAACGGGGGCTCAACGTAGAGGCCCTCAAGCAGCACGTTTTAACCCACAAGATCGATTGCGGATTATGGGGGATCCGAATTCTAACTATAATCTTCACTTTTGGGTACTTTGTACCACTTTTTGGGTGAGTTCTGGGATAGCCTTGCTTTTATGATAATTAATTACAATGCCGGTTGATAACTGGTTATTCTTGAAATTCTATCAAAATAATGACTTTGTAATTAAAAAAGACGCTAAACAACTTTTAAAGGTAAACAAGTGCAAATTCTATGCAGACGTTTTCAATAAATAATAAATTATGGCGGGTTTATATTTTATTGGTTTTTTATTAACGACGAACGAGGAGATGGCAAAAGTAGCACACACATCACTTTCTGTGCTTGAACTTTCACCCAGTAGAGAAACGTTGTTTATGTTGCAGGAATGCTCAAAATGCCTACTATAAAGCGTTGATTGCGAATGCGGCTATTAACGCCCTACGACTGCACCAGAGGCTTGGAAGGGTCAGACTCAGTCGAGAATTTCTCACAGAACTATTAATGGAAGATAGCTGCCACTACTTGTTCTATTCCATGATTTTCCTGTATGTGGCGCCCTTAACTTGTATCCTTAACCACAACTACTGATAATAATAAAAAACAGTAATAAAAATAAAAAAAAAAGTCCTTAACTAGAGTCAGTGGTGCTGCTGCCAGTGGTCCTCTTCGCCATCCTCCACGCCGCCAGCTACTCTCTAACTCTCCTCGACGTAAATATTGATCACTATTTGTTCCTCCTAAACAAATTGATTGTTTGTAGACCCTTGGCCAGAACTCGTGGTGGGGAGCCCGTCTCTTAATCTCATTGGTGGAATTCCAATCTCTGAATATTTTGCGACTGATTGCATTCACAGAAATCATCATGATGCCATTGACCGTATTCTTTGTTTTGATGTAAGGAAAAGGTTGCATTTGGACACAATAATGAATGTTTTTTTATAGGGGACGCGCCAGCTTGTTGACTCCGTTCATCTACTATCATTTCTTGACCCAGCGATACACTTCCAGACGCAACCCGTACAACAGAAACATGTTCTATGAACTCAAACTCCTGTTCGAGCGAACGGCAGCTAAACCGAGCATGCCATCCTTCGTAAAAAATATTCTCTTGGGTATTGTTAGCTTCACCACGAAGTTGGCTCCTCCGCAGATAGCGCAGGCGCAACAGCGTACTCAGTGAAGATTTCGTGTGTCCTAAATGTTCGTGATATGGGTAATTTTAACGCCTAGTATTGTTTCTTCGCACTCGTTTCATCCTTGTTGAAGAAATTTCATGCAAGTTTTGGCACTGTTCAGGTATGGTATGAACTTTTTTATTTTTATATACTATGAAGTAATTTTATGTTTAATTCAGTAGTGGTGTTATATGGTTCTGTTACTTGTTATACATTCTATATTGTAACAAAGCATTGTGCACATGGGGAATTTTTGTTTTTTGGTTTTTATTATTTTTTTTTTAATCACCCGTGATGGATGTTCTATGGTTGTTACTTTTTACTTGTACACAGACATTTTCCCATGTGGTCATGTTGTTATGTTGTAAGTAAAATTTGTAATTTCACAATAAAAAAATAAGTCTGGAAAGAGGTTGTGTAGTTTTTGCAGAAATCCACTTCCTTTCCCAGGGGTGGTTAAAAGAACTATTCCAACCCTATTATTGTAAGAAGCGTCTGACATATTTGCAACTAGTTTAACGTTTCATGACGAACATGATACAGAAAAATGTTTTATTATAGTCATGTAAATTCACGAACATTGAATAAAGGGTATTCTAACTACTGGACCGTTTACTTTAAGGCAGTATCACTCGGCTTGGTTTGGGACAGTTTTCGTCCCAATTGAAAACGAGAGAAATTGACTTAGGACGATAGTTTTTTTTCTTAACAGTCTGGTATAACATAATCAGTTTTGTCAGATAATTGGAAAAAAATGTAAGATTCGATTTAGAGATTTTTTTGCTGATAACGCAGTAAAGAGATCTGGCGAATGACTAATTTAATGTTTTCTCGCCGTTTCACGATTTTATATCACAATTTTTGGTTTCTTTATTTCCTTTATTTTTTGTTGTTTCTTTCGATTTACAATTTTTTATTTATTGCATGTTTTAAATTTTCAGGGTTTGATTTTTCAATTTCATGATTTTCCACGTTTAAAATTTTTCAAGTTGCAGTTTTTGGATTTCCAGTCTTCCAATTTTTCAATTTCTTTAATTTTCAATATTTTGATTTTACAATACATATTTCTTTTTTTTTATTTTTCACTTTTTCGGATTTTAAGTTTCTCAATTTTTATTCAAATTTTCGTTTCTTCGAATTTTCATGTTTGATTTTCACTTTTGACATTTTTCAAGTTTTCATTATATACTTTTTCGTTTTTTTATTTTTGATTTTTCAATTTTAGTTTCTTCACCTCTAAATTTTTCAATTTTTTAATTTTGCAATTTTTCGATTTTTCACATTCTCAGTTTTTAATTTTTGTCATTTTCAAATTTTCGTTTCCTCAATTTTTCAAGTTCTCAATTTTTATTTTTCACTTTCCCGGTTTTTTTAATTTTCACGTTCTGGATTTTGTCACAAATTTTCATGTTCTTTGTTTCGATTTTTCAATTCTTCGAATTTTCAGTTTCTCAGTTTTTCCATTTTTGAATTTTTCACTTTGCAGTTTTTGGATTTCCAGTCTTCCGATTTTCCAGTTTCTTTAATTTTCAATATTTCAATTTCATAATACGTATTTCTTTTTTTTTGATTTTTCATTTTTTCTATTCTTAAGATTTTTCAAGTTTTCATTTTGTAATTTTTCGTTTTTTATTTTTGATTTTTCAATTTTACAATTTCTCGACTTCCAAAATTTTCAATTTTTCGGTTTGCATCAGTTTTTCAATTTGGCAATTTTTCAATATCTCAGTTTTTCATTTTTTCAGTTTTTCAATTTTTGATTTTTCCCTTTTCCAATTTTTTGTTTCCGATTTTTATTTTTCATTTTCCCGATTTTTTAATTCTCACTTTTTCAATTTTATGTCATCATAATTTTTCGTTTTTTCATTTCCTTTATTTTTTTCTTGTTTCTTTCGATTTACAATTTTTTATTTATTCAATTTTTCAAATTTTCAGGCTTTGATTTTTCAATTCCATGATTTTCCACGTTGCAATTTTTCAATTTCCAGTCTTCCAATTTTTCAATTTCTTTAATTTTCAATATTTTGATTTTACAATACAAATTTCTTTTTTTTTTATTTTTTACTTTTTCGAATTTTAAATTTTTTAATTTTTAATCTTTCGATTTTTCAACTTTTCGTTTCTTCAAATTTTCATGTGTGATTTTCACTTTCGACATTTTTCAAGTTTTCATTATATACTTTTTTATTTTTGATTTTTCAATTTTACAGTTTCTTGACTTCTAAATTTTTCAATTTTTCGATATTACAGTTTCTTATTTTTCGATTTTTCACGTTCTCAGTTTTTAATTTTTGTCATTTTCAATTTTTCGTTTCCTCAAAATTTCAAGTTCTCGATTTTTATTTTTCATTTTCCCGATTTTTTAAATTTTCATTTTCTGGATTTTATGTCACAAATTTTCATTTTTTCAATTCCTTTATTTCTTGTTGTTTTTTTCCATTTTTCAACTTTTCGAATTTTCAGTTTCTCAATTTTTCCATTTTTCAATTTTTAAATTTTTTACTTTGCGGTTTTTGGATTTCCAGTCTTCTGATTTTCCAATTTCTTTAATTTTCAATATTTCATTTTCATAATACATATTTCTTTTTTTTTTTGATGTTTCACTTTTTCGATTTTTAAGATTTTTCAAGTTTTCATTTTGTAATTTTTCGTTTTTTTTTTTTGATTTTTCAATTTTACAATTTCTCGACTTTCAAAATTTTCAATTTTTCGGTTTGCATCAGTTTTTCAATTTGGCAAGATTTCAATATTAGTTTTTCATTTTCCGATTTTTCAGTTTCTCAATTTTGAATTTTTCCCTTTTCCAATTTTTTGTTTCCGATTTTTATTTTTCATTTTCCCGATTTTTTAATTCTCACTTTTTCGATTTTATATCATCACAATTTTTCGTTTTCTCATTTCCTTTATTTTTTTGTTGTTTCTTTCGATTTACAATTTTTTATTTATTCAATTTTTCAAATTTTCAGGCTTTGATTTTTCAATTCCATGATTTTCCACGTTTAAAATTTTTCAATTTCTTTAATTTTCAGTATTTTTATTTTACAATACTTTTTTTTTATTTTTCACTTTTTCGAAGTTTTTCAATTTTTAATCTTTCGATTTTTAAAATTTTCGTTTCTTCAAATTTTCATGTTTGATTTTCACTTTTGACATTTTTCGAGTTTTCAGTATATACTTTGTCGTTTTTTTATTTTTGATTTTCAATTTTACAGTTTCTTGACTTCTAAATTTTTCAATTTTTCGAGTTGCAATTTTTCATTTTCCCGATTTTTTTAATTTTCATTTTCTGGATTTTATGTCACAAATTTTCAATTTTTACAATTCCTTCATTTCTTGTAGTTTCTTTCGATTGTTCAATTTTTCGAATTTTCATTTTCTGGACTTTTCCATTTTTCAATTTTTAAATTTTTCACTTTGCAGTTTTTGGATTTCCAGTCTTCTGATGTTCCAATTTCTTTAATTTTCAATATTTCTATTTCATAATACATATTTCCTTTTTTTTTTATTTTTCACTTTTTCGAGTCTTAAGATTTTTCAATTTTTCTTCAAATTACATGTTTGATTTTCACTTTTTACATTTTTCAAGTTTTTATTATACACTTTCTCTTTTTTTTATTTTTGATTTTTCAATATTACAATTTCTCATTTTTCCATTTTTCACATTCTCGATTTTTAATTTTTCCCTTTTTCAATTTTTCGTCCCCAATTTTTCAACTCCCCGATTTTTATTTTGCATTTTCCTGAATTTTTATTTTCTCATTTTCTGAATTTTAAATCACATTTTTTTTTGTTCTTTCATTTCCTTAATTTTTGTTGTTTCTTTCGATTTTCCAATTTTTCGTTATTCAATTTTTCAAATTTTCAAGCCAATCGTCGATTTTCCAATTTTTAAATTTTTCTGTTTGCAGTTTTTGAGTTTCCACCCCTTTTTTACTTTTTCAATTCTAAATTTTTCGTTAAACTTCTTTTTTAAAATTTTTCATTTTTTTTTTATTTCTCGATTTATCGAATTCAGATGTTTGGAGGTTTTTGATTGTTCAATTTCTCAATTTGTCAGTTTCTCAATTTTTTTTCTATTTCTCGGTTTCGATTTTTGGATTTCTCGGTTTTTCGATTTTCTAATTTTTCGATGTTTCGATTTTTCAGTTATCCGATTTTTTAATTTTTTTAAATTCTTTAGTTTTCGATTCTTTAGATTTTTCAAGTTTTCATTTTGTAATTTTTCGTTTTTTATTTTTGATTTTTCAATTTTACAATTTCTGGACTTTCATAATTTTCAATTTTTCGGTTTGCATCAGTTTTCCAATTCGGCAATTTTTCAATATTGCAGTTTTTCATTTTTCGATTTTTCAGTTTCTCAATTTTTAATTTTTCCCTTTTCCAATTTCAATTTTTTGTTTCCGATTTTTATTTTTCATTTTCCAAATTTTTTAATTTTCACTTTTTCGATTTTATTCCATCACAATTTTTCGTTTTTTCATTTCCTTTATTTTTTTGTTGTTTCTTTCGATTTACAATTTTTTATTTCTTCAATTTTTCAAATTTTCAGGCTTTGATTTTTCAATTCCATGATTTTCCACGTTTAAAATTTTTCAATTTCTTTAATTTTCAGTATTTTTATTTAACAATACTTTTTTTTTATTTTTCACTTTTTCGGATTTTAAGTTTTTCAATTTTTAATCTTTCGATTTTAAAAATTTTCGTTTCTTCAAATTTTCATGTTTGATTTTCACTTTTGACATTTTTCGAGTTTTCAGTATATACTTTGTCGTTTTTTTATTTTTGATTTTCAATTTTACAGTTTCTTGATTTGTAAATTTTTCAATTTTTCGAGTTGCAATTTTTCATTTTCCCGATTTTTTTAATTTTCATTTTCTGGATTTTATGTGACAAATTTTCAATTTTTACAATTCCTTCATTTCTTGTTGTTTCTTTCGATTGTTCAATTTTTCGAATTTTCAATTTCTCATTTTTCCATTTTTCACATTCTCGATTTTTAATTTTTCGTCCCCAATTTTTCAACTCCCCGATTTTTATTTTGCATTTTCCTGATTTTTTATTTTCTCATTTTCTGAATTTTAAATCACAATTTTTTTTTTTTTTTCATTTCCTTAATTTTTGTTGTTTCTTTTGATTTTCCAATTTTTCAAATTTTCAGGCCAATCGATTCCAATTCGTCGATTTTCCAATTTTTCAATTTGCAGTTTTTGGGTTTCCACCCCTTTTTTACTTTTTGGATTTTCAATTTTTCGTTAAACTTTAGATTTTTCAAATTTTCAACAGTTTTATACTTCGATTTCTCAATTTTTTTTCAACTTTTCGATGTTTTAATTTTTCTTTTTTAATTTTTTTTTATTTCTCGATTTATCGAATTCAAATGTTTGGATGTTTTGATTGTTCAATTTCTCATTTTTTTTCTATTTCTCGATGTTTCGATTTTTTAGTTATCCGATTTTTCAATTTTTTTAAATTCTGGAGTTTCGATTTGTCGATTTTTCAGTTTTTCGATTTTAAGTTTTAGATTTTCCAATTTTTCTTTTTTGATTCTTTGATGTTTGGGTTTCTCCATTTTTCAATTTTGCGATATTTCAATTGTTCAATGTTTTAAATTTTAGATTTTTCGATTTCTGGATTTTTTGATTTTCCAGTTCTTCAGATTTTTCAAATTTTGACGTTGCTAAATTTTCAGTTTTCCCATTTTTCAATTAATATATGTATTTTTTTTATTTTCCCGTTTATCGAATTCGAAGTTTCGATTTTTCAGTTCTTCAAGATTTTTCAATTTTCGACTGTTTTATATACATTTCGATTTCTGAATTTTTCGAGTTTTTAGTTCTCGTATATTTTAATTTGTTTATTTTTCGATTTTTCAATTTTTTGAGAACTCGATTTTAGATTAACGTGATTTTAATATATTTTTTAACTTCCCGAGTCCGGTGAACAGAAAATTTCATATGTAACGACGTTTCTTAACAACCAGAGTAGGAAAAAATAGGTCGCCCGTTTCCTTCAGACAATTTGATGACATCGTCTGAAAATTACGTATTTTTTACCACTTTTTTGTCATTCTTATCTCACTCAGTGCTTTTTTTCTGTCTCGATATTTCGGGAAAATGAATACGTTTATTCACTGACGTCATCAAAAAAATTAAATACCTTTTACGACTGTAAACATTTAATGAATCTGAATTTGGTGTCTCGCTAGAAATACTCCAAGAAAAGCCAATTATAATTTCCGATTTTTATTGAAAATTATAGATAAAAATTTAAGCTACAGTTATCGGAATAGCTGGTGCGGCATCCGGTTTAACTGCTTTAATTTCACTGCTGGGGAACAGCGGCAGAACTTCTTCTTTAGGTTCAACGACTGAAACATTATCAGGCAGAGGCCTCTTGGGTCCAGTCTTGCCACTAGGATCCCAAGGCAACATGATCTTAACCTAAAAACAAAAACTATAGCCCCACTCATCACCAAAAATCCCACTCACTTTAATCCCCAGGACTCCCTGCCTCAACAACACGTGCCTGGTGGCAGTGTCCACATAATCGTTACACGGATCTCCCGAATGGATCATCAAACCATCCACGAACTTCATAGACTTGGCTCTCTGACCGCGGAGTTTCCCGGAGACCACAACTTCACACCCTAAAAAAACCAATTAACGTCTTACAAACACCCACCACTAGTTACCTTTAGCCCCGCACTCCATAATGTATCTCAAAACGCCGTAGCAGGCGCGACGCACCGCCAACCCTCCGATCAGCTTGAACCGAAGCGACTCGGCTTGTGCGATCGCGCACAAGCCCCTATTGGCGACCTTTTCTCCATACAAAACCACGGAATTCTCCGGGAAGTTGAACCGTTTTTGCACAACTGAGGTCAACTCGCGGATGCGGCGATTCTTTTCTCCCAGGACTCGGTCCGTACGTGTGGCCATAATAATGATTTCTGTACGGGTGGGAGTGACTCGGACTTCCACTCCGGAGTAGCCATCTTCAGACAACTCGCGAGTCAGGAATTCGTTCAACTCGGCTTTGAAGACGCCGTCGCCTACGAACTGGAACAAACACGAGAGTAAAAGGGGGCACGTGTGGCGGAAAATGAGGTTATGGTTACCGGAGGGATGTAAATAGACGGTACTGGGGTGGAATTTTAGCTTGAAAATGTTACAAAATGACTGGATTATATGTTGGGACTGGATTGTTTTCATTAATTGAGGAAATGCTGTATTTACCTTGCGTTTTTTCGATATTGGAGTAGCCATTTTGACGTTCTAAGCGGAAAAGGTTTGTGACATGTGGCTGTGGTCGAAAGAGAGGTACGAATGACAGACGGATGTGGCAGAGGGCGCTTCAACCGAACCGCGCGAAATTCAATTCAGTTGTCATTCTTCGTCCATTTGTACTTTTTTCTAACTATAAACACACAGAACACTCAATACATAATAAACAATCTCGACTTTTCGATTTTTCAGTTCCATGATTTTTCAATTTGTCGAATTTTTAAATTTTAGATTTTTTGTTCTCGATCATTCAATTTTCTGAGTTTTCAGGCTTAGATTTTTTTTGTTGTTCATTTCTTGGATTTTTAAAATTTTTGTTTTTTAATTTTCCTATTTATCAACTTACTGGGATTTCAATGTTTTGATTTTTTGATTGTTCATTTCTCGATTTTTTGAATTTTTAGTTTTTGATACGATTTTTTTTTTCAAAAATTTTCAGTTTTTCAATTTATTAACTTTACGATTTTGAAATTTTTTAATTTTTCAGTTTTCAATTTTTGACGTTTCTAAATTTTTCGATTTTTCAATTTTTCGATTAACTGATTTTTCGATTTTCCCATTTCTCTATTTCTTGATTTTTCAATTCTTTCTTCAATTGTGATTTTTCAATTTTTCGATTTCTGGATTTTTCAAGGTTTCAGTTTTGAATTTTTTCCTTTCTTCAAATTTTCATGTTTGATTTTCACTTTTGACATTTTTCAAGTTTTCATTATATACTTTTTCGTTTTTTTATTTTTGATTTTTCAATTTTAGTTTCTTCACCTCTAAATTTTTCAATTTTTAATTTTGCAATTTTTCGATTTTTCACATTCTCAGTTTTTAATTTTTGTCATTTTCAAATTTTCGTTTCCTCAATTTTTCAAGTTCTCGATTTTTATTTTTCACTTTCCCGGTTTTTTTAATTTTCACGTTCTGGATTTTGTCACAAATTTTCATGTTCTTTGTTTCGATTTTTCAATTCTTCGAATTTTCAGTTTCTCAATTTTTCCATTTTTGAATTTTTCACTTTGCAGTTTTTGGATTTCCAGTCTTCCGATTTTCCAGTTTCTTTAATTTTCAATATTTCAATTTCATAATACGTATTTCCTTTTTTTTGATTTTTCATTTTTTCGATTCTGAAGATTTTTCAAGTTTTCATTTTGTAATTTTTCGTTTTTTATTTTTGATTTTTCAATTTTACAATTTCTCGACTTCCAAAATTTTCAATTTTTCGGTTTGCATCAGTTTTTCAATTTGGCAATTTTTGAATATTACAGTTTTTCGTTTTTCTATTTTTCAGTTTCCCAATTTATAATTTTTCCCTTTTCCAATTGTTTGTATTTCCGATTTTTATTTTTCATTTTCCCGATTTTTTAAGTCTCACTTTTTCGATTTTATATCACAATTTTTCATTTTTTCATTTCCTTTATTTTTTGTTGTTTCTTTCGATTTACAATTTTTTAGTTATTAAATTTTTCAAATTTTCAGGCTTTGATTTTTCACGTTTAAAATTTTTCAATTTGCAGTTTTTGGATTTCTGGTCTTTCAATTTTTCAATTTCTTTAATTTTCAATATTTTGATTTTACAATACATATTTCTTTTTTTTATTTTTCACTTTTTCGAATTTTAAGTTTTTCAATTTTTAATCTTTCGATATTTCAAATTTTCGTTTCTTCAAATTTTCAAGTTTGATTTTCACTTTTGACATTTTTCAAGTTTTCATTATATACTTTTTCGTTTTTTTTTTGGTTTTTCAATTTTACAGTTTCTTGACTTCTAAATTTTTAAATATTTCCAGTTGCAATTTTTTAATTTTGCAATTTTTCGATATTACAGTTTTTCATTTTTCGATTTTTCACAATCTCAGTTTTTAATTTTTGTCATTTTTAATTTTTCGTTTCCTCAATTTTTCAAGTTCTCGATTTTTATTTGTCATTTTCCCGAATTTTTTAATTTTCATTTTCTGGATTTTATGTCAAATATTCATTTTTTCAATTCCTTTATTTCTTGTTGTGTCTTTCGATTTTTCAAATTTTCAGTTTCTCAATTTTTTCAATTTTCAATTTTTGAATTTTTCACTTTGCAGTTTTTGGATTTCCAGTCTTCCGATTTTCCAGTTTCTTTAATTTTCAATTTTCTGAGTTTTCAGGCTTAGATTTTTTTTGTTGTTCAATTCTTGGATTTAAAAAATTTTTGTTTTTTAAATTTTCCTATTTATCAACTTATTGGGATTTCAATGTTTTGATTTTTTGATTGTTCAATTTCTCAATTTTTTGAATTTTTAGTTTTTGATACGATTTTTCAATTCTTTCTTCAATTGTGATTTTTCAATTTTTCGATTTCTGGATTTTTCAATGTTTCAGTTTTGGATTTTTTCACTTTTCCGATTCTTCAATTTTCTTTCCATTTTTCAGTTTTTCAAGATTTCAGTTTTGAATTTTTTCGTTTCTTCAAATTTTCATGTTTGATTTTCACTTTTGACATTTTTCAAGTTTTCATTATATACTTTTTCGTTTTTTTATTTTTGATTTTTCAATTTTAGTTTCTTCACCTCTAAATTTTTCAATTTTTTAATTTTGCAATTTTTCGATTTTTCACATTCTCAGTTTTTAATTTTTGTCATTTTGAAATTTTCGTTTCCTCAATTTTTCAAGTTCTCGATTTTTATTTTTCACTTTCCCGGTTTTTTTAATTATCACTTTCTGGATTTTGTCACAAATTTTCATGTTCTTTCTTTCGATTTTTCAATTCTTGGAATTTTCAGTTTTTCAATTTTTCCATTTTTCAATTTTTAAATTTTTCACTTTGCAGTTTTTGGATTTCCAGTCTTCCGATTTTCGAGTTTCTTTAATTTTCAATATTTCAATTTCATAATACGTGTTTCCCTTTTTTTTTGATTTTTCATTTTTTCGATTCTTAAGATTTTTCAAGTTTTCATTTTGTAATTTTTCGTTTTTTATTTTTGATTTTTCAATTTTACAATTTCTCGACTTCCAAAATTTTCAATTTTTCGGTTTGTATCAGTTTTTCAATTTGGCAATTTTTGAATATTACAGTTTTTCATTTTTCTATTTTTCAGTTTCCCAACTTATAATTTTTCCCTTTTCCAATTGTTTTTATTTCCGATTTTTATTTTTCATTTTCCCGATTTTTTAAGTCTCACTTTTTCGATTATATATCACAATTTTTCATTTTTTCAGTTCCTTTATTTTTTGTTGTTTCTTTCGATTTACAGTTTTTTAATTATTAAATTTTTCAAATTTTCAGGCTTTGATTTTTCAGGTTTAAAATTTTTCAATTTGCAGTTTTTGGATTTCCAGTCTTCCAATTTTTCAATTTCTTTAATTTTCAATATTTTGATTTTACAATACATATTTCTTTTTTTTTATTTTTCACTTTTTCGAATTTTAAGTTTTTCAATTTTTAATCTTTCGATTTTTCAAATTTTCGTTTCTTCAAATTTTCAAGTTTGATTTTCACTTTTGACATTTTTCAAGTTTTCATTATATACTTTTTCGTTTTTTTTTGATTTTTCAATTTCACAGTTTCTTGACTTCTAAATTTTTAATTTTTCCAGTTGCAATTTTTTAATTTTGCAATTTGTCGATATTACAGTTTTTCATTTTTCGATTTTTCACGTTCTCAGTTTTTCATTTTTGTCATTTTTGATTTTTCGTTTCCTCAATTTTTCAACTTCTCGATTTTTATTTTTCATTTTCCCGAATTTTTTAATTTCCGTTTTCTGGATTTTATGTCACAAATATTCATTTTTTCAATTCCTTTATTTCTTATTGTTTCTTTCGATTTTTCAATTTTTCAATTTTTCAGTTTCTCAATTTTTCCAATTTTCAATTTTTCAATTTTTCACTTTGCAGTTTTTGGATTTCCAGTCTTCCGATTTTCCAGTTTCTTTAATTTTCAATTTTCTGAGTTTTCAGGCTTAGATTTTTTTTGTTGTTCAATTCTTGGATTTTTAAAATTTTTGTTTTTTAAATTTTCCTATTTATCAACTTACTGGGATTTCAATGTTTTGATTTTTTGATTGTTCAATTTCTCGATTTTTTGAATTTTTAGTTTTTGATACGATTTTTTTTTTTAATTTTCAGTTTTTCAATTTATTAACTTTACGATATTTCAGTTTTACGATTTTTAATTTTTTTTATTTTTCAGTTTTCAATTTTTGACGTTTCTAAATTTTTCGATTTTCCAATTTTTCGATTAACTGATTTTTTGATTTTCCCATTTCTGTATTTCTTGATTTTTCAATTCTTTCTTCAATTGTGATTTTTCAATTTTTCGATTTCTGGATTTTTCAATGTTTCAGTTTTGGATTTTTTCACTTTTCCGATTCTTCAATTTTCTTTCCATTTTTCAGTTTTTCAAGATTTCAGTTTTGAATTTTTTCGTTTCTTCAAATTTTCATGTTTGATTTTCACTTTCGACATTTTTCAAGTTTTCATTATATACTTTTTCGTTTTTTTATTTTTGATTTTTCAATTTTAGTTTCTTCACCTCTAAATTTTTCAATTTTTTAATTTTGCAATTTTTAGATTTTTCACATTCTCAGTTTTTAATTTTTGTCATTTTCAAATTTTCGTTTCCTCAATTTTTCAAGTTCTCGATTTTTATTTTTCACTTTCCCGGTTTTTTTAATTTTCACTTTCTGGATTTTGTCACAAATTTTCATGTTCTTTCTTTCGATTTTTCATTTCTTCGAATTTTCAGTTTCTCAATTTTTCGATAGGTATTTTAATTTTTCAATTTTTAAGTTCTAGATTTTCCGTTAATTTTTTTGTTTTCCTTGATGTTTTGATTTCTCGATTATTCGATTTTTCAAGTTCTCGGTTTAGATTTTTTGGTTTTCCAATACTTCGATTTTTAAATTGTTTAATTTTTAGATTGTTCAATTTCTCGATTTATAGATTTTTCAATTTTTCGGTTTGCATCAGTTTTTCAATTTGGCAATTTTTGAATATTACAGTTTTTCATTTTTCTATTTTTCAGTTTCCCAATTTATAATTTTTCCCGTTTCCAATTGTTTGTATTTCCGATTTTTATTTTTCATTTTCCCGATTTTTTAAGTC